AATACTATAAATTAACTGGCTTCAATCGTGAGTTTTGGATAGACATGTTCTCCACTCATGACCATAACTGCCCAGTGTTCTTACCTCCAGACCATAAGGACTGTCTCTACATTGAAGCACAACTCTTAAACTCTACCATCGCAGTATTGTAAATCTACGCTATATTTTATCACGAATGACCTATTTTATGACCTCATTCATGACCTCATTGCTGACAAAAATAAATGACCTCATTCATGACTCATTCATGACCTCAGAACTTCAACTTACGAATAAAGCTTGTTTTAGTCGTTATTGAGAAGTTAAACTTTTCAGCAAAGCAAGGTTGACAAGACTTACATAAGTCAAATCCAATCTCTTGACCTCATAAAGTGCTTTGTAAAGTTTCATTAAACTGAACTCAGAGTCTTTGTCAAATTTTCCTTGCGGAACCATTAAACCTTTATCTTCATCATAGAAACACTGAACAGAGTCAGGAAACATTTCATTAGCGGTTAAAGCAATAACATCTTGCTTCACGCCTTTCATTCTGCAGTGAAATGCAACTTCATTTAAATCATTCGTGAGTAAGTCTATGTAAGTCTTCTTTCCACAAAATATTGACTTGTATGCTAAACTTTGTTTTCTTTTGTGATTTCTGCAAAGTCGCTATGAAATTGACCAAGGTTTTTACCAATGAGAACTCTTCCATAACGTTTCTCAAACTCTTCAGCTAAACGAGGGATATCTTCATTGTAGAGATGCATACTGTCCGTATCGCTATAAAAGATGTCCATTCCTAAGTCTCAGCAGTACAGAATACTTCACACATTATTCTCTTCGACATAGACAAATTAACACCAAGTGGACAGAAGTTAAAGTGTCTGCAAATGCTTTTCGTTAGCTTGAAAATAGTTTTATCTGAACCATCCAAACCTTCGAACTTCACTATATGGTTGTAGTTTCTGATGGCATATCTTATAGCATCTTTGTCATTTACTATGGTTATTTTTGACTCAATAGGAGATAGAATAGTTTTGCCATAAATACTGTTCAGAATGAGCTTTATATTTTCTTGCAAAGGATTTCCTTCTTTCTTATACTTTAACCTTAACTCAAACAACTTCTTTACTTCATCTCTTATTCTAATATCTCTGTTTCCATCGTAATAGTATCCTTGCAACACTTCACATTTGACACCTTGATATTTTATGAGGTCTTGTAATGTTATATGGTCAACATACATTAAACAGCAAGTGTTTGAACTTCTGGGAACGTTAAGTTCTGGATTTAGTTCAGGGTCACAAACTATTAAAGGAAAGTGTCTATGTATTCCAATCTCTGTTATCTTAATGAGAACAAAGAAGCCAGACATAAACTTTTCACCAATGGGTTCCTTTTGGTCGTCATCGAATAAATGTCTCATGAGATACTCTGTGCTTAACATTTCTTTCTTCATAACCTTTGGAATCCTTCTAAAGTATAAAGTCTTGCTATAGCTGATGGATATAATGAAACAGCGTCGAAGTCAGCAATGAGTTTCTTTTCGCTCTTTTGTTTCATGTTATCTGACAGCATACATCTTCCACCTTGAATACAGCGTGAAATAAATTCTCTTGGTTTATTTGAGAGGTCATATAAATTTCCATTCGGGAAGTACACTCTGTTCTCAAATAATTTGTTAGCAATTGAACAAATACTAACGTAGTCATAAACGTTTAAATCAAATTCTTTCAATATGTCATTGCGGAACTTAACAAAACCTTCTCTTAAAATTCTTACATCTTGTTTGCAATAAAATGTGCTATACTTTTCTAAGTCGAAGTGGTTCTCATCTATTCTGCAACCTTTGATGGAATCTATGTTTTTCATGAATGTATCTGCATCCCGGATAAACTTACATGCTTCAGAAATGACACCAGTTCTGTTGTCATTTGCTAACAAATACTGCTGTAGTAGTTGTATGGAAATACTTCTTTCGGTCCTGTTTGTAAGTTAAACATAGCAGGAAATAGTTTAAGCTTCTTATTTATAACACTGTAAGAGTCTTTTATAATAATTGCCCTTCCTTTATATAAGCCAGTTATTTGCATTGTTCGTGAACCTTTAATGATGGGAGTTCCTTTCACTTCTGTCATGTGTCTTAAGATGAAGTTTATATCATAACTGAGGTTATGGAAATATATTAAACTCTTGTCAGGAAGTCGTTCCAAAAATTCTGTTGCACAGTTCTGACCCCAAATGCTTTCACTCACTGAACCATCTTCACTGTCATAACATATGTTAAAAGCTTTATGAAAGCCATCGGTACTGCACTCAAAGTCAGCAAAGAAAACGTGCTCAGGAATGAACTTGCACTTATTTTTATTTACTTCTTTTGACTCGGCTTTCTTCTTCAGTTGTACACAATACTTTGGAGCATATGTCAAATCTTTAAATGGTGCAAGGTTCTGTTTATATAAGTCAGTCGTATATGTGAAAAGTTCTCCATAAGAAATAGGTTCGAAATATTTGCACTCCCACAATGTTTTCATAACATCCCATAACGGTGTTGTTCTATCATAACGAACTACATATTTATCTTCTCTCTTTGTATAAATCTTCATTTGTTTCTCAATGTTCATTCCACCACAAGCTTTGAGAATTTCTTTGTAATTTCTGATGAAATATGTTGTCATTGGTAATCTTTCGTTTAGCATGTAGTGGTCTTCAACAAGAAGTAAGTCAATAGTTCGAACAGTTTCACATTCTTTTGGTATGTATCTCTTTATTTCATTATGTCTTGAGTCATTGAAATAACCAATGGTAACATTAAATGCTATACCTGTTGCGTCAGAAATTTCTTGTACTTTACTTTGAGGAAAGTCTCTAACACGAATGACTTCTCTCATGTGGTCAATAGTCTCTCCATCTACTCCAGCCTGAATGCAAGCATAAACGAAACATTGTCTTCTGTCATAAGTGTTGCAGTTCTTTTGTTCAGTTCATTGAAGATTTGGTAGCGTTCAAGATTTATAGGTAATGTGCAAAGATACTTCCAGAACTGACCGCTTCTCTTCTTATAAAACTTCTTTTCACCATTATCTTTCCAAAAGCTTTCTATAAGTGCTGGGTTTCCTGTTTGCTTAAGAGCTTCCAAAATGGCTTTCTGGTCATTTGTCAGTGTGCTTTCATCTCTATATGGTCTCTTTTTTGGTTTGCCTTTCTTTACATCTGACATCGTTAAGCCTTCATATTCTGTTAAATCATACATCTTTATTTCAGTAAGATTCTTTATGTTTGTCAAGAAGAAGTCATAGTGCATTTCAACAATACCTGCAGCATTTGCTTCTATCTCTGATATAAAGTTCTCCTTCAAGAGCTGATGTAGTAATGTTCCAATATTATTGAGGTTTAACGTAGAACATTCATACTTTCCACCAAGTTTATAACATACCATCCATCTTTGTTGTGAGTTTATTTTAATTTCTCTAAGAGTCTCATGAAAACCTTACCGAAATGTTTGTGTAAGTAGTCTCTGTTTGGTTCATCTAAAGCTTCGATGTTAAAGTCAATGAGTCTATTGCCTGACTTCACATTTCTCTTCCTATTCTCTTCATCTTTCTTTAACCATCTCTCACCTTCTTTTGGTTTGTCGTCAATGGAACGAATGACATCGTTAGCTTTGCGAACTTGTTCTATAGCGCTTTAAACATCTCTCTTCTCTGTTGTTTCAGTGTGTCGTCTCTTCTTCTTGTTTCACCAACGTTTGCATTTGTTATGTCAAACATTTCTCTTCTTACTTCATGAGGTACTGAACGTCTATGATATAAGTCAATAGCAACGTCATTTAAAGGAAATGCTCTTGCATGGACTTCGTCCTCGCCGCGTTGCGGCTTTATGAACTCATGAATTCTATCATAACTTATTGCACCATTATAGTCATTGAGGATGTCAGCGAGTGCTTTTTTGTTTGTTGCGTAATGCTTTGCAACATCTATATTAGCTTCTGTAAGAAGTTGTTTTATTTCCGAGTGTTCTAACTTAGACAACTTCCGATACATCTTTAGTAGGAAATAAAAAAATATTTTTTGAAAAAATTAGATTAGATTTTTTAAGTTATTTTTCAAAATAATTTAATATTTTTATTTTAATGAAACACATGCAAGATTGCAAGTTCTTTTCATACAATGCTCTCGCTACTGCCATCAAGAATGAGTTCAATAATGCTTCAAATGTTAATGTTATCTTTAACAAGAAGTTTGTGAAAGAATCTAAGTTTGGTCAGTATGTCAGACCATTAGCTATCGTCATTGACCGCAAACGTTATACTTCACAAGAGTTAGCAGTAGTTTTGAAACAAAAGAGTTTCTTCGTGAATGTCAAAGATACACACTATACTGTCATAAAGAACTCTAACATTGACTTCTTCAGTATTGCTTTAAATCTTTCCGAACAGAAAGAATATAAGAAGGTGAAACAAATGTGAAATATTATCCTTCATCTCTGAAGACAATAACGAACAAAGATGTTATACAGAAATTCTTACCAAAGGTTGAAGAAGCTTCTATTGACATTGACGAAGGAAGTGAAATGGTTGAAGAAATAGACCCTGAAGCTATTTAAGCAAAAATATATTTTGGTTAGTCTTCATATCGATATTTTACAACAATTCCCCAATGTATAAACTTTTCATACGCTTTTTCATAAGCTTTATATACCTTCAGAAATTTTGCATAATCTTTAGAAGCATTTAGATATTGTTTAAATGCTTTGTATGTCTTCAGAAATTTTGCATAATCTTTTACATGTTGTTCGTTCTCTTCTTCTGTCATGAGTTCCGAATATTCTAAATTCATGTTCTTTCATATGAGATAAAATTTTTAAAAAAAATAAAATTAGCTTAGATTTTTTTATTCTTCCTCTTTGAAGTTATCGAAATATTCTGTTATTTTTCCCTTCAGTAATGTTAAGTCTTCTTTGAATGTAAGTATTGTGCAACCTTTGATGTCATAGTGTGTTTGAGGAAGAGTATTTTTGACAATTTCCTTTATTTGCTCATTCGGTGTCATTGAAATCGGTAAGTTTTCACGATAGAACCAGTTTCTGTCAGATTTATATATTTTAGCTAAGTCATAAAAGCTCTTGTTGTTTCTTCTGACTAAATGCAACATAACCATATCTTTATCTTCTTCTTTCTCCAACTCTTCAGTATATATCATATACCTATAACTCTTTTCCTTTCCTTTTGGTACTGAACGCGGTATTCTTTTCTGTATGCTTTTGTCTTTGGATTCAATGACTTCATCTTTTGCTTGAAGTTTCTTTTCCATCTCTCCACGTTCTGCTTTATATAGTTCATCTAACATCATGAAAATATAACAAGCATAACGAGGTGAAGCCCACATTGCTACAGCATTTACTAAAAGTCTATGAACATAATAACCTTTCAAACCAGGAGCCAAATTCTTGCGATTTTCGTACGGAATCTCTTCTCTCGGTTTTCCGAGGGAAGCAATCATATGAGGAAATTCTTCTAAAAGTTCTTTTGTCTGTTGGTTTTCAAACCAATGATATGCTTGCTTTGTAGAACGAAGAGCGTTCATTATACTTTGCATCTGGTACATATCGTCTTTGACCGAACGAATGAGTCTCAATTGTTTGTTATACTGTATGTATTCGTATTCTTCATTTATGGCTTCATGAACGATAGCAATTGTTGTGTTCTCTAATGTTGACATTACTGTCTTTACATACAAAATAAAAAAATAAATAAAAATAAAACTAACTTTATTTTTCTAACTAATGAAATTCATGATTTTTGTGCTGAATTCAATAAAAATAATGTTTAGGTGAAGAGGTGAGATTTCACCTCTTTTTTCACCTCATTTCTACCCCAGTTATTTTATAAACGTTTCACATGTTAAACGTTATTTTTGGAATTTTGTGAAAACTCAACGGTTTGACACATGCCCTAAAAATTATTTTACTCAGAATTTTGTTGCTGAATTCAATAAAAATAATGTTTAGATGAAGAGGTGAGATTTCACCTGTTTTTTCACCTCTTTTTTCACAAGCGTTTTACATGAATTGTACGATGTATATTTGAAATCCTAAACAATTTCGTAGCTTCTATTTCTTCTTTTAGTACATCGAATGTTTTAATCATGCTGAAGGTTTCTTTATACTTCTTCTTGACGTCAGACAGAAGGAAATCTTCTGCTGTTGGATAGTTTTTATTAAGAAATGTCAACATATCCATTTTATCTTCTGCTGGCTTTTCTGCTTCTTTCTTTAAGTCTGCATAGTCGTTTCGCATTCTTTCTATCTCTTTGACTGAGTAGTTATATTTTCTTATTGCTGCCTTACATTTTGAACATTGCGGCATCGTTTTTGCGTTATACATTGAAATAAAACCAGCTAAAACAACTAAAGCGTCAATGGTTTTCTTTAACTCAAACATAGCGGGTCTTATCTGTTCATTCCATACTTTACCTCTTCTATCTTTATCTCTTATCTGCCATACACATTTTGCAACTAATGAAACAAAGTTATCGTATGTCTTAAATTCTTCGGATTTGTAAAGGTCAGAAATATTTTTATAAACCATGTCGCAATCTTTGTCCATAACTTTATGGTTGCAATGAAAACCAAGGAATTCATAATTTACTTTACGTATGAATTTCTTAATTTTTACTGAGTCAGTTGCTTTGACTTCAATTTCGTCGAATTCAGGAATAGTTAGTTTTTGCTGTTGAATTTCAGGTAGTTTAGGCAAATGGTCGATGAGGTCCTCCATTTCATAAAGATACTGTTCATTTGTTTCATCTTTCGCACTACAGTCTAAATTACTTGTTAAAAGTTCTTGCTTTATCTTCTGGATTTCTGTTTCAAAAGTATATGAAGAAGGAATAAAGCTTTTCATCTCTACCAACATTGACGTAGGATTCATGACTAACGAGTTTGGTGCTGTAGTTGTTTGAATTGTTGTTGTGCCGATTGTTGAAATCATATCTTTTATACAAAATAAAAAAATAAATAAAAATAAAACTAACTTTATTTTTTCTATATCTTAAGGAAATTCATGAAAATTCACGAGACCCAAAGGGTCTGAGCCGCTAAGCGGCGAGGGTGAAAAAACAGGTGAAAAAAGAGGTGAAATCTCACCTCTTCACCTCAATTATATTTTTGGTGAATTCAATAAAAATAAATGGTTCATTTACTCACAATATTTTTGTACAAAACGACCCCAAACTTTTAACTTCTTTTCTGCAGTTTCTAATGCTATCTTAGCGAGTTCATATTCTCTAAATTCTCTCTTTAAATCTTCTTGTTCCCATTGGTCTAGTTCGTATGGAGAATCTCTATAACCATAACATATCTCACGTTCATGTTCTAATTGTTTTTCGCACATTTTTCTAACTTCTTCTTCAAACAAATGTTTAGCATTCTCTACTGTATCTTCGAGTTCTTCTTCATCTAATTTCTCATGAACTTTCTTGTCTATGGAGTCCATAATATCTTTGACATAAAATGCATACTTTACAGAGCACCATTCAGCAACAAAATGAACGAGGTCAGGATGTATGTAAATACATTTGAATTCATTTATAACACCCTTAGTAAGCTCATAAAATGCTTGTTTTGAGGTCGAGCCACTTTTGGCTCGACCGTATTCTTTCAACCAAAACTCAAGAATTTCCTGCATTTTAGCACTATTGAGAAATCTGTTTAAATGGTTTAACCTTCCCGCTTCTCTTGCCATCTTTGTTGCATTAATGTAACCATCCTTGTCTCTACGTAAGACTTCAATACCGTTATAAGTGCCTTTTGTGAATGTTTCGCCATTAGATTTGTTCGTGAACGTCTTTGCTTCGACTGACATTTCTGTTCTTACATACAAAATAAAAAAAAATAAATAAAAATAAAACTAACTTTATTTTTTCTATCTTAAGGAAATTCATGAAAATTCGTGAGGGTGAAAAAACAGGTGAAAAAAGAGGTGAAATCTCACCTCTTCACCTCAATTATATTTTTGTCTGATTTCATCAGGAATTCCCGCATGAATTTTGTATAAAAAGCAACCGCCGGAATTCGGACTGTTGCTATATTCTTCACAAAATGCCTTATAATACTCTTCCCTAAAAATTATTTTGTCTGATTTACATCTAATGAAAAAGTTTAGAAGAATTATCTTATTCTTTCTGGTAAATGCTTTGTCTGATTTACATCTAATGAAAAAGTTTAGAAGAATTTTCTTATTCTTTCTGGCTTATTTTTGTCTTTCCAGTACTCCCGCTCTAATGGTCCCAGATGTGTTGGCTTTGACTCTCTCAAGTTCTTAGATGGTATAACATCTTCAACGCCTCCTTCATATCTTACTTTATAAGTGTCATCGTTTATGTTATAGCCAAGTATTTCAATAACCACTCCTCGCTTTGCTTCGTCAATGGTTTCAGCAAATTTGCCATTACTACTTTCAACTAATTTATGTCGAGGATAAAATGCAATGGAGTCGTCAGCAGCTTTTATAAGATATCCATTACCTTGCGTAGAGTCTACGATATAATAATTTCGACTTAACCTTAAACGTTTCTTTGTCAACGGTTTGTCGTCAAGAACTACACGAACTTTTGTTCCAGGAATGAGGGTAAATTGTGTTGAATTTCTAATATTTTGTGTTTGACTTCGTTTCTTTTGTATATACTTTTCTTCTTGTTGTTGTGTCATTGAATTTGGTGTATGTCCTGTTGTAGAATGTGTTGAGGAATTATATACTTCGAGAAAGTGTTTCATTGTTTCTTCGGTAAAGTCTCGCTCTTGATTTAAATCTCTGAGAGTCCTTATGAAGCGGTTTATGATGCCGAGTATGTTATGGTTATGGTCTTCGGTAGTGTAGTGAGTTATGTTATGCTTAATGAGAAATTCTGTGATTTCATTGCTGAGGTATGCACCGTCTTGGTCTGATGTTAAAGTACTTGGGCTATGTTCTGCTACAAACTTTTGTAAAACTCTTAACACTTCACGAGTTCCTTTATTTTTCATTGGATATGCATATGCTTTGCGAGTGTTAACATTAATGAAGATGAGGAATGGTTTATGTCCTCCTTTTCTGCTTTGAATGAGAGTGTCAAATTGGTATGCGTCAGGAGTGTTGGAGTAAATTGGTAAAAAGTAGTCGTAAGGGTTTATTTTTGTTTGATGTACAACATTTTTGTCAAAGAACCTTTTCACTTCAGCTCTGTTAGTAAATCCCCAACTCTTTGCAGCTTCATTGAACTTCTTAAATGACCTCCATGGATGTTGTTCGAATACTTCTTTCAAGCTCATTTATGTAAAGTTAAAGATTTTATTCTAGGCTCAAGCGCGTTCAATGAACGCGGTACCATGCGAATATAGTCACAAATGGTGGCATATAATCTGCACCCGAGCCTGTTGGATTTGTTGTGAAAGTATGGACATGATTTCCTCCCGGTTCAGTTGGTCGAAAAATCTTTTTTGCTGCATTGTTATAAGATGGAGATAAAACGTCATTGCCAGCTTCATAGTCTGAGTTGTATAATGGGTGGTCTCTTAATGAGTGGCTATGGTCGCCAGAAAAGTTTGTAGTTCCTGTATGAGTGTGCGGTGGAAGGTTTGCTTCTTTAATTTTCTTCGAACCTCCTGTTTGCTTTGAAGAGTTAGCACAGTATAAGAATTTATCTACAATCTGCTTCCACGTACCAAAACCTAAAACACTTGCTGGATTTGTTGAGTTTATTGACGTATAAATAGAGCCTATAGGATATAATGTTTGAAGCATTTCAGTCTTTAATGTTTGAAGCTCTGTTTTGTCTGCTTTCTTATCATCTAAATCTTGAGCAGTGAATTTAACATTATTTTCATCATCCATGACATAAACATTTTTACAGCTAATTTCTTTCTTCGTTGTTATGTTTTCATTCGATGTTAAACCTTGTGGAAAGTTAGGAGGTTTATAATATAATGCATCCCCACCAGTTCCGCCAACCGTTCCTTCAATACTTTCTATAGCAACAGTTGAGAAGGAGTTATGTGTATGTTCTTTATCTGCTTTTTTATCTAACATTGCTGGTAGTTCGTATGCTTCAAAGTTTCTGGCATGACCTTCAATGTTCATACATTTACTATTTAAGGAGTTTAGTGTATCTTTTACGCTTGTACTTGGATTCTCTAAAGGTGCACTTGAACCAAGGGTATAGTTCAATATTATGTCGTCTGCTCTAACAGTAGTGAAGGATTCATGTGTATGGTTCTTGTCAGCTTTACTATTTAATGTAGCTTGAAGTTCATTTATATCGGAGATATTGTGTTTATGAGATTTCAAAACTTTGTTCGTTGCGTCAAGTTCATCTTTGTCAGCTTTACTTTTAATAGCATCTTCAAAAGTTATTTTTGCCTTAACTCTCAATGTAAATCTTGGTTCAACTAATACACCGTTAACAAAGAAGTATGAAGCATAAATTTCATTGTTATAACCAAATGCTTCTGGTGCTTTACCTGTGTCATACTGTACAGTACAGTGTATGTCATAACCTTTAGCACGAATGAATTTATATCTTCTTTCATTAACATCTTCAGTGCTTATTTGTTCATCCTGTGTTAAATATCCATGGTAGTCCGTTATAATCTGTTCGTCTGAACTTATATAATGAACATGGTTTTTATCTGCTTTTTCGGCTAATTTCTCTTCTATCTCATTTATTTCAAGTTCATGCCTACCACCACCTCCCGAAGAAGTATTTTTCTTCAGCTCTTGAAGAACGTCCACTTCGCCATCTTTGGTGTCAATAATGAGACTTTGTGTTAAAACCTTTCCTGTCTTAATGGATGTTTGTAAAACTTCTTCTTCACCGTGTTCGGGGTCATGGTCGTCATCATATCTTGTGAAATCAGAGATGTTGTCATACATTAAGCATATCTGTCTCAAAAGTTCTGCTATTTGAAACTGGAACGAAAGATATACAGAACTTTCATCATCTCCTAAAGTCAAGTCTGCTTTCTTAAGTATTTCTTGAATGTATGCAATGAGAACAGAGTACCTTGGAAAATATTCGAACAATATTTCATTAGCTGTTGGTTTTGGTGGTTCTTCTGGAGTTTCTGTTGTTTCAGTTCCTTCTGTAGGTTCTGTTGGAGTTTCTGCATCTCTTGACTTCAATGCTCTTGCTCTCAAAGACCTAAATGTTAGAGCACCAGGTTTTACAAAGGACTTTATAAATGCTTTAATAGTTCCTGGTAAGTTATTGTTAGCATTAAGTAAGTTCCTTATGCTTCCATCATGTACGTCCATAGCACTATGTAAAAAATCTATACTTTTCTTGTAGTCAGCAATAGACTGACTGTGATTTTTTAAAGATTTGTCAATACCTTTAAGCCAATCTTCATGCATGTCTGATACTGAGCCAAGAATATCATTTGCTTCCTTTAGTGTATTTTGTGCTTCTCGTAAAGTATCCAATCCCGTACGTGCATTGTTTGCTATACGTCTTACAGTATCTATTTGACTCCTTGTTTCTTGCATCCAACCAGATAAAGTTTTAATAGTATCCGAACCATTTGAAATGAAGTTCAAAGCATTTTTAACGTCATCTAAAACTTCTTCACCAAGTACTGCCCATATCTTTCCGATTTGGTATTGAAGAACTCCATATGAAGCAGCTGTTAAACCAGTATTTATAAGGTTCCATATCCATGATTTAGCAGTTTTTCCATCCTTTCCATCTTCACCATCCAAACCGTTTTCGCCTTGAGGTCCTTGTATTCCTTGTATTCCTTGTATTCCTTGTGGTCCTTGAGGTCCGGTGTCACCCTTCTCTCCTTTCAGTTCATCTTTATGTTCGTTATAATATTCTAATGTCATAAGGTGTACATCATTACTGCTACCAGCAACGCCGAGAATTTGTTTCTCATTCATGACTAAATTCTTTAGGCATTTAATGTTGTCGTCAAATCGAAAGCTCTTTAACAATTCAATGAGAACATTTAATACTTTCACTAATGAGGCATCTACTGTAGAATTTATATATTGCACCGTTCCATCATTTATGATGGGAACCTTGCTTGTTGTAATGAATGGGTCATAAGTGTTAAAAGTATCGAAATCAATGACTTTTTTAGTTTTCCATCGTCAATGACTAAATCATTACCTTCAATGGTTAAAGTTGAGTTTTCGTTTACTAGTTCATGTGCTCTTCTTGCTTCATTTGTTTCATACGCATATGCAGCAATAGTCATATTTTAATGAGAATAAAATGTTGTTCTATTTGCAAAGTACAGACCCAAACGAATACGGGACAGTAAAGCTACAAACAAACTTAGGTCTTCAGAATGAAGCGCTTGCTTTCAGAGTTGTTGACTTCAATACTATCGCAACTTTTGTCATAACAGATGAAACAGATTTCATAGAGATTGAAATAGATGACAAAAGAAGTGTTATAACATTTCCTAACAGAGCTGGGTATAGAATAGATAAAATTGCTGGAGTCATAGATACTCTCATAAATGAAGAAACTATTGACAACATAGATGTCGAACTCTCTTCTGAGGGAACATTGAAGTTCAGCAGCGAGAAAGAGTTTAAGATACCAAGAATGAGTCATAGAGTACAACTTCTTTTGGGTGCATACCATATGACATTTCCTTTGAAAAGTGTTGACAAAACGATTGAGATGAAATCTGTTCCATATGTATGTTATGGCAATTGTTTGTACATTGAGTCAAAAATAGCTAATGTCACAGGCATTTCAGGAGTTAATAGTAAAGGTTCAGTAGAATATAAGTCTTTCTGTTATGCAGTCAATTCAATGTTCATTCCAAACGTTCCTGTCATAGCAACTCATTTAGGTAAATGGGTTCGCATTAGTCCTCATAATTTGAAAGACATGCAATTCAGACTTGTTGACTTTCAAGGAGAGCCTGTAGAACTGAAGGCACCAGTGCGAATGACTGTTGAAGTTGACTTTTTAGAAAATATTAAATGCAACAGCTTACAAGAGAACTCAGAGCTAAAAATATAAAGTATGAATGTTATGTATTAGGTCATGAACTTTGGTTGTTGCTGTTTGATGAAACAAATGAATTAGTTATGTCAGTCAAGAGAACAGAAAAATATTGTGTTAGTGAAAACTGCACCAAGTCAATAAGATTAGGTTTGCATTATGAAGATGAGTTCGATACTGTTGAAGAAGTTTTGGATAGATATTACAAATTGCTAACTTGAAATTTTTTGACTGACGGCGCAAAGCGCCAAGACCGAAGGTCCTGACTGCTTTAATTTACTAAAACATATTTCAAACAAAGCTTATAGTCAGTAGATAGTTTTGTATACTCGTTCGAATATTTATACTTAAACTCAACTCCTGTAGTTCCTGGTGTTTCAATGATGCGGATGTTACCTATTTTCATGAATAGTGGAGTTTGACCACAGCATTCGATTTCAGGGTCGAGATAGTCAATGACACATTGTTTCCCTGTTATTCGTGAGATAACATTTTCAAGGTCCTCCTTTGTTAGAATTATTTGGTTCTTGCTTATAAGATTTGTCAAAAGCTTCTTATCGTCTTTGAGTAAAATTGTTTGGTATAACTGAAGAAGGTAATGGTCTACGTTATCTGAAGGATTTGTTTGAACATTTGTGTAAGGATTGTCGTTGGCTTCTCTTGAAAGAATTTGGTCCAGTGGTGGATACTCTAACTTAACATCTGATGTAGCGTTAGCGTTTGAAGCTGTGTTTAAATTCACGGCGCCATGCTCCAAGACCGAAGGTCCCGACTTAAGATCTGGTTCTTTTTCTTTCAAACACTCTGAACTATAGTTCTTTATGACAATATTGTTTGTCGTTCGTGAGTCAACATTTGATGTTGGTTCAATTGGAACATTAACGGCACCAGCTAAGATGGATTTGCTTCTCATTTCATATAGAATAAAAACCTTTTATATGTATGAAATGAACAATATACTCGACAAGGGTTTGAATGTAAAGCTAACGAATGAAAATATTGTTGAATTCACTGAGACAGGTGCTGTGTATAAAGATGTAGAACTACTGAACAAAAGAGCTAAGGGAAGAAGCAGGAACATGAACAAAGGGTGGAAGCCTATAAAAATTTATGTCAATGATGGCTCAGGAGGTTCAAACATAAAGTATGCAGAAAGTTATAGAGTTTATGCTCTCAAAGGTGAAAAGCCTTCATTTAAGAACAGCTATTCTAACGCATATCCTCAAAAGCTAACGGATGGGGAAGTGGATGATATGAATGACAGCAAAAATATTAACAGAAATGGCGACAGAGATGCATGGAATTTGTTTACCATCAGTCAATTGAAGGTTAAACTTTAAAACAATGTTGGTCGTTCCCATGGAATATTTTTGACTTTAATGGTATTAGTCATGATATGAATCTCAAGGTATGAACGAGGAGAGATGAGAGACTTATATGCTTCCCAAATTTCTTCAAAAGGTAATGTTATACCTGACTGTTTCCAAATGAGTTCAATATCATAACGTGAGAAACCTTGAAAGATAACGAAGTCAGTTATGAGACGTTTTATGTTTAAAGCTAAAAACCTCCATGTTTGCATAAGTATTGCTACAGTTAAATGGTAATGTCTGACTTTAGTAATGATGTTAGCTAATGGTGAGTCTGGTTTTGACACTAAACCTTTTACCAGCGAAGTCGTCACAAACTAATAAAGTGTTTGATGGATATTTTTTGAAGGGGTATTTTGAAAGTTTTGACAGAATGTAGTTTGTAAGTCGTTTCATATCGTAAACTCCTGAGTATTGACGTAAGTGGTGTTTGTCAATAATTCTTTCCATCTCCTCAGAAGTCTTTTGCATTCCTGACTGTATAAATTCAACGATGGCATAATATTTCCTCTTACGTCGAATGTAACGTTGAAGAAATTCAATGAGTTCACTGTCTGGAACTTTAACGACAGAGGCTTGAACTTTTGACATAAATGTTTTCGCTGTTGATCCATAGAGTCTGAAGTTGCTGATATAATGATTTGGTCATAATATGAGTCATTTCCTAAACGTTCTGTTATGAGTATATGACGAATGAGGTTGAATGTCTTTCCTGACCCATCTTTCCACAATAGAAATAAACACCATTTGAACAGAACTCATAGTCCTTACTGAAAGGAAGAATGAGAGAAGAGTTAAGTTTGTCTGTAGTTTCATTCATGTCTTCATCTACATCATGTATTAAATGCTTCATTTTATCTCCATTAAAAATGCAAGTCAGAAATATTCAGAACATAGCACCGAGTCTAACTGACAAGAGTATAAAGATATACTATGAACATGTTATGATGAAACCAACCAAAATTCAAGAAAGTCAGTATACTTATGAATATCCAAGACACTGGGTAGAGTATGTAGGAGGTGAGAAAGCTATTGAAATCAGACAGGTTCGAAGTATTCCAGCAGGAAGAACAATATTATTGAAGAACTTTAATGTTTTGAGATATAATGATGAAACAAAGAAGCAAGATAGTTTTCCTGTTGCTGTGTATGTGAACTTAGATACAGGAGATGACATGAAAGTTTTTAATACAAAGCTTCAAACGGTAGTGAGAGAACAACTGACTGCGGAAGGACATCCATTACCTTCAGAAGTTACCATAGCATATAATTTTGAAACAAACTCAATAGATTTTAAAGTCGTCTCTGCAAAGAAGTCAGGATTTACATTTAATGAAGCAGATGTATATTCGAATGAAAACTTCAAAGCTATTGCATGGTTAGATAATGACGATTGCTTTAAGAAAATATTTAAATACAGTGACTCAACGATGTCAATAGATGACCTTCGTGGAATGTTACCATCGACGTTTACAGTAGAAGGTTCAGCAGGATTGCTTACAAGATTGTCAATTGGTGGTATTTGGTCTCGTGAGAACATTGTTATAAAATCCAGTATAAGTGAATTTGCTGAAGAATCTATATTATGTCTTTCAAACTACATGTATTCGCCGCCGAAGCATTATAGTATAACAAACTTTGTCAGTAAGTTTAACATAAGACTTGTCGAACCTTCTTCAATGAAAGATGTTGTGCTACCCAAAGACGGAAAGGATGGACTCATTATTGAGATGATTTTAATAGCATATTAAATGAGCTTGTTCTTGAAGGTCATTCATGATGAAATAACTGTTGTAGAAGATGTTAGCAATTGTTCAGACATTTTGAAGCGTATAGATGAGATAAGAAAGAAGTTAGATAGACCGCAAAGCGGTGAGGGCGAAGCCCGTGAGAACGCTTATGTTTCATTGACTTTCTCCAGTAACGAGAACTTTTATGAGATAATATTGAAGAGAGATGATTTTAATATGGTGTAAATGGTAGCTTGGGCAGCTTTAGGCGCAATGGGAACAAAAGCATTAGCATTTGGAGCAAAAGCACTTGGAGCTTATGACGCAGTAAATAAAATGAGTGGAGGAAGGGTTTCGAAGACATTAGATGCAAATAAAGGGAAGATTGGAGGCTGGGTTGCAAAGAAGTTAAGATTAAATAAAATAGGGCTCATAAATAAAGCATCCAATTTGGTTGCGACTGAGTCAGAAAATGCTTTAGGAAAGGACGATGAGTTTGCAAAACACGCAAAAGACTTTAATGACCAGATGAAAGGTGAAACAATGCATTTAAATAGATTCGATGGAACTAAAGAAAATGTTTCTTCTCCACCAGTAGTTCTTCCGTATGGTCCCTATGGAATGTATGGAAACCCTTACGAAAGACCATTTGACCCATTGACTGGTGGAAGTAACTGGTATCATTACGGACGAAGAAGAAAGACAGTCAAGTTGGAGACAGACGTGAAGAAAGCAACTAAAAAGAAACCAAGGAAGAGAGTTATAAAGCAATGAATTCAACAGGGTGAAAAAACAGGTGAAAAAAGAGGTGAGATCTCACCACTTCACCTAAATTTATTTTTGTGCTATGTTTTCATACGTGTGAGGGTGGTGATATCATTAATTTTTAAGTTTATTTTTTTATAAATGACAGAACAAAAATATAACATTTCTACTCAGCAGGAATGAGACCCTTACTGACTATGTATTCGTTTAATGCTTGATGAAAACAATGGTACATATTATCGTATGGGTATACACAACGTCTGTTTCCATCGTCGTCGTATATGTAGAGCTCAAATCCAGTCCAACCTTCTTTTGTACAATATGTAGCTTTATTTAAGTATGTATTTATGTAGATAAGGCAATTTTCTTCATCGCTCCAGAAATAATTTTTGTTCTTTGTTGAAATAGTTTTCGTTCCTCTGCGACCATAAGGAATGTATGCAATGAACTTTGCGTCATAAGGGATTGTAATATATTCAGGGTTTCTTTCATCGTCAATGGGTCTGTCTTTGTTAAAATGCATGTTTCTCAGTTTTACTTGAGTTTTGAATAGTTCACGGAAACGTTCTGGGAAAGAGTCATAGTAAATGTAGTCGGACATGTCTTTGTAATGAAATAAAAAATTTAAAAAAATAAAAATAAGGTTATTTTTTATTTAGTGAAGTCATTAGTGAAGTCGTTAGTGAAGTCATTAGTGTCAGACGGTTTTGTAAATATTTAATGTTAAGTTGGTGTTATAGTTGTGTTGTAAAATATACGTTACCGGTTTCGTAAAGTGTCAAAACCGCTAAGTGGTGTACGGAGGCGCGCAGTGCCACAGTACGCAACTTAGGGATACTAACTTTCGTAGATATGATGTAGGCTATTGTTTTAAGCGGTAAGCTCGGAAACTTTTGTTAGATAACTTAGCATTCGAAGTCACTTTTTGAACTTTCTGCGCAAAACTGTAGCCTCGGAGTACCGAGGTATTCGTAGATATGATGTAGGCTATTGTTTTAAGCGGTAAGCTCGGAAACTTTTGTTAGATAACTTAGCATTCGAAGTCACTTTTTGAACTTTCTGCGCAAAACTGTAGCCTCGGAGTACCGAGGTATTCGTAGATATGATGTAGGCTATTGTTTTAAGCGGTAAGCTCGGAAACTTTTCTTATATAACTTATCATCCAAATCTACGATTTGCAATGAATCATCAGTAAGTAAATAGTTGTATTAAAAAGATGTAAATACGATAATATTAAGTGTTTATTCGTAATGATTTGAGAATTTGTTGAAAATTTATTGAACTTGCTCGAGATTTTCATTTTCTGAACTCGTCAATGCTTTCCTTAAGGTTTTTTAATTGACCGTCGACTATCCAGAATGGTTCTTGTTCTGGATTTCGATACCAGTGATCATCAATTTCACTGGCCTCGAATTCATTCGGCGTAAAGTAAACGTTCGTTTCAGGATTCACAGGCAAAGAAGAATGGGGCATATTATTGTAAAATCTGATGACCCGTGGAAGATCTGATTCTGACTTGCAGTTTCTTTCCACGTATGGCCACCATCTCTCAATCTTACCATTTGCCTGTGGATTGCCCGGTTGAATGAAAATATGCTCAATTCCACGTTCAACCAAAAGTTGATGAAATGAGCTTTTATTTTCAAGGCCGTTATCAGTCCAAATAGCGTATGGTGGTTGAGGTAGAGTACTTAATGCTCTTTTAAGAACTGCAGTTGTATTTTGAGCTGTTTTTTCGGTAAATAAATTAAAATCTATGATTTTTCGCGATCTGTCGTCTATTATCGCAAACAAATATTTGCCTATTCGTTTCCTCCAATAGTGGATATCAGCATGCCAAATTTGATGACATTTGGATGCTAGATAATTTCGAGGAATGTATTTTTGCTGATTTTCTTGATTTTGAGGGGGAGTATCTGCGATAATCGCTTCGTGTATTTTCCTGCCCATTCTATATGAGGGAGAATCGAAATTTTTTGTAATGTATGTTGCCGTTTGAAGAGATTCGCGTAATGGATTTATTTCAATAGGCGTACCTTCTATTGGAGTCACAACTGGAACTAAAGTTGTGCGGTCAACTTCATCGAGCCAGTTTCCAGACTCATAATTTATTTCTCCATTTTTTTGAATTTCTGATTGAATTTTTTGAAATTCTTCTGGATTCTTCTCAATATTGACAAGGTCTGTTTTCATTTTCTGAATAATTTTATTGATGCCTGCATCGGGCATTAAATCTTTCAAATTTGCATAAGCTTGGCAGGCATCAAGATTAATTTCTATTTGTTTTCTTCCTCTTTTTGGAATTAATTCCAAATTATTTTCTCTGACAAGCTTTTTGAACATGGTTTTGGATATTTCACGAAAGGTACCATTATTTAAACGGGCCTTTTTGCAAATATCCTTTAGCTTCATTCCAGAGTTAATTTGTTGAACCGATTCCTTTAGCCATTCGATGTCAACTAATTTTCTGGAGGTACGATGCCAGTGATATGGATCCATTTGATTTTTGTAAAAGTTTACAAAAACTTCCATTCTGAAAAATAGTATGGATTTGATATTAAAAAATAATATGTAATACTGTAATATTGATTAAATAATAAAAATAAGTTTTTTTAAAAAAAAATAATTTTGGCGCCAAAAGTCACTTTTTCTAGCGACCCTTTTCGGTATGGTATGAGGAGAATATTAATTTCCTTATAGAAAAATTAAAAAGTGAGACGCGCAGAATTCGAACTTCTTAAAAAGATGATTTAAGTGAATTCTGATGTGGATTCTAAGCATTATATCATGTTTATAATAAAAAATATATTTATAATGTTTATAATATATTTCATTTTTATACTATTTATTGAACTCCATTGAACAAATAGCATATAAATATTTGTATTCTATGCTAATTCTGCTTTAAATCATCAAAATTTTGCTATATATCATGCGCTTTATCATGAATATTCAATTGTAATCAGATAAATTTTATCACCCCAAATACGAAATTTGACAATCTGCCATGTCAAAAATAATTTTCTCCTTCTTATGTATGGCTCTTTCCATTAACAGAGTGAAATTTGTTGATGACAAAGAGTTTAGAAACCTTACAAAATCAAATAACATAGTTGTTGCCCTTATTCTTGAAGAATCAACCGATCATTTTTGGCAATATTGCGAAGTTTTCTCTCATTCTGTTGAAATCGAGACCAATGCAACATTCACTGTCGTTACAGAACTTAATGCGCCAAGAATATATCGAAAATATACGATGACAGAGCCTTGCTACGCATTTTTCTTCAATAACACAGCATTATTTGCAACACGAGCATCCATTGATCTACAAATCTTAAAGCATATTCTCGCAGCATCACTTTTACATCAACCCGCTAAAGTTTCAACAATTGAAGAATTTAATCAGAAATTTGACGCATTTCGATATACAATCATCACTACAGAAGAGTACATTGAAGATGCTCACGATCTATACATCAAACATTCATTTTCTAAAGGTAAGAATTTAATATAAGTTTTTTTTTTCAAAGTATAAAAGGTAAGAATTTAATATAAGTAGAAAGAGTTTAATTTATCATATCTTTAACTGTAAAAATTTAATAAGAATTACAATTTATTAATAAATATGAAAGTTTTAATATATTCTATTAATTACAAAAATAATTTTCATTTTCGATTTAATTTCATTGCATTGAATAAAGTAGATTTCATTTTTTCGACCAAAGCAGGCTTGATCTCGTTTTCTTGTAAATCCAAGTCGATATTCTGATCAATAAGGTAGTCGATCAATGGATAGTTCTTATAGACCAATGCCATTTGCCAGACATTTAAGTTATCTTCACCTTTTTCAGTCCAATCAAACTTTTGCAACAAAATTTTACAAGTATCTAAACTCATTCTTTGAGCTGCCATGTGCAACAAGTTGTTTCCTTTACGGTCTTTGTAATCCATTTTGCAGTTATGTTCCATCAATGATTGCGCAATTTTTTCTCGACCAAAGTCAAGTGCCATGTCTAAAGGAGTTTTGCGTTTTTTATTGATATTATAGGGTGTCCAAAGGTGTGTTTAGCACAAACCTGAATACTGCGAATAGAAATAAACAAGTTACATATATATAAAGTTTATTTAAATATAATCACCATTGGATTCAATCACGCGTTCGCAGCGATCGATCCAGGCTTGAAAGACACGCTTTAAATCATCATGAGAAAATTGCTCAAATTGCTCTCTTACAAAATTTTCAAGATCATCTGGACTCGCGAATTCGCGTCCTTCAGCTCTCTTTTTTAGCGTGCCGAATAAATAAAAGTCAGAGGGTGCAATATCAGGTGAATAAATTGGATTTGGAACAACTTTGACATTGTTTTCCAACAAGTAATTCATTACCTTATGACTTTTGTGAACTCTTGAATTATCAAAATGAATTGCAAACTTTTGTTTTTGTTGTTTGGATTTCTCAAACTCATCAGAATTGATAATTTGAGTAAGAACATTGTCAATTAGATACTGAGCATTCATCGTATTAGGTTTTTGAAGAATATCAATTGCGATGATGCCATTCACGCCCCAAAAAACCGACAACATCATCATTGGTGTGTCAATTTTTTTCTTCGGGAATGTTTGCGGATTTTCATCCTTCGGGATCCACATGATTTTGGCTTCTGTTGCATATTGAAACCAAGACTCGTCCCCTGTTACTAAAAAGCGAAACTTCTTGGATTGATACGCACCCAATATAGAGAGGAGCTCTTTCGAAGATTGGACTCTAGATTTTTTTTGAACTGAATTAAGGTTGTGCGGAACCCAACGTGTATACGCTAGTTTGTAGTTCAAATAATTGTGCAGATAATAACTGACTGTTGTACGTGGTATCTTTGTCATCTCCTCTATCCTTCTGAGTGATGCTCTTGGGTCTTCATCTAGCGCTTGAAGAATTGCTTTGATTTTTCTTTGATCCGGCGATTTTTTGTCAATTTTTATGATGGGCGCCTTTTTGTTCATGAAGTGATACATCCTAACATGATACGTTACAGTGGAATAGCTAGGAGCATCCATACCGAAGCATTTTACCAATGTCTCGTAGATTTTTTTACAGTCTTTGCATTTTTTTGCAAGAGCGAGGATGTTTTCTTTATGATTCATTAAAAAAATGAAAAAAATCCCGCCAAAATTTCCCGCGAAACCGCCTCTTGTCTCAAAATTCATTTTATATCCCGGCATGGCGCCAAAATACAACATACTCATCATATACATATATTCATATTTTTTATTATATATTTATAATCAGCATATATCTCCTTTAATAGTCTCATATAGAGCGCTGTGCTAAACGCACCTTTGGACACCCTATATTTAAATCAATTCCTTTTTCAATCATCAACAAAGCTAATTCTGTTTTCCTTTTTCGATAGCGAACTGAAGTGCATTATCTCCTTCTTTATCTTTTAGATCCAGTTTACAACCTTTTTCTATCAAGAATTTTGCGACATTATCTCTATTGCAAATAAGAGCTGTCATCAAACAACTTTCTTTATCATTGTTGATGTGGTTAATATCAGCACCTTTTTTATACATTTTCTCAATCAAATTCATATCTTCATCCTCGCAAATGCATTGGAATGTCGAGAAACCAAGATTATCACCAAAATTCGGGTCAGCACCATAATCCAAAAGAAGATTGAAACATTGAATTTCTCTTTCATGATGAGCGTAATACAAAGGATAAAAATAGACGCTATCCTTATGATTTGGATTAAACTTGTGTTCTAACAATGTTCTCAAGAGTTCAATCTTTTCATCATGAATTGCAAAGTAGACACAAATCAGATCACTTTTTCTAACTTTGTAATCTTTCAACAAATATTTCAAAAACTCTGCATCACCGTATTCAACTGTTACTGTGAGAGCTGTGTCTCCTTCAGGTCTATACTCTTTATATTTATCAGCTCCATTGTTGAGAAGTAATTTTGCAATAGAAAACTGCTTATGTTCGATTGCATCAAGTAAAGGTGGAAATCCATAATCATTTTTCGCTTTCATGCTGCATTTATTTTCAATAAGAACTTTTGCGGCAGCAATAGAATCAGACTCAATTGCCTTGAAGATAGGTGGTAAGCCATCTCCATCAAGAGAATTCGGATTCAATCCTTTCTTTAATAAGTATTCCATAACTCTAAATGAATTTTTATCTGCTGCAATATGTAAAGGAGTATATTCTTGCAAAATACTGTCTTCGAATGCGAGATTTACTTTGCATTCTGTATGTAAATAATCAAGCATTTCAACACAATCTCTTGATATAGTTTTCACAAGAAAATCATTGAGATTCATTTTAATTCCTTTATCAAGAATTTTCTTTAAAGAAATAACATCATTATTTTTCACGCATTTGCTTGCAGCCATTCTAAAATCGGTTGTTTCCGTTGTCTTTGCAAGAAAATAGTCAAAAACCTTGTCGTAATCGAATGTTTCCGCAATTTCTAACAATTTCTCAATCCGAATATCGGAATTCAAATAAACATAAAGAAAAATATCCAAACTCGAGTGATATTTTGGAATAGTGCTCTCATCAAAGACGTCTGGCCTGTATTTAAGGTATAAATACATGTTGTTGGCCAAACAAACATAACTATTGAAAAATGTTTTGGCATCATCGTATTTGCTTTCACATTCTGTGATAATCTCATTGTTTCGACCACGTATCGCATTGAGAAGTGTTCTACCGATGATTATGAAGCCTTTTGATTGTAAGAATTTGAAGATTTCTGTTGATCCGTATCTTGCTGCTAATTTTATCAATGTATACTTATCTGTGGTGTCGTAATTGTTGCTGTTGAAGTATTTATAGAATTCATCGACGTTGTTATGAAGAATCTGATAGAAAATTGTATCTTTTTTTCGAACATTCAAAATTTCTTCAGTTGTAAGTTCTTCGACACCATAGATTTTCTAAAATTCCATATTGGGGAAGTACTTACGCTTGAATAGCTCTCTAAGTGAAATGCGCCTCAAAAAATGATGATCAAAAAGAAATGGCTTCTCATCATATGCTTTTGTTAAGAGTTCCCAGTATTTTCTTGTATGTATAGAGTTGATCATGCAATAGTTGTCGATCATTGTGACAATTGTTCTGTTGCTAGTGAAATTTTTTCTGTTATAATCAAGGATTTCTTCAATAGTATGATCATTAATGTGGTCGACCATATCACGAAGAACAAAGAACTCTTTGAACTGTTCTTTCAGCTCATTCAGTTGTTCGATATTTTTCATCTTCTAAAAAATAATGGCCTATTTTGAAAACCAAAATGAAATTTAAATTCAATAGTTATTGATGAATTGTATTTTAAAATCATAAAATTTAAAAAAACGAATTCAAATTTTTTTGAACTTTTGGATTTTTGACTTTAATCATAAATATTTGTAATATATCATAGAACCACAGTCAGATTTCAACAATATTGGATTGTTTTCAGGAAAAAAACTTTATTGACCATTAGAAAAAAAATGGAAGAAACTGATGCACAAGCTCAGCCAAAATTAGATGATCTTGGAAGGATTATCCCTGAAACTGAAGAGAATAAGGAAGCTCCAGTTGAAAATCCAGTAAGACATCTTATTGACGCTAATATTAAAATTGAAGATTTCGAGTCAGAGCCAATTGATATTAAAAAGTCAGCTGCTGAACTTGCAAGGTATTTAGTCAAATCTATGTCGCCAAGACAAAAACTATCTTCAGAATTAGTTAAACAAATCGGTGGAAAAATTTTCACAGCAGCTACACAGCCAAGACTTATCAAACAAGTTGCAATGGACAGTATCGCAACGAATCCTATCAGTCCAAGTACATTAGCTGCAATTATTGGTTTTTATACAATCGAATATGCCGACGCTACAAAGAGAACAATCATCAACGACTTAATTCCACAAGCAATAAGCAAAGCATTTACAGAAGACAACTATACAACAGTTAAACGTTTTCTTATTTTCTTAAGTTGCTTTATCTCTTACAACTTTGTTACAAAGGAGTCATTTATCGCTCTCCTCAACGACCTTGCCGCTAAGCTTGACGAAGCCAGCGATTTCAGACGCGATGCTATCTCCAGAATTATATTATTCATCTGCAGAACAGCTCCAGAAGAAATTGACGATGAATCGTTAAATGGCATCATCAGCAAGGTACGTCCATTCGTAGAAGACACTACATTCATCAGCCGCTACAAGCAAACAGAAGATTCTCAAAGTATCTCACAATTACTCCTTCAAATGCCAGTTACTCCACGTTTCGACTTCCATACATCGGATTACGCCGAACTCTTCAAGGCTAGATCATCTCCTATCGATATTCCAAAAATAGAATTCACATTTGGAGAACACGACCTCGCACCACCTCCAGTTATGTGCCTCAACATATACCAATCCGATATCGAGACATTCCCAGTCCTTTTAGACACATGTTTCGATATTATTACATTCTTATCACCAGATTTACAAGCTATGGTCGATATGTTGTTCACTCTTCCATTATTAGACCATAACGCTGAACTTTACGCTGAACAAATCGATTTCGGAGCAGACGAATACAGACATTACGTCGAGGCCATCTTTACAGCCATTCTTTCCGATATGACTCGCATCCCAAGATCCGCTTATCCGCTTGCTTTCCATGCCTCCCTCATTACTTCCCTTCTTACCGACCGACCAGAGCTCATTGAAATTTACCAGTCTATCGTCGACAAATTGGTCAATAACTTATCCCTCGATTTCTGCTTGTTCAGACGCATTGTTCTTGTTCTTTCACATGCATTCTGCAACATCGGAAAGTCACAACTTCGTGTTCCACCGTTGAGATGGGATGACTGGAAGGGAGCCGCTCAAATCGAGTCAAATTCTGACGCAAGGAAATTGTTCATTCAAAGTTTCATGGAACACGTGTCACTTTTCGGAAATTGGGAAGTCATCAAAAAAGACGTTCCTGAAGAGTTCTACAACTTGGTTTACAATACAAACCAGGGAGAACCTGATAACGATATCAAGACATTGCATACAAAGATCGAAACAGCTATGGAAGAAGTCGAGAAATATATCACAGAAAATACAGCCAAAATTGGTGAAGCTGGCACCCTTGCCCTGCTCCTTAAGGCCATTTTCATGGGAATTACAAGCGGTGAAGCTGCTATAAAGACTATTAAATTGCAAAATAATCTCATTATGGACTATTTCAAGTCAGATACCCAAGATTGGAGAGCGCAACAGTTGGTTGATACAGTTTATAATATCTTCAAGGCCCAGCCAACAGTTCTTTCCCAAGTTATTGTTTATTTCATCAACTATGACTACGTTAGAGACAAAGATTTCTTCGATTGGTTGTTCGAAGAAACCGACGAGGCTAAAGCAAGACTACTTATACCAACAACATGGGACGTTTTCCAGAATGTTATCGATTGCATCTCAGGTTGTTATGAAGCAGAAGGAAGAACAGAAGACATGACAGAAATGCTCAAGCTCCTCTTCGAAAGAGTCATAGAATTGTACAATGAACTCTCTGGAGCGATGATTGAAAGACTTCTCAACGGAAACCTTAAGGAATTCATCCTTGGTCATACAAAGGCATTCGCTGCTGCTCAGGTCGAACTTAGAGGACTCATTTCCGATTCTACAAAAGCTGAATTTGTTCAATTCTTTGATAAGCTTGCCCTTCTCTGCCAATAAAGAATTTTTATTATTAAGGATACCCTTACATTGCGTAGTTAGAAAGAGAATATGATATTGTCATGATTGCTAAAGTTTTAGGCTCCAGAAATGAATATACATCAAACTGAAACAATTGATAAATTGAATGAACTTTTGAGAGGTTCTCAAATAAAAAAAATTATCTAATTTTTTACAATATTACTATTATTTTATCCACATATGTATATATAGTAATTTGAGAAAACTTTTAGGAAAAAATAAGTTTAATAAAAATCTGAATTTTACTTGTTGTGGGATTGTTATTAATTGACACTCCAGACGTATTACTAATAGTTATGCGTATGCAATTAAAGTATTTCTGATGGACAAAATGTGAGATTTATATCAGATAATTCATTTCTACTATTAAGTTATTCATTTATGAGTTTGCACTTATTCGCACTAAATAAATAACTATTAAAAATTGTTTTAATTAATTGACACCATATAATAGAGTGAATTTTGTTTGATCAAACAACAATAGATGATAGATATAAAGCCAAGAAACTTGCTATTAATATGCTCTACTTGCTATTTCAATGTAAGTATGATATTTTCTAAATGTTTCGTTCAGATAACTTAGATATATTAGTCAAAATTTGAAATTTTAATAGCACATATATTAAAAATAATTATTATTCATAAAAGATTAATGAAATAGTAAAAAAAAATCAATCAAATTATAAAAATACAACATTTAGAAGAATTCTTATTATCCTTCAAAAAGTCAGTATTTCTGCTGTAATTTTCTACAACATTGTAGTTATTGCACTTTGTCTATGGATTTGTATATATGTTATATATAAATTATATATCTAAACTGCCCATAAGTGCAATTTTTATATAAATTGTTTTTTCTTTAACAATTTCATATGAAATATGCTTTTTTAAGCGTATCAAAGCTGTGTTCTTAATGTGCATGGATATATCAAGAAAAATGTCGAAAAAAAATGTGAATTCACAAATTCACTGAATTTTCACCGTTTTTTGAATTTTGCTACAGCACTAATATTAAATAATACTAAAATCTTCTGTCTTTGTAAAAGAATAAATTCTGACAAAAAGTGCTCGTTTAAATTTAATGATCATCTGTATGACTAAGTGGTAAAAAGTGTTTATGACCAAAAAAGGGTTACATGCTTAGTCTATTTTTCTGACAGGATACTCTAGATTTACATGATCTCTATTTCATATCTCCGTTTTTAGATTCTTCGACAGATTTTATAATAGAAAACCAAGATTAACAAATTTCCGGCATGTTAATGAAGAAATCTGCAGCTACCCTCAATATTATTTCAATAATCAGTATCGTTTCTCTTACAATTTATTTTTTTCTCAATAATTTAACAAGAAATAACAATACACACTTGGTTTTACGTATAAAAGCTAAGTGTCGAACTTAATCAACTTTACTTACTTAGCAAATGAATATTTTTGTGGTTGCGAGTTCTGAATGCTGAAGTTTTAGATTTCTCTATAAATGATATCATTGCACTTACAATGTTGTTCCAGCCTATCGCATAAATCATAGAAAATCCAAAAAAAAATAATATAAAGAAAATTCATGTCATGAAGTTCAAAAAATACCGTGTAACATTAAAATTTGTTATGCATAATACATTTTAGCTATTATTGATTTTTTTTAATTTTCGAGAAATTGAATGGTGAGTCCGATAGAGAAATTTTTAAAAATCCTAGTGCCTCATAGAAGTAATTTCCCTCGTCTCCCATACTTCCAAATGTATGCATATGACATAAACTTTTATGCATTACACAAGTGGCCAATAATATCTATAGAGTAAAAAATTAGAAATTTAATTTTTTTATATGATAGTTATATTTCAGATTTGCGAGCGTAACTTTTTTCTCCATGGCATACTTGTTTTAAGAGCAAATGATCAAAATCGTCCTTCAATTATTGAAGGAGCTGATATCTTTTGAAAATTGAATTGAAAGGGTATTCAATTTTCAAATTTCCTCTCAATTTTGGAAACATATCAACTCTATGAATTAACAATTATGTGCCTTCACAGTTTATCAGTCATATAAGGTGCTTATAAAGAAAAAAGTTACGCTCGCAAAATATGTTTTTATATAGATTTCACATAAAATAATTATGTAATTTCTAAAAAGAATATTTTTGTTCTTGAATATTAAAGTGTATTGTAGTTTAAAAAGTTTTAAATATGTTGCTAAAATTTCAGGTTTATAGCTCATGTCTAGCATGACTTCTTCGTATGCGCAAAAAATCTGACACGTAAGGGTATCCTTAAATTTTAAAAATACACTATTTTTTAATTAAGGGTGCACCCGTATGTACGTTTATTTGAGAGGAGGAGGATTACCCTCTCAATTTTGAGGGATTCGTTAGTTTATTTTCTCGATGAATATGCAATGAAATTTGATTTTTACCTTATCAATATACTTCATATAATATACACATGTTCATGTAAAAACTTTTTTCCAAAATCCTCAGGAATTAAGGGATTTTTGAATTTTAAGAATTTTTTCAAATTTTTTCGAAAAAAAAATATTTTCAGAACATCCTTAACGGCTAAGATTTAGGAACAATGTTAAGTATCAAAAAGAAAGGAGGTCTGATATAGACAACATATATCGTTGAAGGTTGAAAAAATCTCCAATATTTGAGCCCAAAATTTCAAATTTTAATTTTTTGAAAAAAGAGGCCACCCGTATGTACGTTTATTTGAGAGGAGGAGGATTATATTTTTGAAAGGGTGAAACATTATGAATATGTTAATTATATAATAATATGTATTATTATAAAAAAGAAAAAATAAAGCACGTTAAAATTTTTCTTTCTTGATTTTTTACAAAATCTACTTAGAATTATGCAAAATATGACTAAATAATTATAAATTTCAAGTTAAATTTTAATTTTGATAAATAATTTAAATTTCAAAATATCAAGTTCAGTTCGACTATGTATGTAGTAATTCCTCAATAAAGTGCCAAAACCCTATTAAAATATATGAACATTTTCAACATTTTAATGTTTTTATTTAAAAATTTGATGGAATATGAGCTTCAAACAATTATTATGTAAATAAAAATAATTAAAATATGTATTTATTCGTATTACAACCGTAGTAAGTCGATTCTTCCTTTCTTCTACTGAGTTTTGAATTTGATTTCGAATTGTAAAGAGATTCAAAGGGAAAATACTAGCGGATAAAAACTACCTCCATGAAAGGGTCATAATGGAGTCAAGTTGTATTTTTTGATATTTTTTGCTTTTCGAGCCGAAATAGGTAGCCAAGATAATGCCTAAAAATAAGGTTCTAAATTCTGAAGTTTACATGATCCTCTCGTGTGCACCCTTAAATTATATGTTTAAACTTCAAAATATAGTTGAGCGATATTAAAAATTTATTCACTTTTAGAAAAATTGATGATTTTCCTTGTGGTAATTTCTTTTTCTCCTTATCTAAACAATATCCGTGTTCCGAAATTTTTCCAAAAAAAATTCAAAATTTTAAAAATATATAGAAAAAATTTAAATTTTAACTTTAAAACGAGGATTTGAAAAAAATTTAGAAAACAAACATGTGTTGTTTTATATTTGGTTCATTATTCTAAAACTAAACTCAACATCAATGGGTCAATTTGAAAATAATTTTCAAATTGATGTTGTTAATTTTCAATTTGAAATTATTTTAAAAAACACCATATTTTTGAGTTTGACTTTGATAATTCATGAATTTCAACGCATTTTTGATATTAAATCGGAAATATGGTTAAAAATAGATGGATCATTTTAATCTCTTCTTATTTATCATATTAGATGCTGAGCAAGAGAATATTATTTTCAAATAATGGATTTGAAATGACAACAGAGTGTAAGACTATATTGAAAACAAAAGTGGAGAAAAAAAGTCGATTCTTAGCGAAACTCATGAGTTTCGGATAAATCAACAATATACTGTTATATAGTATGACTTATATTCTTGTTATTTGATTATGAGTATAGTCGTTTTTTTTCAATAAAATCAAAATTCTATAATGAGTCGATAATTTTTAACGCACCATTATTTTTTTTAATCTTCATAGGATATAACATACTATATGAATAACAAATTAGATTGTAATTTGAGAATGATATGGCAAATTTTTATCAAGAAACCATACAACTTTTTTTTTGATGAATGAATAGTTGTACTTTTATTTTTATCGATATCAACGAGAATAAAGTTACATTCAATGTCAAGAAACCTAGTACCGCGTTGAGATATATCGATTTCTTCAAGAAAGTCTTAGAAAATGCAAAGAAAATGCAATATTTTTTCAATATTAACTACGATGCTTTCACAATTGAATGCCATTCTAATAAAAAGCATGTTGATATTAATGAAAATATATCCGATGACGTTCAAGAACTAGAATTCAGACAAAAAATGAAAAAAACTAAATTACAAATAGAACCACATTCAGGGATAACACTAGATATACCAATTAATGAGCAAGATCCTCCAATTGACGAAAGTTGTAGATTAGTTTTTAACGATATTAACGGGACTAGGATTGTATCAGAAGTTAAGAAACCCAACCGCGAGTTGAGGTATATCGATGTATTTGAGGAATTTTTAAATGATGCGAAGAAGAAAGGGTATTTTCGCAAAATTAACAACGATATTTTTACTATTGAGTGCAAATCAAATAATGAACCTGTAAAACTTCATGAATATGTACATAACGATGTTCAAGAGCTAGAATTCAGACAAAAATTTAAAACGGTTCAAGATTTACTGAAAGACAGCAAGATAACCAAAAAACAAATAGACAAACATCCAGAATATACATTAAATATTTTAGAGAATACAAATCTCAATATCCCAGATTTTACAAATTTCATAATTAAAGATTATAATAAAAATACCTCCGAATTGATCGAATTAGTTGATTTAACAGACAACACTGCATCTCAATTTCCTTTATCTCTGTCAGAATCAAAAGATAAAAATTCTCCAGAAGAATCAATCAAAATTATCATACAGTTCCTTGATTTTTACAATATTAATGTAAATAAAGAAGAAATAAGAGCTGTTTACCAAATTATTCCTCAAATAGATACTGTAATTAACTTGTTTTTAGATAAGAATTCTCAAACTTTTTGATATTACTTTTAAATTTGTTTGTATGTAACTAAAGTACAATTTAGTTTATTGTTTTGTTTGTAATTTATTAATTTTTTTAATCAATAAAAATGACAACAATTTTCCATTATGATTTTAAAAATTAATATATTTGTATCACATTTTTAGTATCTAATCAAAATTAGTTACAATATTTCAATAAATTTCGGTTTATCTTTTACATTATTTGTTAAAACTTAGAGTGAAGTAGATCTATCATTAGTCTTTGCATCTTTATCAGACAAAAGATATTTATCAACTTCAAGAAACCATATTTTGATGTACCAATGAGTGGATAATGTCCATTTTTATCCTTTATTTCTTTTATCAACTACAAAAGAAAAATAGAAATTTAATAATTTCAAGATGGCCATGAGTTGGTGAATTCCTGTGTTAAGCATATCTATATTTATCCTTCATTTTCATATCAACACAACCAGAGATAAGATATTTAATAACTTGATGTTTATCGAATTTGATGCATGAAGGAGTGGAGTCCTTCCATTGTTACAATTTTCTTTTTTATGAACGTCTTAATTATGCTATCAGAAGAGCTTAAAGGGAAACTGTCGATAGCAATAGCTTTTGTTTCATTCAATGTAAATGTATTCAACAAACACCTTTGCTCATGTACAGACATATTTATAAACAATTTCCTATAAAAATGATATGTTACAAATTCTCGGAGCAATACATTCAATTAATGTATGATACATCATAATTAGAAGATGATTATTGCGTGAAGAGTCATCGTTCTGAATCATTTGTGTATATTAGCTTTTAAATACTTTTATATCAAGAATTCTAATTAATTAGACAGTCAAACTGATTAAATTTAAAAGGAACTCAACATGACAAATAACAAAGAAATAGAATTCAGACGAGATTGGGACAAAGTTGCAATTCGGCACTTTTTGTAAAAAAAATGGGGTCATACTCATAATGAATAGAGACTTATAGCCAAGTCTTGATATCATGCAGGGAGAATATACATAGATAAGCAATTATATTTTATAGTAGTAGTATTCAGAAATTCTTACAATTTACAATACAATTTTCAAAAATGGATAAAGACTTATAGCCAAGTCTTGATATCATGCAGGGAGACTCTCTACAAATACAAAAATTGATTATCATAAGGAAATACAAATTTATCAATTTTCATGTGAAAATTACATAAATTTGTTCTCCAATAAATAGCAATAATACTTTGAATGTTATATTAAGTAATATAGCTTCAGGTAAATAAGCTAGTTAGTACACCAGTCTTGGGTATGGTGGCATTGCGTTCCACCTTACCCAATACTTGTGAATTTGACACTTTACAAAACCGTTAACGTACATTTTACAACATGAACGCAAAAACTAACTTAACCTTAAATATTTACAAAGCCGCCAACCATTTCACCTCACTAACGAACTCACTAATGAAAAAATAAACGTTCTCATAAATTTTCTTCTATATCTTCATCGTCAATGTTAACTCTATTGTAGTCATACTTGAAGTCATAAAGTTTCTCAAGTTTTGAAATGCATAGTCTTGTTAACTTACCTTCATCATCATAAGTTTTTATAAAACTACCATGACAATCTTTATACACAGTCAATGAAAAGTCAACTGGTCTAGGATGAAGTGTAAAGAACATGTTATGCTCAGGAAGGAAGAATAAATGTTTAAATGTATGTTTGTTATATTTTTCGATTTGTATGAGTTGCTTTTGTTCTGTCATTTACATCCAAATAAAAATTTTCAGTAAAATAAAAAATTAATGATATCACCACCCTCACACGTATGAAAACATAGCACAAAAATAAATTTAGGTGAAGTGGTGAGATTTCACCTCTTTTTTCACCTGTTTTTTCACCCACTTGAATTCATTGCTTTATAACTCTCTTCCTTGGTTTCTTTTTAGTTGCTTTCTTCACGTCTGTCTCCAACTTGACTGTCTTTCTTCTTCGTCCGTAATGATACCAGTTACTTCCACCAGTCAATGGGTCAAATGGTCTTTCGTAAGGGTTTCCATACATTCCATAGGGACCATACGGAAGAACTACTGGTGGAGAAGAGTTCCATCGACTCTATTTAAATGCATTGTTTCACCTTTCATCTGGTCATTAAAGTCTTTTGCGTGTTTTGCAAACTCATCGTCCTTTCCTAAAGCATTTTCTGACTCAGTCGCAACCAAATTGGATGCTTTATTTATGAGTCCTATTTTATTTAATCTTAACTTCTTTGCAACCCAGCCTCCAATCTTTCCTTTATTTGCATCTAATGTCTTCGAAACCTTCCTCCACTCATTTTATTTACTGCGTCATAAGCTCCAAGTGCTTTTGCTCCAAATGCTAATGCTTTTGTTCCCATTGCGCCTAAAGCTGCCCAAGCTACCATTTACACCATATTAAAATCATCTCTCTTCAATATTATCTCATAAAAGTTCTCGTTACTGGAGAAAGTCAATGAAACATAAACATTCTCATTCATAAACTTCTTTCTTATATCATCTATTCGCTTCAAAATGTCTGAACAATTGCTAACATCTTCTACAACAGTTATTTCATCATGAATGACCTTCAAGAACAAGCTCATTTAATATGCTATTAAAATCATCTCAATAATGAGTCCATCCTTTCCATCTTTAGGTAGCACAACATCTTTCATTGAAGAAGGTTCGACAAGTCTTATGTTAAACTTACTGACAAAGTTTGTTATACTATAATGCTTCGGTGGCGAATACATGTAGTTTGAAAGACATAATATAGATTCTTCAGCAAATTCACTTATACTGGATTTTATAACAATGTTCTCACGAGACCAAATACCACCAATTGACAATCTTGTAAGCAATCCTGCTGAACCTTCAACTGTAAACGTCGATGGTAACATTCCACGAAGGTCATCTATTGACATCGTTGAGTCACTGAATTTAAATATTTTCTTAAAGCAATCGTCATTATCTAACCATGCAATAGCTTTGAAGTTTTCATTCGAATATACATCTGCTTCATTAAATGTAAAACCTGACTTCTTTGCAGAGATGACTTTAAAATCTATTGAGTTTGTTTCAAAATTATATGCTATGCTAACTTCTGAAGGTAATGGTGTCCTTCCGCAGTCAGTTGTTCTCTCACTACCGTTTGAAGCTTTGTGTTAAAAACTTTCATGTCATCTCCTGTGTCTAGGTTCACATACACAGCAACAGGAAAACTATCTTGCTTCTTTGTTTCATCATTATACCTCAAAACATTAAAGTTCTTCAATAATATTGTTCTTCCTGCTGGAATACTTCGAACCTGTCTTATTTCAATAGCTTTCTCACCTCCTACATACTCTACCCAGTGTCTTGGATATTCATAAGTATACTGACTTTCTTGAATTTTGGTAGGTTTCATCATAACGTGTTCATAGTATATCTTTATACTCTTGTCAGTTAGACTCGGTGCTATGTTCTGAATATTTCTGACTTGCATTTTTAATGGAGATAAAATGAAGCATTTAATACATGACGTAGATGAAGACATGAATGAAACTACAGACAAACTTAACTCTTCTCTCATTCTTCCTTTCAGTAAGGACTATGAGTTCTGTTCAAATGGCGTTTATTTCTATTGTGGAAAGATGGGTTCAGGTAAGACATTTAACCTCATTCGTCATATACTCATAACAGAACGTTTAGGAAACGACTCATATTATGACCAAATCATTATATCAGCAACTTCAGACTCTATGGACTCAACAGCGAAAACATTTATGTCAAAAGTTCAAGCCTCTGTCGTTAAAGTTCCAGACAGTGAACTCATTGAATTTCTTCAACGTTACATTCGACGTAAGAGGAAATATTATGCCATCGTTGAATTTACAGTCAGGAATGCAAAAGACTTCAGAAGAGATGGAAAGAATTATTGACAAACACCACTTACGTCAGTACTCAGGAGTTTACGATATGAAACGACTGACAAACTACATTCTATCAAAACTTTCAAAATACCCCTTCAAAAAGTATCCTTCAAACACTCTGCTCGTTTGTGACGACTTCGCTGGTAAAGGTTTAGTGTCAAAACCAGACTCACCATTAGCTAACATCATACTAAAGTCAGACATTACCACTTAACTGTAGCAATACTTATGCAAACATGGAGGTTTTTAGCTTTAAACATAAAACGTCTCATAACTGACTTCGTTATCTTTCAAGGTTTCTCACGTTATGATATTGAACTCATTTGGAAACAGTCAGGTATAACATTACCTTTTGAAGAAATTTGGGAAGCATATAAGTCTCTCATCTCTCCTCGTTCATACCTTGAGATTCATATCATGACTAATACCATTAAAGTCAAAAATATTCCATGGGAACGACCAACATTGTTTTAAAGTTTAACCTTCAATTGACTGATGGTAAACAAATTCCATGCATCTCTGTCGCCATTTCTGTTAATATTTTTGCTGTCATTCATATCATCCACTTCCCCATCCGTTAGCTTTTGAGGATATGCGTTAGAATAGCTGTTCTTAAATGAAGGCTTTTCACCTTTGAGAGCATAAACTCTATAACTTTCTGCATACTTTATGTTTGAACCTCCTGAGCCATCATTGACATAAATTTTTATAGGCTTCCACCCTTTGTTCATGTTCCTGCTTCTTCCCTTAGCTCTTTTGTTCAGTAGTTCTACATCTTTATACACAGCTCCTGTCTCAGTGAATTCAACAATATTTTCATTCGTTAGCTTTACATTCAAACCCTTGTCGAGTATATTGTTCATTTCATACATATAAAAGGTTTTTATTCTATATGAAATGAGAAGCAAATCCATCTTAGCTGGTGCCGTTAATGTTCCAATTGAACCAACATCAAATGTTGACTCACGAACGACAAACAATATTGTCATAAAGAACTATAGTTCAGAGTGTTTGAAAGAAAAAGAACCAGAACTGAAATCCGTGAATTTAAACTCAGCTTCAAACGCTAACGCTACATCAGATGTTAAGTTAGAGTATCCACCACTGGACCAAATTCTTTCAAGAGAAGCCAACGACAACCCTTACACAAATGTTCAAACAAATCCTTCAGATAACGTAGACCATTACCTTCTTCAGTTATACCAAACAATTTTACTCAAAGACGATAAGAAGCTTTTGACAAATCTTATAAGTAAGAACCAAATAATTCTAACAAAGGAGGACCTTGAAAATGTTATATCACGAATAACAGGGAAACAATGTGTCATTGACTATCTCGACCCTGAAATCGAATGCTGTGGTCAAACGCCACCATTCATGAAAATAGGTAACATCCGCATCATTGAAATACCAGGAACTACAGGAGTTGAGTTTAAGTATAAATATTCGAACGAGTATACAAAACTTTCAACAGAATATAAACTTTGTTTGAAATATGTTTTAGTAAATTAAAGCAATTTGTAATATCTATCCAAAACTTCTTCAACAGTATCGAACTCATCTTCATAATGCAAACCTAATCTTATTGACTTGGTGCAGTTTTCACTAACACAATATAGCGCTTTGCGCTCGGCGCCTTTGACGCCTTTTTCTGTTCTCTTGACTGACATAACTAACTCATTTGTTTCATCAAACAGCAATAACCAAAGTTCATGACCTAATACATAACATTCATACTTTATATTTTTAGCTCTGAGTTCTCTTGTAAGCTGTTGCATTTAATATTTTCTAAAAAGTCAACTTCAACAGTCATTCGCACTGGTGCCTTCAGTTCTACAGGCTCGCCTTGAAAGTCAACAAGTCTGAATTGCATGTCTTTCAAATTATGAGGACTAATGCGAACCCATTTACCTAAATGAGTTGCTATGACAGGAACGTTTGGAATGAACATTGAATTGACTGCATAACAGAAAGACTTATATTCTACTGAACCTTTACTATTAACTCCTGAAATGCCTGTGACATTAGCTATTTTAGACTCAATGTATAAACAATTGCCATAACATACGTATGGAACAGATTTCATCTCAATCGTTTTGTCAATACTTTTCAAAGGAAATGTCATATGGTATGCACCCAGAAGCAATTGAACTCTATGACTCATTCGTGTTATCTTAAACTCCTTCGCATAACTGAACTTCAAAACTCCTGCAATAAGTTTAACATTCATTAAGTTTTCTTCGTTATCCTTGTTTATTGTAGTATTTATGAGAGCATTTAACACTCCAGCTAATGTTTCCATCTTATATTCTACATTATTGTGAAATCTTATTTCATGCTTCTTTCCATCTATTTCAATCTCCATGAAATCTGTTTCATCTGTTTATAACGAATGAAGCGATAGTATTGAAGTCAACCATTCTGAATGCAAGTGGCTCATTCTGTAGACCTAAGTTTGTTTGTAGCTTTACTGTCCCGTATTCGTTTGGGTCTGTACTTTGCAAATAGAACAACATTTTATTCTCATTAAAATATGAGTATAGCTGCATATGCGTATGAAGCTGACAGAGCTAAACGTTTATATTTTGGTCAATACTCTCTCACACTTACTGACAAATATATTGTTATTTCTGATGGAAATACTGAGAAATACATAACATGGAAGGACTATGAAAAGTTTGACCCTATTTTAACTCCATGTACAATGCCTTTCATTGTAAATGGAGAAGTTGTCATGAAGAACGACACAACAGTATATAAGTCTGTTCATGAAGCATTAGAATATATGTTGAATCATAACCCCGAAATATTTGACCCAAGCACTACGCCATGTACAATGCCCTTTATTAAGGACGGTGAAATCGTAAGAGTTCCGGATTCAACGGTTTACACAGCTGTTCAAAACAGTTTACAAAACATTTTAGCGAATATCTTTAATTCAGAAACTACAGAAATGAAATTACCATATATAACAGATGCTAAAGAAATTAAATCAAAAACAACAACATTATTTACGTCACTTAATGATTTAATGACTTATATCATTAATATTCCTGCACCAACTACAGCATTTGATCCAAACTCGACGGTTTGCAGTGTACCTTTCATAAAGGACAGTTCAGTAATTGTTTTAAGGGATTCGACAGTTAATGAATCATTAAAGGCTTCATTAATGAAAATCATTGATTTTAACTCATTCATGAATACATATAATTCATTCATTAATGTTTCATATGCTTCTAAAGAAGGTGAGCCAAAAACTATCGATAAAGCGGTGTATGAAATAAAAGCATCAACGACGAAATTGAATTCGTTAACTTTTGACGGTGATAGTTTCGTTAATGACATAACATCGGGGAAAACAATTTTAACGAAAGAATATTTAAAATCTCATGTTAGTGAGTTCGTTGAAATTGAAAAAGAAGGTGGAATTAAGTTCGATCCACTGAATTTCATTTTCAACTTAGCGAATGCGGGTGTTAGTTTCGCTGAATGGACAACTATACAGAGTGAAATAAATGCAATATGGACGTTTTTGGGGTCAAAAGCGGGAATGGGTGAGCTTGTAAATGCTGCAAGAACATTAGGTGAAACAGGAAATTTTGTAGATGGTTTTAAAAGACTTGTTTCAAATGTTTTAACAAACACAAAGAAATTATTTAGATATACCATACATAACGGACGGATTTTCGAACAGGTAGCAACAAACCCTCCGGTTATGGCTGCGTTGATGATGGTTAGAGATATAAAACCACGTAACGACAGGAACGAAGAACATGAACAACAGAGCCCAACGGGCTCAGAGCCACATAGTGGCGAGGATACTGGTCGGGTTATTCGAGACATTAAAAACGTGTATCCTGAAGTTATTGATTTATTTAGAGGAGTTAATGATTCAATTTCAAAACATTCTATAACCCTCGATGAAGAGAATAAATTAACAGATTATATATTCGTCATTATTGCAGAATTAATGAAGAGAATAAATGAAAAAGGAATTGGTGATATCATTAATGTCAGCGATGTAATGATGAAAAGAAATTTTGACTCATTATTTACAAAACCGAAAACAGAATATAGTCTTTATGACGTAATTACCGAATTAATGAAAAAGATTAATGATAATAAGAGTTCTGGCGGAAGAGTTGAATTAGAAGTGAATGATGTTAATGAGAAATTAGCCGAAAAAGCAGATAAAAACCACGTTCATTATATAACTTCAGACGAACAGATTATAACGGACTACCATGGATATTTAACACGAAGTGATGAAGTGAAGACGGAAGATGTTAATGAAAGAAGATATAAATACATTCGTGCTAAAGGTTATGACATAAGCTGTACTGTACAGTATGACACGGGTAAAGCACCAGAAGCATTTAGTTATAACGATGAAATTTATGCCTCTACTTTCTCTGTTAACGGTGTATTAGTTGAACCAAGATTTACTTTGAGAGTTAAGGCAAAAATAACGTTTGAAGATGCTATTAAAAGTAAAGCTGACAAAGTTGAACTCGAAGCAATGAACAAAGTTTTGAAATCTCATAAACACAACATCTCCGATATAAATGAACTTCAAGCTACATTAGACAGTAAAGCTGACAAGAACCATACAAACGAATCCTTCACTACTGTTAGAGCAGACGACATAATATTGAACTTTGACCTTGGTTCAAGTGCACCATTAGAAAATCCAAGTACAAGCGTAAAAGATACACTAAACTCCTTAAATAGTAAATGTATGAACATTGAAGGTCATGTCAGAAACTTTGAAGCACATGAACTACCAGCAATGTTAGATAAGAAAGCAGACAAGAACCATACACATGATTTCTTCACAACTGTTGGTATAGAAAGTATTGAAGGAACGGTTGAAGAAACTGGTGGGGATGCATTATATTGTAAACCTCCTAACTTTCCACAAGGTTTAACATCGGATGACGACATAACGACGATGAGAAACATTAGATGTAAAGATGTTTATGTCATGAAGGATGAACATAATATTAAATTCACTGCTCAAGATTTATATGATAAGAAAGCTGACAAGAACCATACACATAAATCCTTCACTACTGTTAGAGCAGACGACATAATATTGAACTTTGACCTTGGTTCAAGTGCACCATTAGAAAATCCAAGTACAAGCGTAAAAGATACTCTTAACAATTTAGATAAGAGTTGCAGGAATACCGAAGATCATGCCAGAAACTTTGAAGCATATGAACTACCAGCAATGTTAGATAAGAAAGCTGACAAAACTTATGTGGATGCAGAACTAACAAAGAAATTTTCGAAACCAGATACAATGACATTTACAACAGAAATTATAAATGGTGAACCAGCAACTCCATTTGAATTTGTTAGAGGTCTTCAACCAGATACTTTTGAATTTTTCTTGGATAATTCTATTGAACTAACATTACATTATAAAAGTGGAACAAATGCAACATTTCATCCGGGAGATACATTCCAAATGGTATTTAATGACATAAGTTCTTTAGAATATGTTTATAGAGTTATGAGCATATATGATTTAATATATCCTATAGGCGCTGTTTATACGTCTATGAATCCAATAAATCCAAACACTTTATTTGGTGGTAGATGGTATGAAATAGTTGACAGTTTCCATTCTACACTAATACGCAGTCAATGAAGATGGGAGGTTCAAAGAAAATAGGTATTGAAAACCTTCCTTCACATATGCATAGGTTCAGTGGAAGAACATCTGTGGAAGGAAACCATTCACATTCAATAACAAAAAGAGGTTATACAAATCTTGCAGCGGGTTCGGATAGACAGGGAATGCATAGATATGATATTTCAACTGACCAGTAGATTCAAGCACAGGTATTTTCTGTGGAACTGCAGGAAATCATACACATGTTGTAGCTGGTATTACAGACCCAGCAGGTAATGGAAAAGATTATATGCCTCCTTATATAACAATGCACGCTTGGATACGAGTTGGTTAAAATCTTTAACTTTACATAAATGAGCTTGAAAGAAGTATTCGAACAACATCCATGGAGGTCATTTAAGAAATTCAATGAAGCTGCAAAGAGTTGGGGATTTACTAACAGAGCTGAAGTGAAAAGGTTCTTTGACAAAAATGTTGTACATCAAACAAAAATAAACCCTTACGACTACTTTTTACCAATTTACTCCAACACTCCTGACGCATACCAATTTGACACTCTCATTCAAAGCAGAAAATGTGGTCATAAACCATTCCTCATCTTCATTAATGTTAACACTCGTAAAGCATATGCATATCCAATGAAAAATAAAGGAACTCGTGAAGTGTTAAGAGTTTTACAAAAGTTTGTAGCAGAACATAGCCCAAGTACTTTAACATCAGACCAAGACAGTGCATACCTCAGCAATGAAATCACAGATTTTCTCATTAAGCATAACATAACTCACTACACTACTGAAGACCATAACCATAACATACTCGGTATCATTAACCGCTTCATAAGAACGCTCAGAGATTTAAATCAAGAAGAAAAGTATATACAAAAGAAACGAAGCCAAACACAAAATATCAGAAATTCAACACAATTTACCCTCATTCCTGGTACAAAAGTTCGTGTAGTTCTTGACGACAAACCGTTGACAAAGAAACGTTTAAGGTTAAGTAGAAACTATTATATCGTAGACTCTACACAAGGTAATGGATATCTTATAAAAGCTGCTGACGACTCCATAGCATTTTACCCTCGACATAAATTAGTTGAAAGTAGTAATGGCAAACTTGCTGAAACCATTGACGAAGCAAAGCGAGGAGTGGTTATTGAAATACTTGACTACAACATAAACGATGACACTTATAAAGTAAGATATGAAGGAGGCGTTGAAGATGTTATACCATCTAAGAACTTGAGAGAATCTAAACCAACTCATCTGGGACCATTAGAGCGGGAGTACTGGAAAGATAAAAACATGCCAGAAAGAATAAGAAAATTCTTCTAAACTTTTTCATTAGATGTAAATCAGACATGAATGAGAACAGTCATGATATTATTAATGGTACCATTTATTTTAACATAAACTTTATTTATGTTAGAATGTTAGATCTAACACGTTTTCTAACCACTTTTCTAACATGGTCTAAAACTCTCGAAAATCATGAATTTTTGACATTTCCTTATGAAAGAAAAATAACGCTAGTTTTTTTCTAAGAAAAATTTTTATTTTGTATGTAAGATATGATTTCAACAATAGGTTCTACAACACTTCAAGCCGCGAACGGCGGGACTCTGTCCACAACAACTTCACCTAACTCGTTAGTCATGAATCCTACGTCAATGTTGGTAGAGATGGAAAGCTTCATTCCTTCTTCATATACTTTTGAGACAGAAATACAAAGAATTAAGCAAGAACTTTTAACAAGTAATTTAGACTGTAGTGCGAAAGATGAAGAAAATGAACAGTATCTTTATGAAATGCAGGACATTATTGACCATTTACCCAAATTGCCTGAAATCCAACAACAAAAACTCACTATTCCTGAATTCGATGAAATAGAAGTGAAACCAACTGACTCAGTAGAAATAAAGAAGTTCATTCGTAAGGTAAACTATGAGTTTCTAGGATTTCATTGCAACCATAAGGTTATGGACAAAGATTGCGACATGGTATATAAAAACATTTCTGACATATATAAATCTGAAGAATTTAAGACCTACGACAACTTTGTTTCGTTAGTTGCTGAATGTGTATGGCAGATAAGAGATAAAGATAAAAGATGTAAAATATGGAATGGACAAATAAAACCAACAACTTTTGAGTTAAAGAAAACCATTGACGCCTTAGTTGTTCTAGCAGGTCAAATTTCAATGTATAATGCAAAAATGAACCCACAATGTTCTAAATGTAAAGCAGCAATGAGGAAATATAACTACGCCGTCAAAGAGATAGAAAGAATGAGAAACGACTATGCAGACTTAAAGAAAGAAATGACAAACATTGAGTTTGAAACAGTTGGAAAGATAGACAATGACACCAAAGTGGTTAGAATAGGTGATTTAAACGTAAGATACTCAAAGAAATACAACAAATATTCTTTGTCAGACATTATATCTCCATCTGGAAAGAGACCGCAGGACTGGGTTAGAATTGCTTCAACTCAGAAAATTTTGACAAGAAATCCTGAGCTTATGATATCAGTAAAATTCTATGGAACTACAGCATATCTTATAGACAAAAGTCTTATACCAATAGTTTTGTTATGGATTGACCCAGTTGTTGGATATAACTTCATAACATATGGTTCATTCGATACGGAACGTTGCAGTGAAGGCTTACTTTACATCGTTCAGAAACCGAAGGACTTCAACACAAAAAGATATAAGATAGGAAGGACATATAATATAACTCAAAGATATGACAGTACAGTCAATAGAGTCAAGGTTGTGTTTGTTAATGATATGAGAGCTGCTGAAACAGAACTGCTTGAAGTTTTTGAGAAAATGTATGGTGCTCCCACGAAAGGTAAAGAAACGTTTGAAGTAGATGAGATAGATAAAGCTATAAAATTATTTGACGAAGTTGCTGAAAAATACATGTAAAGCGTTTATTTTTGGTCTTTTGTGAAAGTCAGGAAATAACGCTAATTTTATTTTATTTATTTTTTTATCCTGTATGTAAAGACAGATATGTCAACATTAGAGAACACAACAACTGCTATCGTTCATGAAGTCATAAATGAAGAATACGAATACATACAGTATAACAAACAGTTACGTCTCATTCGTTCTGTCAAAGATGATATGTATCAAATGCAAAGTATAATGAACGCTCTTCGTTCTACAAAGCAAGCATATCATTGGTTTGAAAACCAACAGACAAAAGAACTTTTAGAAGAATTTCCTCATATGATTGCTTCCCTCGGAAAACCGAGGGAAGAGATTCCGTACGAAAATCGCAAGAATTTGGCTCCTGGTTTGAAAGGTTATTATGTTCATAGACTTTTAGTAAATGCTGTAGCAATGTGGGCTTCACCTCGTTATGCTTGTTATATTTTCATGATGTTAGATGAACTATATAAAGCAGAACGTGGAGAGATGGAAAAGAAACTTCAAGCAAAAGATGAAGTCATTGAATCCAAAGACAAAAGCATACAGAAAAGAATACCACGTTCAGTACCAAAAGGAAAGGAAAAGAGTTATAAGTATATGATTTACGCTGAAGAGATGGAGAATGAAGAAGACAGAGATATGGTTATGTTGCATTTAGTCAGAAGAAACAACAAAAGCTTTTACGACCTTGCTAAAATATATAAATCTGACAGAAACTGGTTCTATCGTGAAAACTTACCGATTTCAATGAACCGAATGAGCAAATAAAAGAAATTGTCAAAAACTCTTCCTCAAACACACTATGACATCAAAGGTTGCACAATACTTACCTTCAAAGAAGACTTACCATTACTGAAGGAAAAAATAACAGAATATTTCGATAACTTCAAGGAGGAAGATGAAGTCACGACAACATTAACGAAGAAGTCACGACAACATTAACGAAGAGAGAATGAGGTGAAAAAACAGGTGAAATCTCATCTCTTCACCAAAAATATATTTTTGGTTAAAATAGCTTCAGGGTCAATTTCTTCAACCATTTCACTTCCTTCGTCAATGTCAATAGAAGCTTCTTCAACCTTTGGTAAGAACTTTTGTATAACATCTTTGTTCGTTATTGTCTTCAGAGATGAAGGATAATATTTCACATTTGTTTCACCCTTCTTATATTTTTCTGTTCGGAAAGATTCATAGCAATACTGAAGAAGTCAATGTTGGAGTCTTTATAATAGTATAATGAGTATCTTTGACATTCACGAAGAAACCCTTTTGTTTCAAAACTACTGCTAACTCTTGTGAAGTATAACGTTTGCGGTCAATGACGATAGCTAATGGTCTGACATACTGACCAAACTTAGATTCTTTCACAAACTTCTTGTTAAAGATAACATTAACGTTTGAAGCATTATTGAACTCATTCTTGATGGCATTAGCGAGAGCATTGTATGAAAAGAACTTGCAATCTTGCATGTGTTTCATTATAATAAAAATATTAAATTATTTTGAAAAATAACTTAAAAAAATCTAATCTAATTTTTTCAAAAATATTTTTTTTATTTCCTACTAAAGATGTATCGGAAGTTGTCTAAGTTAGAACACTCGGAAATAAAAACAACTTCTTACAGAAGCTAATATAGATGTTGCAAAGCATTACGCAACAAACAAAAAAGCACTCGCTGACTTCATTAAAGACTATAATGGTGCAATAAGTTATGATAGAATTCATGATGATACATTAATAACAAAACTTTTCCTTTAAATGACGTTGCTATTGACTTATATCATAGACGTTCAATACCTCATGAAGTAAGAAGAGAAATGTTTGACATAACAAATGCGAACGTTGGTCATACTCGTAAAGCTCTTTCACATGATGTTCGTCAAGAAATGTTTGACATAACAAATGCAAACGTTGGTGAAACAAGAAGAAGAGACGACACACTGAAACAACAGAGAAGAGAGATGTTTAAAAGTGCTATAGAACAAGTTCGTAAAGCTAACGATGTCATTCGTTCCATTGACGACAAACCAAAAGAAGGTGAGAGATGGTTAAAGAAAGATGAAGAGAATAGGAAGAGAAATGTGAAGTCAGGCAATAGACTCATTGACTTTAACATCGAAGCTTTAGATGAACCAAACAGAGACTACTTACACAAACATTTCGGTAAGGTTTTCATGAGACTCTTAGAGAAAATTAAAATAAACTCCCAACAGAGATGGATGGTATGTTATAAACTTGGTGGAAAGTATGAATGTTCTACGTTAAACCTCAATAATATTGGAACATTACTACATCAGCTCTTGAAGGAGAACTTTATATCAGAGATAGAAGCAAATGCTGCAGGTATTGTTGAAATGCACTATGACTTCTTCTTGACAAACATAAAGAATCTTACCGAAATAAAGATGTATGATTTAACAGAATATGAAGGCTTAACGATGTCAGATGTAAAGAAAGGCAAACCAAAAAAGAGACCATATAGAGATGAAAGCACACTGACAAATGACCAGAAAGCCATTTTGGAAGCTCTTAAGCAAACAGGAAACCCAGCACTTATAGAAAGCTTTTGGAAAGATAATGGTGAAAAGAAGTTTTATAAGAAGAGAAGCGGTCAGTTCTGGAAGTATCTTTGCACATTACCTATAAATCTTGAACGCTACCAAATCTTCAATGAACTGAACAAAAGAACTGCAACACTTATGACAGAGGACAATTGTTTCGTTTATGCTTGCATTCAGGCTGGAGTAAATGAAGAAACTATTGACCACATGAGAGAAGTCATTCGTGTTAGAGACTTTCCTCAAAGTAAAGTACAAGAAATTTCTGACGCAACAGGTATAGCATTTAATGTTACCATTGGTTATTTCAATGACTCAAGACATAATGAAATAAAGAGATATATACCAAAAGAATGCGAAACTGTTAGAACTATTGACTTACTTCTTGTTGAAGACCACTACATGCTAAATGAAAGACTTCCAATGACAACATACTTCATTCGAAACTATAAAGAAATCTGAAAGTGTGGTGGAATGAACATTGAGAAACAGATGAAGATAATATATACAAAGAGAGAGAATAAATATGTAGTTCGTTATGATAGAACAACACCGTTATGGGATGTTATGAAAACATTGTGGGAGTGCAAATATTTCGAACCTATTTCTTATGGAGAACTTTTCACATATACTACTGACTTATATAAACAGAACCTTGCACCATTTAAAGATTTGACATATGCTCCAAAGTATTGTGTACAACTGAAGAAGAAAGCAGAGTCAAAAGAAGTAAATAAAGCTAAATGTAAATTCATACCTGAGCACGTTTTCTTTGCTGACTTTGAGTGTAGTACGGATGGCTTTCATAAAGCTTTTAACATCTGTTATGACAGTGAAGATGGTTCAGTTAGTGAAAGCATTTGGGGTCAAAACTGTGCAACAGAATTTTTGGAAAGACTTCCTGACAAGAGTTTAATATATTTCCATAACCTCAGTTATGACATAAACTTCATCTTAAGACACATGACAGAAGTGAAAGGAACTCCCATCATTAAAGGTTCACGAACAATGCAAATAACTGGTTTATATAAAGGACGGGCAATTATTATAAAAGACTCTTACAGTGTTATAAATAAGAAGCTTAAACTATTTCCTGCTATGTTTAACTTACAAACAGGACCGAAAGAAGTATTTCCATATAACTACTACAGCAGTGTTTTGTTAGCAAATGACAACAGAACTGGTGTCATTTCTGAAGCATGTAAGTTTATCCATGATGCAGATACATTTATGAAGAACATAGATTCCATCAAAGGTTGCAGAATAGATGAAAACCACTTCGACTTAGAAAAATATAGCACGTTTTACTGCAAACAAGATGTAAGAATTTTAAGAGAAGGTTTTGTAAAGTTCCGCAATGACTTATTGAAAGAGTTTGATTTAAACGTTTATGACTACGTTAGTATTTGTTCTATTGCTAACAAATTGTTTGAGAACAGAGTATACTTCCCGAATGGAAATCTTTATGACCTCTCAAATAAACCAAGAGAATTTATTTCGAGATGCATTCAAGGTGGAAGATGTATGTTGTCAGATAACATGAAACAAAAGAGCAAAAAGAAACTCATTGCTGACTTCGACACTGTTTCATTATATCCTTCAGCTATAGCAAGACTTTATACTTTAGAAGGAATTCCAAAAGTATTGAAGGATGAGATGCTAAGCACAGAGTATCTCATGAGACATTTATTCGATGATGACCAAAAGGAACCCATTGGTGAAAAGTTTATGTCTGGCTTCTTTGTTCTCATTAAGATAACAGAGATTGGTATACCCAGACACTTTCATTTAATAGTTTGCGACCCTGAACTAAATCCAGAACTTAACGTTCCAAGAAGTTCAAACACTTGCTGTCTCATGCATGTTGACCATATAACATTACAAGACCTCATAAAATATCAAGGTGTCAAATGTGAAGTGTTGCAAGGATACTATTACGATGGAAACAGAGATATGAGAATAAGAGATGAAGTAAAGAAGTTGTTTGAGTTAAGGTTAAAGTATAAGAAAGAAGGAAACCCCTTTGCAAGAAATTATAAAACTCATTCTGAACAGCATTTATGGCAAAACTATTCTATCTCCTATTGAGTCAAAAATAACCATAGTAAATGACAAAGATGCTATAAGATATGCTATAAGAAATTACAACCATATAGTGAAGTTCGAAGGTTTGGATGGTTCAGATAAAACTATTTTCAAGCTAACGAAAAGCATTTGCAGACACTTTAACTTCTGTCCACTTGGTGTTAATATTCTGTCTATGTCAAAACGTATTATGAATGAAGTATTCTGTACTGCAGAGGACATGGGACTTCAAATCTTTTACCAGGATACCGACAGTATGCACTTATATAATGAAGACATCCCAAAGCTTGCAGCAGAGTTTAAGAAGAGATATGGTCGCGAACTTATAGGAAAGAACCTTGGTCAATTTCATAGCGACTTTGCAGAAATAACACCTGGAAAACAAAGTTTAGCTTATAAAAGTATTTTCTGTGGAAAGAAGACCTACATAGACTTACTCACTAACGATTTAAATGAAGTTGCATTTCACTGCAGAATGAAAGGCGTGAAGCAAGATGTTATTGCTTTAACCGCTAATGAAATGTTTCCTGAAGCTATACAATGCTATTACAATGAAGATAAGAACATTCACATACCTGTTGGAACATATGACAAAGACTCTGAGTTCAGTTTAATGAAACTTTACAAAGCACTTTATGATGGTCAAGAGATTGCATTCGACTTATGTAAGTCATGTCAACCTTGCTTTGCTGAAAAGTTCAACTTTTCAATAACGACTAAAACAAGCTTTATTCGTAAGTTGAAGTTCTGAGGTCATGGGCTTCGCCCTTGCCGCTAGCGGCTTATTTTTGTCAGCAATGAGGTCATTCGTGATAAAAATAAAGCTAGCGTAGATTTTACAATACTGCGATGGTAGAGTTTAAGAGTTGTGCTTCAATGTAGAGACAGTCCTTATGGTCTGGAGGCAAGAACACTGGACATTTATGGTCATGAGTGGAGAACATGTCTATCCAAAACTCACGATTGAAGCCAGTTAATTTATAGTATTTAGGGTTAGGAAGTGGTGAAGTTCTTGTATGACCAATGAACTCATTTTCAACTCCCTTACTTAAGTTTGAATATAATATAGCTTGCTTTCTATCCCAAATGCCAGGTGTTACAATCTTTGAAAATTCATTTTTCCTCGGAAGCATTGCATCATAATTGAAAACATTCTTAAAATCATCACTTGGTTCAGAGATTTGAAACCTTATACGTAATGGATTTTTTTTCTCTTTAGCGACTTCATTGAATGGTGAGAATACAATGAATTGACAGTCATGAGTTCCATCTTCATTTTCATTAAATTCATAATGAAAGTCTATAAGTTGTGGCTGACTACCTTCTTCTTTCAGTTGTGCAAGAAACTCACGTAAAGGCTGTAAAGTTTGTACTTCAATGTTGAACTTTTTCTCGAACATCTCATTAAATGAAATCATACATTGCAACAATGTTGTATCGTCTTTAAAGTATTTGTATATGTGAATGTTTTGGGCGCTTAAAGACTGTTCGTCATTTTCTATCTCGACTTGAAGTATAAAGTCAACCTTTCTGAAAGCACGTGTTATATACATAGATGTTATGCCAATGTACTTCTCTTCATTTATGTTCACAATCCAGTCTGTTGGAAACTTAAACGTTACTCTGTTCCCCTTTATTTTGACGTCAGGGTTTTCACTACTGAACGCAACAGTTAAAGGTATTTGTCTATACATTTAGTTCGGATAAAAATAAACCATTTACTCTTTCTTTGCTTCAGCTTCTTTAGCTTTTGCTTCAGCTTCTTCTCTAGCTTTCTTTGCCAGCAAACGTGGGTTCTTTTGTCTTCCAGCAGCTAATGCAGCTAGTTGTTTTTCACTAAGTTTTCTCTTTGGTCTCTCTGGCTTTTGTTCTTGTTTTTGTTCCTTCAGTTCGGATAAAATTTGCTCGCGAATTTCTTTCTTCAATGCTTCAACATCTATGACACCTTGGGTCTTGTCCGTAGGGCTTGTCTGAGTCATTTGACTGCAGATAAAAAACTAAATTAAAACTTTAACCGATGTAAAATGAGCTTGTCAAAATCAGAACGAGAGTCTATTATATTAAATGACGCCAGAGGAATACAACATCCTTTCTATTATGTAAGTCAGAGTAAAGATGGTAAAATATATGTAAGAAAAAGAAAGGTTCCATTAGCGAATACAGAGAGCGACAACATTAAGGTGCATGGCAAGGGTGAAGTCCACGAAGCCCATATAAAACCTTCTGTTCAAACTGAAAAGTCAATAGAACAAGAAGAAAAGAAGCCAGATGTTCTTTCAATAACGAACCAAGAGCTTATTGCAAAGTTCGTGAATTTCATTGAAAAGCAAACCGAGTCAAAGAACCCTGACCCGCCAGTGAAAGAAGTCGAGACAAAAGAGAATGTACAGTTCATTGAAAATGTCAAGAAACAACTTCCACCACGAATGCCAAGAAGAAGAGTGAGAATAATGAAGTAAATAGATATTTTTATCTGAAGTAAATACATGCAGAACGAACAGCTAAACGAATTTACTCCAGCAGAGCATATTCATCAGATTCGCTCATATTTCGATATCATAGACAATGCAGTTCAAATTGGTGACACTAATAGAAAATATTCTGACGCAAAGATTCCATCACAACCTGGAACTGCTAAAGATAACACATGGGTAACATTCAATCTCTCACCTCCTGGTGAAAATATGTTGGACCTTTACAATACATTCATTACGTATAAAATGGAAGGTCAATTTATTGTAGATAAAGAAATTGGTTCAGGTTCCAATAAAACAAACCCACCAGGATTTTGGATTGGTTTCGATGACGCTTTCTATGCAGTTGCTGGATATCAAATCCTTGCAAATGGTCGTATCGTATATTCTCAAGACAATGCAAGAGAAGAAGCATATATAACTTCAAACTCACAAACTACCGAACAAATAAAGAAAGTAGATGTTTTCTCAAAGACTCGACATGAAGATGTATGGAGTCATTCGGGAACATGCAGAACAGGACAAATTGTTAGTGGTCCAATTACAGCAGGAAAATCATTTGATTTTAAGCTTCGTTTAAGAATTCCTGTTAGAAGATTCCTTCCATTAGAAGCTATTCGATTTATTCCAGCTTTTGCAGGAAACATTCAGCTTAAAGTAAAGTTCAGTAGCGACGCCTTACAATGCACATCTATATCTGTAAATGATATCATTGCTTTCAATCCAACTCTTAAAGTTGCATTTGCTTCAGATTCAAATCCACCGACAAATAAATTTGTTCCATGGAATGAACCATTCACTATGATAACGAAGGCAGTAGAAGCTAGTGGAACAGTTACTATTACAACTGTAACCCAGCAACTATTTCGAACAAAGATGGATTTTAATGAATGTTTCATTCATCCAAAGTCATTCTCTTTAGACCCTAACATTTATACAGAACTTGTAGAACATTATACAAACGAGGCTTTATGTTTTCCTGTTAAAGTTATGGATTGGATTCCTATGGACGGTTCATTCTCAAAGAATACAGATAGTTCAAGTGCAACATTTACAGCAGCTTATACGCCTATTAATGTTAAAAGTATTTGGGCACTATTTAGAAAGAAAGACAACTATTATGTTAATTTTGAGAACCCTAAGTTTAAATATCTTCAGCTTTCCATGGGAGCTTATGGAAATATGCCTGCAGAACCTGAAAAATCATATGGACCTGTATTTTATGAAATGGTTGCGAACGCTTGCAATACAAACAATGATATGATAGGATTTAATGAAGATGTTATGAGGTCATTGGTGGATGATGGTAGTGTGGAACATAAATGGGATAGCTATGACAACACACATTTCTTATGTGGTTTTCCAACAGAAGTGGACTTTTGCTTCCAGCAAGGTCAAACATCTACTGCTCCAATAACATACAAATTGTCTGTTAAAGGACCTATTGAACTAGCAACTGAAAATGTACCAAAGCCACTTATTGGATTTATGAGGGATTGTTGCTTTGCCATTCAGGTGCGTGCTAATGGAATCCCAATAATAAGATTAGATGACTATAACTTAGCTACGGACGACAGTGAGGAATAAAGGATGAACGTTTATTTTTAAAGCTTATAAATGAGTTCTTCATCAAGCTCTCGTGAACCTTCACCATCTATGAAACAAACTTTACCAAACGATTATGGAGCACCTATTGAATATTTCTTACGAGCTGCACAATGGCAAAGAGCAGTCTCACCAAGGTTAGGTGTTCCACCAGCTCCTGTCAAAAATAGCATTTGGTCAAGTCCTTATATAAAATATGGTCTCCCACTAGGTTTGCTAGCTACAGCAGGAGCAGTTATGATGTTGAAAAGAAATAAAGCAAATGTTGTAAATAATACTGAAGTAGCTGAAGTTAAACAAACTCCGACACCATCACAAACAACACCTTCAATGACTCCTGAACCTATGAAAGTACAAACTCCTGTTCAAAAGTCAACTCCTAAACCGACTCCAACATTTAAACCAGAACCTACTCCTCAAATAAATCGTAAAACTCCTGCGTTTCCTTACTGAAAAAATAACGTTATTTTTATTTAATATTAAAATTTTTATTTGATTGAAATGACGACTAAAGTCACTGAAGCAATGAAACAAAAGTTTTTGGTAGAATACATTAAATCAGGAGCGGTTCCAGAAGGTTTTTACGTTCATACTATGAAGGATGGTAGAGTTCAGTTTAGAAAGATAAAGCAACCATTAGATAGAGAAGGTATATTAAGGAAGATTAAACTTCATGAGGACAACATTGCTGAACTTAAGAAGAAGTTAGAAGAGTTGGAGAAAGGAAGAGAGTTATAAAGCAATGAATTCAAGTGGGTGAAAAAACAGGTGAAAAAAGAGGTGAAATCTCACCACTTCACCTAAATTTATTTTTGTGCTATGTTTTCATACGTGTGAGGGTGGTGATATCATTAATTTTTTATTTTACTGAAAATTTTTATTTGGATGTAAATGACAGAACAAAAGCAACTCATACAAATCGAAAAATATAACAAACATACATTTAAACATTTATTCTTCCTTCCTGAGCATAACATGTTCTTTACACTTCATCCTAGACCAGTTGACTTTTCATTGACTGTGTATAAAGATTGTCATGGTAGTTTTATAAAAACTTATGATGATGAAGGTAAGTTAACAAGACTATGCATTTCAAAACTTGAGAAACTTTATGACTTCAAGTATGACTACAATAGAGTTAACATTGACGATGAAGATATAGAAGAAAATTTATGAGAACGTTTATTTTTTCATTAGTGAGTTCGTTAGTGAGGTGAAATGGTTGGCGGCTTTGTAAATATTTAAGGTTAAGTTAGTTTTTGCGTTCATGTTGTAAAATGTACGTTAACGGTTTTGTAAAGTGTCAAATTCACAAGTATTGGGTAAGGTGGAACGCAATGCCACCATACCCAAGACTGGTGTACTAACTAAGCTTACACTTCAAAAATATACTGTTTATTCATTAATTTTAAAAAAAGTCCAAATTATCTAATCTTGCTTACTCTTCCTTTAAACTTCTTTGTGCCAAATTTAATATTGCCTTCAAAGATGGAATAAGGACATTAGGTTCAATCCTTCGGCTTTCGACAATTTCCAAAATGTGTTGAATTAATTTCAAACATTCATCGTGTTTTGAAGCTCTTTGCTCAACAATCTGATTACCTGCCCTTGTAAGAATTCTTACTGCTCTTTCTTCATTCAAAACATTAGCGACTTGAACCTTAATAATCGCATTTGGAATCACAACAGTGATGAGAGTTATGACGATGTCATCAATGCGCTCATTTTTCTTACCCAAGAAAAATGTTTGCTTTAATTGATGAAAGTGTGATTCCGCAATGTTATTCGTGGAATCACCTTCTCCACGATATAACATCATCCAATGTTCTTTGGTTCTTCTCCATTGTTTATCGAAATACTTCAAAGCGCGGTTCTTCTTCTTCTAACATTGTTGTCAAGAACTCATATGTTTCATCAGACTCTTCAGCCAGCTTTTCTGCATTCGTTGCATCTGCACGTAATGTCAAAAAGTCCATTGCTAAATAGAAGTTCTCAAAATTCTGTGGATTGTCAAAATAGCTTCCAACTTTTGCACATGCGCGTAAAACATGCACAGCGCACCAACTGAGCTGCGCAAGAGGAAATCCGTCCTCAATTGCGCGAGCAATGTTTAGCGCACAGTCAGCGCTCCAATGCTATGGATCCAGATGCGCAAACTCACAGAATTTCACCAAACATTCTTGAATTTTTTCAGATGTCTGAGGGTTCACTAAAAAATAGCAAAAGGGGAAAATTGTGTTTTGACTTGTTTTCATTGTTACTGCAAACAATTGGATCTTTCCTTTAATTAAAGAATGAGTGGAATCGACGTGGAGAGGGTTATCAATGCTATGCACCAATTCTTTTGCAGCAAAAGGTGCATATATGATTGTAAACTCGGAAAAATCTCCATTGTAATCAAATTGAACGAGATCATCTGGGCACTCTTCCTGTAAATTATTCAAAAATGCTTCCAAAGAAGTGTAAGGATCGTTTGATAATCTTTGTGCAATAATCTCATCAAGGCGATAAAATTTGTGCTTTAAAGCATCAGTAGACTGCGCGAAAAGTTTCATCGTTTCTTTGTTATTCGTATCAATTCCGAACTTATCAAAAAATGCTTTTTGAGCAAGAAATTGCTTTCCACCGTTTTTAATATAAAGTTCGATCCATTTTTGATAAAATTTACTCGCGTAATGTGAACCCATTTCAACTCCTATATGATGGCAATGTTCTTCATTAACTTTGCTTATAGTAAACACTCCATTTTGTTCTTCAACCCTAAATTTTGCCTTGCATAGGGGATACGAACATGAATAAGTGACATATTGCTTTGGAGATCCCGTTCTTCTTCTGTATGGGACACCGCCCTTGACTTCCTGTTTAATACCAAAAGCAATAAGCTCCTCTAAGTCCACCGAAATCATAAAAATGAAGTGATTTTGAAAAGAGTTAACAAAATTCAAATCACATCAAAAACAAAAACACATAAAAAATATTTTATTATACTCATTCGAAATTAAAAATAATAAAATTTATATATATTAATTTCATTAAATCAAGGTTAAAAATCTCACCGGAAAAATAACCTCAGTGTGATAAATTTATCACCGGAAAAATTTACAATAAGGTTAATACCGAAAATATCGAAAAATCAACATTTAAGGTTAATTTAAGAGTATGCACTTTTGTCACCTACTCGAATTCAGACTGATACATAATATATTTGCATAAAGTACCAAGTAATAGGGACGAAGATCATAGTCCATGACAATAATAGTATGCATATTCTTTGTACTACATTTTAAATCAAAATTATAAATCATCTTAGATACGAAGCGATAAAACTAAAAGAATTTCTTAAATTTGTAAACTTCACAATTTTTTTTATTATATGAACGTTCAAGTTGCTTCATATAAATACATTTCATTTATACTTGCTGGACTTGCTGGTCCCAAGGTTGTGTTATTTGATGAAGAAACTCTTCCTATCATCAGTATGTCAATGACAAAGACAGAATTGCTTTCATTAGAAGTTGTTTTAACAGAAAGCTTCACGAAAATCATCGAAGGTCCATATTCTGCCGATCTTCAATCACTTCCGGCAATTTGTTTCTTAAGACCAACAGATGATAACGTAAATTACATTTGCAATGAACTCAGTCACCCGCATTTCATGAAATATACATTAGTATTCACTAATGTTGTTTCAGAAGCTTTCCTTCGTCAAATTGCTTCAAGAGATAACAATAGTCTCATAAATTCAATTCAAGAAGCGTATTTAGATGTTTATCCTATTGGATCTCGTATGTTTTCAATCGGAACTAAAGGAATTCGCGATATTAGAGAGAATTATATTCCATCCAACCCAAAGATTTCAAGAATTGTCGATGGCTTGTTTTCCAACCTTTGCTCGCTAAAGGTTAGACCTCAAATTCGTTACGACAAGAACTCTCCTGTTTGCCAAGCCATAGCAAATTCGATTTCTCAGCAAGTCAATCAATACGTCGATATATTCTCAGCCCAACCATCACCCCATCTTTTACTTATCCTGGACAGAATTTCTGACCCAGTAACTCCTTTACTTCACCATTGGTATTATAATGATGCAATTCACGAGCTGTTCGGCATCAAAGACAACACTGTTATAATCGGAGATAAGCAGTTAGTCCTCGACGAACGTACAGATTTCATTTTTGCTGAGTTTGCCTTCAAATATCTTGGAGATGCTTTTACAGACATTACAAAGAAGCTTGATGCCCTTAAACTGACAGCAGATAGCATTAAGTCTCAACCTGCCGACATTTCGGACTTCCACGAGAAGATTGCGAAGGTATCTCGTGGTCAAGAAGAAAAAACTCGTATTGCAGAGCATGTCAACATTCTAGAAGCCATCCAAGACAAAGTCAATGGCAAAAAGTTGTCATTAACACAACTAGAACAGGTTGTTGTCACAGATAACGATTCTCAACAGATGCTTGATCTTGTTTTACAAGCTATCAGGAATCCAACAACATCAGAAGAAGATGCACTTCGACTTTCACTTATTTACTCACTGCATTTTGATGGCCAAGGCATTGATCAAATTGATAACGCTTTAGGTGAAAGATTTGTTGCCGATTCTAAGCGTTTCTTATTACAGAAGATCAATGAGTATGCCGGCTCACTCAAGCGAGGTGGTGATGATGAGTTATTCGGCAACAAATCTAAGATGGCGCAATTATTAAAGACAGTTAAGAGCTTCAAACAAGCTAATGAGGACCAATACGATCTATTCAAGTCATTGGTTTTCCGATTGATAAAGAAGATCTCAGAGGGACAGCTCAAAGAAGAAACTTATCCATTTGTTCAGAAAAACAACATGTGCTCCGTCAAACCATCTAAAGTTATCATCTTCGTTGCAGGGGGAGTCACATACGAAGAAGCACGTGTTGCAGGACTCTTGTCTACAAAAGATTTCGAAGTCATCGTTGGAGGAACAGACGTTATCAACGCCAAGCAATTCATAGAATACGAACTCTTATAAAATACTTTCTTAAACAGTTATTTATTAAAAATATTCTATTATTTAATAAATAATATTTTAAAAATTAAAATTAAAAATCATTAAAATTCATATAGAAATGACATATTATATTTAAATTGTTCTAAAATATCTCAGATTTTGCAAAGTCATCAAAAAATTAGAGTATATTCATAAATTAGAAAGTTCTAACAATGAATATTGTTTTATAGAAAGAGAAAATATCAATTTTTGAATTATGCATATTTAGTCATGAGAAAAATACTCATATGACTGAATGGTGAAAGAACATTCATTAATCATCTTGTTATAAAGTCTATTTTTATATTTTTATTAACTCACCTTTGAAATCAAAAATTTGAACCATTAAAGTATCATCATTGTTTGAATTCGTTCCTGTTTGAGTTATTTTGAAAGATACAAAATATTCGTTTGTTTGAAGTGGAAATTCTTTGATTTCTTTTTGTTTAAATTCATAATATTTATCATTATCTAATACAACAGTTGTTCCATCTTCTTTGATTCCTTCTAACTTCCATCTCCTCAATAAACTAATATCATACTTAATTGTAGATTGTAACGTATAAGATGTTGGTTTTAATTTATATCCTTTTAGATCAGCTTTTATCCATGAATTAGGGTAACTACAAGTATAGAAATCAAAATCAACAACATTTCGATAAGAATTTATAGTTCCTCCACATCCAACAGATGAAGCTGTAAATTCCATTTTAATTTCTTCAGAAGCTTTTAGAATGTTATAAGCACAAATAGAGTTATCTGATATTGTAAATTGATTGTTAATTAAAGGTTTTTCGAATGTTGAAATAGGTTCATTTGAGATTTCAATATTTTCTCGAAGATTTGAATGATAATTCTTTAATGTTTCGTTATATATAGAAAGAAGAACTCTTTCGAATGAATGTTCAATACAAAAATTATAAATTATGTCATAAGTTTCTCGTGAACAAAATGTAAGTTTGATGTATCTAAATAAGTCAAACAATGTATCATTCTGTTTGCAGATTGATAAAAGTAAAAGAGATAAATGATCTTCGTTGTCGATCTTTAATTCGTCTGAGGTAATGATTTTTTCACAAAATTCATAGCCATTTTTTGCGAAATGTTCAATGATATCTTTGTCATATAAACAATACAAATGTGATGAAATGAATCGAATGCATTCGTTTTCTGTTATAATATCATTTTCAAAAACTGAAATTTCATACTTTTGAAAAACATTTTCTTTTGTAATAGATTTGTCTAATTTAACATGCTTTGTATATATTTTTATGAATAATTGATTTCCAAAATGTTTTCCAATTTCAAATAAATCGTGATAATGTGATTCATCTTCTTCAAACTCAAGTTTTCCAGTTTCTAGAAACTCTGAAAGTATGTCAATTGAATCTTCACATTTAAGATCTAGATTTGTTTGATATGATGACATCAATTTATTAATTAAAAATTTTTCTTGGATTAAATCTGAAAAACAAACTGCAGATGACTTCTTTGTTTTGATTATTCGACCATTAATATTGATATTAAATCGTCCACACTCTGTTAGAATGCCAACACGCTTTAATTCTTTGCATGATTTCGTTATTTGAACCATGAAAAAAAAATTATAAAAAATCCAACATATTTTTTCATTACCAAGGATTCTCTATGAAATTTAAGATATTACCAAGGATTCACTATGAAATTTAAGATATTACCAAGGATTCACTATGAAATTTAAGATATTACCAAGGATTCACTATGAAAATGAATTCACTATGGATGTAAATGCTAAAACAAGTCATTACTTGCATATTCATGAATAATTGTGCATTTAATGGATATGAATAAAAGGGGTGACACACATTTTTATGAACGGCCACTAGGGTAAACATTTTTAAAGAAAATGATTAATTTTAAATTCTGAAAAAAACTACCCAGATTTTCCTTACTTTTACCACTCCCCATGTAATTTCTGGGGAAAACGATAATTCATTTTTTTTATGGATGAATAGATCGTTTTCCTAGAAAGGACCTCATATCTCTGGCTAAAAAGAGTGTCAGATCCTAAATAGATTATTGATCTAGTGTACAAATCCAATAAAAAGCCTATTTTTTTGGCTTTTTTGGTGCTCATTTTTTCGAAGATCTACATGAATATGGGGAAACCATCGGATTTTTTTGGTTAACCCACATCTTCATGTAGTCTGGACTATCTTTCCTCGAAGGACCTCTTTACGGGTGTAAAAACTCATAAAGTTCTCAAAAGATTCATTCTCGATCTCCATGCTGAAAGAATTTACAATAAAAAAGAGATCTACGCATCAAACTACAGCCATAAATGAACTGAACCCCTAAAGCTCAGCTCTTAGTTTATCAAAAACGTCGAAATCCTTCTCATTGCAATCAAATTTTCTCAATAACTCATAAGAAAAATCGAATTTTGATTAAGCCGATGTTATAGGTATCACAAATACTACAAACTTGAGCAATATCGAAATTGCCAGCAAAAGTTTGAAATTGCATTGCTCATATTTGTTTTGTAAACTAAAAATCTGCTTATATTATTCATTAATTTTTTATATATTATTCATATACTTTAATAAAAACAATACTATTTCACCTTAAAAATGAATTTCATAAGTCAATATTATTTTTTTGAAAATGTATCAATTTTCGATTAAAACAACATGAGAATAAAATTTACGCAAAATTATTTTAAAAAATGGTTTTAAAAATTTACAATTGATTAAGAATAAGATTGCAAGAAGTTTTGAAGTTTAATTTTAAGAAAAAAAATTCGGATAGGGTTGTTAGATTCCCGACGATAGGTGTCTTGGAAGATTTGCCTGGTGTCATCATAGTGTCTTTAAATCAAAAATTTTATTTTGGAGTTAGTTTTATTGATTTTTCAATAAAAAACATTTCTAAAACAAGAAAATAAAACGATAAAATATTTATATTTTATATAAGGATCTTATATATTTAAAATAAATATTATTTTATTTTTTTCATTGGTGTCTGTCAAACCATAATACACTATTCAAAAATTCAATGTGTCTTGCGGTTTCAAAAGACACCTTCAAATTGAACGATAGCACAGACACTATTGAATTTTACCCATTGTATTTAGTTTTTACCCTTTTTATTTTTAAGAATTAATGACTGAAACAGCCGTTTTGCTATGACCTCAATCACTTTTATTTATTATTTTAAATATTATTTAATTTTATTATTTGAATAGGCCAACTTATATTTGAGAAGCTCAATTTGAGACCACTTAATACATTGAAATATCATAAATATTGAAATATTAAAAAGTGTATTTCAAAATATTGAAATTATAAAAATTTATAATACTGAAATTGAGACAAATTAATAAATTCAATGTGTTTTTTTTTGAAATAACTCTCAAATATTATTTTTTTGTTTATTTAATGATGAATAAATATGATTGCTTTAGTCAATCATAAAAACTAATTTAAGTTTAAAATAATGAAAGGATAATTTGATCGTTTTTTAAAATACAATTATTTTTGATGATTTGCAAGAATCTTTGAAAAGAATATAATATAGGTTCTATTTTTGTAAAATTTATCCAAATCATGTATTACATAAATTACGATTAAAACGATGAAAGAACCAAAAAGTGTGTTTTGTGTTTTGTTGTTGCGTGTTGGATGCGGGATCCTGTTATTTCCGAAATCGACAAAAAATTTGGAAATTTAATTTCCGAAATCGAAATTATATTAATGTTTTTAATATTCTTATATCAAAAGGATTAAAGTTCATTAAGAGAAAAACAATTCTTCTTCTTCAATCTATTGGCGCATTTATTTCTACACGCCAATAAGGAAGGGAAAATTATAAGACACCATGGTGTCTTCAAAACGCTAATTTTTGATATTTTTAACAACCCTAAATTCGGATATTATTCATGGATCTAAGTAATCTGATATTTGAGTATCGGCACTATGCATAAAACATATATTTATAGTTTTTTTTAGATTTTTATGATTTTAAATATATTCAAATTTGGCAATCCAATAGATTTTTAAAAAATAGGTAAATAAAAATAGATTACATATGCAGCAGATTTAGAACATGAAACAAATCTTATAGTGACCCAAAAAAAATTCATGATCCAAAAAAGAAAAAAATTGGCTAAATGAGAATCAAACCTTGGCATAATGAATCATTATGTCGGATGTTTACACTACACTACACCGGCAGTTCGAAAAATACCCTTGGTGGTTCTATTTAATAGCTACTCCCAACGATAGGCGGTGTCCCCAGCTTTAGAGAGGTGGTAAAAGTAAGGAAAATCTGGGTATATCAAATCTCATTTGAAAGGCGTCAAAAATTTTCTCACTGGGTTTTTGTCTATCAATCCCAGCTCATTATATACGCAACCAATCAAAAATCTGATATGGGAGTCCAAGGCTAACTTTTTGTTGTCTACCTAATAAAAGAGGAAGCAGCATTAGTGAGAATAATCGCAAATATTCAATTTAAATTATCTTTTTATTCTTAATTTAAAGTGACAAAAAGAATAAAAAACCTATTCTAAGGCATGTTGTTATGTAAATGAGACTAGACATCATATTTTATGTTATGAAAAAAAATATTTAGAATTTTAGAACAAAATAAATAGAAAAAATAGCATAACTTATGGATGTGCGTATATTAAATTTAATAAATTAAGAGAAATTATTTTTGGCGCCAAAATTATTCGTTAACTCTCAAATTTTTCTGAGTCAATAAGCCGCCAAAAAAGTGTCATTTCTTTATAGGAAAGGAAACCTATTTGACGAACAATCCGGACACTAGTGCCTCAGCGAATTTCCCCAAACCCACCAATCCCCTCCCTGCTGTTGTGCACCATCGATGGAAAGTAAGTCATCAATAGTCTCTTTTCCTGATTTCAAGCTAACGTTAGATCATTCATGAAAGAAATCATTGCCTTTCATCAGAGACTTTCGTTATAACTGCGCTGCTCTCAAGTTCATCTTGAGAAATTTACGTAATAACTGAATTCCCAAAGTTCTTTAGGTGATCCAAAACACTGTAGCTGCTTGAACTTTGGACGAGCCTCGCACCCCAGAGAATAGAAATCCCAATCTTGCTCATGTTTAGTTGAATTAGTCTGCAGCAGTACAGCTCTGATACCACAAGATCGTGATGTATACAAAGTCACAACGCTATTTGATTCAACAACTAGCTAGTTTTGACATCAAATTGCAAAATTTGACTTCGTTATGAGCTCTTTGTAGCAAAAATACATTACACTTAAAGACTAGTTGCTAGACTGTAGTAGTTTGTTCGTATATATCTATTTTTCCCCAACGTATTGCATACTACATTTTGACAAGACTTGCAACCTTATAGTAACCTCGTTGGGAATTGTTCAAGCAAAGCGTAGGTAGTTAAGGTCGAGTAAGAGTTCTTCTTAAATCTTTCACTGAATGAGTAGGTGTTGGAAGAACTGTTCTCTAAAGCGATACAGTTGCGCTACATGTTCGTCAACTTGTCTAGAAATAAATATATCATTTGTTTTATACGTTTTTTCGTAATAAATCTATTTGTATTTGTTGTATTTGAGTATGAAGATAACAAAAACTACGGCATAAGACGCAGTACACTGGGCTTCGTTGCCATTTTATTTACCATGTTAAGAATAAACTTAACAGACATGCTTTGTTTTCGACGAAGCCATCTAAAATAACGTACATCTAAATAAAACTAAAAAACTGTAAAATTTCTTTATTTGATAGTATACTTCAAATTATGCACTATACCTTCTAGAATTCTATAACACTCTTTGCATATAATTTTTTAAAAAAAAGTTATATCTCGACAAAAATATGATTTATCAATAGAGTATGTAAAATAAAACTCATTCGCAGTATTAAAAAATCGTAAATCTTTCCAAAAAAATTTTGAATTACAAATTTTAAAACTTAAAACAACATTTTTTGAAGCGAAAAAACGAAATCTAATTTTTTTTGGAAAATTTAGAATAAATAGAGCTCTTTAACTCGTCGAATACAAATTGTTTTCAAGTTTTTTTCGACCGGAAATTGAACTTTTAGAGTTTATACAATAAGATTCACATGAAAAAATACGGGTTTAACAAAGAAATCACCAATATAAAGGTTTTTTAGTAGAACGAGATTGATAAAAACTATGGTATGATAAAAAGACGATAATTTTTTTGGCGGGATAATTGAAAAATATGAATGATTCGAATTACAGACATACTCTAGTCCGAAACTTACTATGGTTTGTGACTTATTTTTGACACAGAATAGCTGTAGACTAAGGCTTACTCTAGATCCAGACTTATTAAACAATTAAATTTGCTTTTGGAATAAGACTTAATTTTAGTTACAAACTTATCTTAGTATCAGACTTATATTTAGAATCAGACTTACTTTAGTCTAGAACTTACATTTAGAATCAGACTTCCATTTCAAGTCAGACTTACTTTCGTCCGAGACTTACATTTCAAGTCAGACTTACTTTCGTCCGAGACTTACATTTCAAGTCAGACTTACTTTCGTCCGAGACTTACATTTCAAGTCAGACTTACTTTCGTCCGAGACTTACATTTTAAGTCATACTTACATTAATATCAAACTTATATTAACCTACGACTTACTTTTATTCCCGACATCTTGATCCACACTGACATTGAAAACCACTCATACATCTAAAGCCACTGAAACATCTAGATCCACTACGACATGGAGATCCACTCAAACATAATTTTTGCTCTCTAACTACATTTTTATATGATTTTACAACCTAAATTTTCTTCTTTACCTAAAGATTATTCGCAATATCTGAATATCATTAATTAATTGAGATATTCAAGTTTTGACAGCGGATTTGGAAAGCAGACTTGATGGAGATTTTAAATCTGATGTCAAATCTTGGTTTTGTGCATTATTGGAAGAGAAAAAAGGGTGTTAATTGCAAATCTTAAATATAGGTTTTTATGAAAAATGTAATTAGGGTTAGAATCATAGAAAGATATATCTGTCAGACATTGTTATGTGTGACAGATAATATTGCATCTCATAGACACTGTTGCATCTCATAGACACTGTTGCATCTCATAGACACTGTTGCATCTCATAGACACTGTTGCATCTCATAGACACTGTTGCATCTCATAGACACTGTTGCATCTCATAGACACTGTTGCATCTGTCAGACACTGTTGCATCTCATACACACTGTTGCATCTCATACACACTGTTGCATCTGTCAGACACTGTTGCATCTCATAGACACTGTTGCATCTGTCAGACACTGTTGCATATGTCAGACACTGTTGCATCTCATACACACTGTTGCATCTCATACACACTGTTATATTTCATAGACACTGTTGCATCTCATACACACTGTTGCATCTGTCAGACACTGTTGCATCTCATACACACTGTTGCATCTCATAGACACTGTTGCATCTCATAGACACTGTTGCATCTCATAGACACTGTTAAATTTCATACACACTGTTGCATCTCATAGACACTTTTGCATCTCATAGACACTGTTGCATCTGTCAGACACTGTTGCATCTGTCAGACACTGTTGCATCTCATACACACTGTTGCATCTCATACACACTGTTATATTTCATAGACACTGTTGCATCTCATAGACACTGTTGCATCTGTCATACACTGTTTTATCTCTCGGACACTATTACATTATTTTACTCTATTTCTAATTTTAAATATTTTTCTGTTTTTTGTTTTCATTATTAAATTTATTTTATAAAAATTATTTCCCTTACTTAAATTTTAAATTTCTTCTTAGTTTAATCCTAAAATTCGTTTACTTTTAAAATTGACATTCCGTTTAATGGCCATGGCTCCTTTTGATTATGGATGTATTATTGATCTAAATAAAATCAATATTACTATTCTTAAGATAATAAATTATTCAAAATATCTCGTTCAGAATAATATAGACCTCGATTTAGAAGATCCAGAATTTAATGATATTCAGGCTGAATGTAAGCGCATTCGTACATGTGATGCTTATAACTACATTACCCTTTTTGTAATACATAACTTAAATTTCGCACCGGCGGTCAATGAAATACTGGACAATTTAGAATTTTACCCTACACCAAATGAATACTTAACTTCAATAGCAGACGAATATAGCAAGGATATGGGTGGTGAAGAAGAATATAACTATATTCATGTTTTTCCACAAACATTGAAGGATTTTCTAATTGATACTTTGTTAATGGATGATCTTGACGCTTTTTTATCCAAACTATTTGGTCGCAATATTGGAACAACCATTTTTGGTGAAACAATCAGTATGATAGAATTAGCATATGCTTTCAATGCAAACAATATCCTTGAATATTTATGTGCAAATACTGAAAAACTATCAAACTTTGACGATAACCAAAAATTTATATATAATGTTCAATGCGGAAAAAATATTATGTCAATATCCTCAATGTCAAAATATCATTGATCGCTGGTTTTGAACTGAATTTACTTAAATCCAAGAAAATTCGTATAAGTTCATTCGCATTTGAATGCTATTTAAAATATCAAAATTTTGCGGAAATTATATCTTACATTAATTCATATAAACCAGATGATATTGTTCGATCGAAAGGATTCATGAAGTCTGTTGTCAGGCACGCAGCTAGATTAAAAAATATGGCTGTATTTTTTCAATATGTATCTAAAGATCTTATTGACGATGACAAAGAGCAATTTGTTTCATATATTCTTGATTCACAGGCAGATTTCATTTTCAATGTATATAATCGCATTGCAAGTGGCTATTATTTATCAAAACGCATGATTAATGAAATTCCCCGCGGATATAATGTTCTTAAAATTGCAAACATTGAAGTAATGCATAATTATGACAAAGAATCACGCCAAGTAACTTGGAATATTGGTGCCTCAGATATATGGAATTTCAGTGAGATTCATGAACTCTTTAATTATCTTCCTTTTTTCCTTAAAATAGTTCCATTTAAGGAACAAGAAAATCCTCCCAAATACACAGACTTCTATTTTAAAGACACTGATCCTAGTGATCGTTTAATTCTAGAACTTGATTTTGATCGAAAATATATTGAAGGAAATCGATATAAGGCTTTTACAATAATTATTAACAAAAAAATGAGTCAAGCTGTTATAATAAGGAATAACAAAGATATACCTTATTTAATCGAGGATGTTATTAACAGAGTTCAAATTTCAAAATGTGTAATTCCTTCAAATAAGTTAAGCAAAAAACTGACACGTTATACCAACTTCAATTCACCAATAATTAAGGATATTTATGATTTGCGCTCGTTACTTAAACAATTACCCGGCAAAGTTTATGTCCATCTTTTAGAAGATAAGCTAAAAGATCTTGCAACTTGCGATTCAAAATCAATTCAATGGTCATGCTGGATCCCAGACCTTGTACCTGATTTATTAAGAGTTGCAATTGAAAACGAATGTATCCAGACCATCGAACTGGATGCCACGTTTTCGTTTCCTCCGTATATACTTATATTACCCCAGTGTGTTATTAATAACACAGGTTATCCACTGGGATATTACTTCGGGCTGAGCGAAAACTCAAATGCTTACAGAATCTTTTATGAAAGACTAGTTTCATCTGCTACAGATGTTGATATTCAAAATGTCCCGATTTTAAGCGATTTGCACTCTTCTCTTGAAAGTTTTTGCAAAAGTAGCCATTTAATTCATTGGCTTTGCGCTTATCATTTTTTAAAAACAATTAAAGATAGTGTAATCATGAGGGGATTGATTCGAGAAGTAATATATGCAGAAGATGAAGCAACGTATAATGTTAGATACGAAACATACTCCGAAATTGTTAATCATTTAAATAAGAATGAATTGGTTGATCCTCTTGATATGGAAAAATGGATCAATCTTGGCAAAGAGGAATTCAAATCCAAAATCGCACGATTTAAGAGAGATGTCAAAATCATGCCTAGCAATCATGCGGAAGGTAATCACGGGAGCTTGAATACCAAAATGAAGGAGATTTCAAGCAAAAACAAACTTTTGAAGTTCCAAACAATGATTGAACATATAATGTCGAGATTTAATCAAATTGATGATCCAAAAAATGATAATGTAATGAAACTTTATAGAAAATTGAAAATTTCGGCAATTAAAAATAAAGTCGAACAGCATTGTAAATGCAACTGCAACATGGAAAATGTTTATAAACTATATGGTGTTCATATTCCATGTATTCATAACATCTTAGATGTAAAACCGGCCGATTTAGAAAAACCTAAAGCATTTCATATTGGAAAATTGGAATTCAATAGTTCGAAGAATATTCTAGTTTATGATGATGAAGACAATCCGATAGGAAAGGGTGATCGGAAAATGAACAATGCAAAATTTCGGCTCGGAAAACATTTACAACCAAAGTTGAGAACGAAATTTACTTGTATGAAGAACAAGTAACTCCAGATATAGGAGTTAAAAGTCTTGTTCAACGCATTTTAAATCTTCCGTCAATTGACAAGGCAACAAGTTTCATGTTTAATCTTGGGATGAACATCGATTATGATACAATTCAAGCAATTCATTATATATCATCATTAAGAAAAACACATCCAGAAGTGATAGATTTGGCATTAAGTAATGCATATCTTCCGGAAGAATCAGATGAATATCAGCAAAACAAAGACATGATTTCAAAAATTATCGAAGAAGTTTTTGATAATAAAGACAAGGAAAGAGATCCGGATTTTGTTGTAAGAAGGAAGAGGAAAAATGGTTTGTGAAAAAAATATTTATATGAATAAAATGTGTATGATTATTGTTTATAAAAATAGTTAATAAATATGAGAAACTATTTAATTATTTGTTATATAAAGATTCGATATACAGAACAGAATGAAAAAGGATAAAAAAATTAATCAGAAAGATGTAAAAGTTTGGGAGATATAAAAAATATTATAGAGATAAAATATTTAAAGAGATAAAAAAGTCAATGAAAGAAGCAACAGTGAGAGACTGATGCAACAGTGTCTATGAGATGCAACAGTGTCTGACAGATGCAACAGTGTCTATGAGATGCAACAGTGTCTGACAGATGCAACAGTGTCTATGAGATGCAACAGTGTCTATGAGATGCAACAGTGTCTATGAAATTTAACAGTGTCTGAAAGATGCAACAGTGTCTATGAAATTTAACAGTGTCTGAAAGATGCAACAGTGTCTATGAGATGCAACAGTGTGTATGAAATTTAACAGTGTCTATGAAATTTAACAGTGTCTATGAAATTTAACAGTGTCTATGAGATGCAACAGTGTCTGACAGATGCAACAGTGTGTATGAAATTTAACAGTGTCTATGAGATGCAACAGTGTCTATGAAATTTAACAGTGTCTGAAAGATGCAACAGTGTCTATGAGATGCAACAGTGTCTGACAGATGCAACAGTGTGTATGAAATTTGTCAGTGTCTATGAGATGCAACAGTGTCTGACAGAGGCAACAGTGTCTGACAGATGCAACAGTGTCTATGAAATTTAACAGTGTCTGATAGATGCAATAGTGTCTGAAAGATGCAACAGTGTCTATGAGATGCAACAGTGTCTGACAGATGCAACAGTGTCTATGAAATTTAACAGTGTCTATGAGATGCAACAGTGTCTATGAGATGCAACAGTGTGTATGAGATGCAACAGTGTCTATGAGATGCAACAGTGTCTATGAGATGCAACAGTGTCTATGAAATTTAACAGTGTCTATGAGATGCAACAGTGTCTATGAGATGCAACAGTGTCTATGAGATGCAACAGTGTCTATGAGATGCAACAGTGTCTATGAGATGCAACAGTGTCTATGAAATTTAACAGTGTCTATGAGATGCAACAGTGTCTATGAGATGCAACAGTGTCTATGAGATGCAACAGTGTCTATGAAATTTAACAGTGTCTATGAGATGCAACAGTGTCTATGAAATTTAACAGTGTCTGAAAGATGCAACAGTGTCTATGAGATGCAACAGTGTGTATGAAATTTAACAGTGTCTATGAAATTTAACAGTGTCTATGAAATTTAACAGTGTCTATGAGATGCAACAGTGTCTGACAGATGCAACAGTGTCTATGAGATGCAACAGTGTCTATGAGATGCAACAGTGTCTATGAGATGCAACAGTGTCTATGAGATGCAACAGTGTCTATGAGATGCAACAGTGTCTATGAGATGCAACAGTGTGTATGAGATGCAACAGTGTCTATGAGATGCAACAGTGTCTATGAGATGCAACAGTGTCTATGAGATGCAACAGTGTCTGACAGATGCAACAGTGTGTATGAGATGCAACAGTGTCTGACAGATGCAACAGTGTCTATGAGATGCAATATTATCTGTCACACATAACAATGTCTGACAGATATATCTTTCTATGATTCTAACCCTAATTACATTTTTCGTAAAAACCTATATTTAAGATTTGCAATTAACACCCTTTTTTCTCTTCCAATAATGCACAAAACCAAGATTTGACATCAGATTTAAAATCTCCATCAAGTCTGCTTTCCAAATCCGCTGTCAAAACTTGAATATCTCAATTAATTAATGATATTCAGATATTGCGAATAATCTTTAGGTAAGAAGAAAAATTTAGGTTGTAAAATCATATAAAAATGTAGTTAGAGAGCAAAAATTATGTTTGAGTGGATTTCCATGTCGTAGTGGATCTAGATGTTTGAGTGGCTTTAGATGTATGAGTGGTTTTCAATGTCAGTGTGGATCAAGATGTCTGGGAATAAAAGTAAGTCGTAGGTTAATATAAGTTTGATATTAATGTAAGTATGACTTAAAATGTAAGTCTCGGACGAAAGTAAGTCTGACTTGAAATGTAAGTCTCGGACGAAAGTAAGTCTGACTTGAAATGTAAGTCTCGGACGAAAGTAAGTCTGACTTGAAATGTAAGTTCGGACGAAAGTAAGTCTGACTTGAAATGGAAGTCTGATTCTAAATGTAAGTTCTAGACTAAAGTAAGTCTGATTCTAAATATAAGTCTGATATTAAGATAAGTTTGTAACTAAAATTAAGTCTTATTCCAAAAGCAAATTTAATTGTATAATAAGTCTGGATCTAGAGTAAGCCTTAGTCTACAGCTATTCTGTGTCAAAAATAAGTCACGAACCATAGTAAGTTTCGGACTAGAGTATGTCTGTAATTCGAATCATTCATATTCTTCAATTATCCCGCCAAAAAAATTATCGTCTTTTTATCATACCATAGTTTTTATCAATCTCGTTCTACTAAAAAACCTTTATATTGGTGATTTCTTTGTTAAACCCGTATTTTTTCATGTGAATCTTATTGTATAAACTCTAAAAGTTCAATTTCCGGTCGAAAAAAACTTGAAAACAATTTGTATTCGACGAGTTAAAGAGCTCTATTTATTCTAAATTTTCCAAAAAAAATTAGATTTCGTTTTTTCGCTTCAAAAAATGTTGTTTTAAGTTTTAAAATTTGTAATTCAAAATTTTTTTGGAAAGATTTACGATTTTTTAATACTGCGAATGAGTTTTATTTTACATACTCTATTGATAAATCATATTTTTGTCGAGATATAACTTTTTTTAAAAAAATTATATGCAAAGAGTGTTATAGAATTCTAGAAGGTATAGTGCATAATTTGAAGTATACTATCAAATAAAGAAATTTTACAGTTTTTTAGTTTTATTTAGATGTACGTTATTTTAGATGGCTTCGTCGAAAACAAAGCATGTCTGTTAAGTTTATTCTTAACATGGTAAATAAAATGGCAACGAAGCCCAGTGTACTGCGTCTTATGCCGTAGTTTTTGTTATCTTCATACTCAAATACAACAAATACAAATAGATTTATTACGAAAAAACGTATAAAACAAATGATATATTTATTTCTAGACAAGTTGACGAACATGTAGCGCAACTGTATCGCTTTAGAGAACAGTTCTTCCAACACCTACTCATTCAGTGAAAGATTTAAGAAGAACTCTTACTCGACCTTAACTACCTACGCTTTGCTTGAACAATTCCCAACGAGGTTACTATAAGGTTGCAAGTCTTGTCAAAATGTAGTATGCAATACGTTGGGGAAAAATAGATATATACGAACAAACTACTACAGTCTAGCAACTAGTCTTTAAGTGTAATGTATTTTTGCTACAAAGAGCTCATAACGAAGTCAAATTTTGCAATTTGATGTCAAAACTAGCTAGTTGTTGAATCAAATAGCGTTGTGACTTTGTATACATCACGATCTTGTGGTATCAGAGCTGTACTGCTGCAGACTAATTCAACTAAACATGAGCAAGATTGGGATTTCTATTCTCTGGGGTGCGAGGCTCGTCCAAAGTTCAAGCAGCTACAGTGTTTTGGATCACCTAAAGAACTTTGGGAATTCTGTTATTACGTAAATTTCTCAAGATGAACTTGAGAGCAGCGCAGTTATAACGAAAGTCTCTGATGAAAGGCAATGATTTCTTTCATGAATGATCTAACGTTAGCTTGAAATCAGGAAAAGAGACTATTGATGACTTACTTTCCATCGATGGTGCACAACAGCAGGGAGGGGATTGGTGGGTTTGGGGAAATTCGCTGAGGCACTAGTGTCCGGATTGTTCGTCAAATAGGTTTCCTTTCCTATAAAGAAATGACACTTTTTTGGCGGCTTATTGACTCAGAAAAATTTGAGAGTTAACGAATAATTTTGGCGCCAAAAATAATTTCTCTTAATTTATTAAATTTAATATACGCACATCCATAAGTTATGCTATTTTTTTCTATTTATTTTGTTCTAAAATTCTAAATATTTTTTTTTCATAGCATAAAATATGATGTCTAGTCTCATTTACATAACAACATGCCTTAGAATAGGTTTTTTATTCTTTTTGTCACTTTAAATTAAGAATAAAAAGATAATTTAAATTGAATATTTGCGATTATTCTCACTAATACTGCTTCCTCTTTTATTAGGTAGACAACAAAAAGTTAGCCTTGGACTCCCATATCAGATTTTTGATTGGTTGCGTATATAATGAGCTGGGATTGATAGACGAAAACCCAGTGAGAAAATTTTTGACGCCCAAGTAATTATAACAACAAGAAAAAAAAAGAGAATATTTCTTAAGATATTGTTGGAATATTATCATTAATAGCTAGAACTACGTTATCAATCGGAGCTGAAATAGCAGATTGAACTACTTTAGCATTACAAGCCATACTCAAGCTTTCTATATCAACATCAGTAATTTTTGAATCTCCAACAAGATCTGACTTTGTAACTACGATTACTACACGTCTTGAATGAAGGTTATTTGACTGATACCATTGAATTAGATTCTGCATTAAGTTTCTCGATGATTTTGGAATTAATAAGACAACAACGTTAGCAGATTGAAGATAAGAGTCTATAATATCTTTGCATGAAACAACAGCATCGTACGAGCAATCCCATAAGAATAAAGATCTGTATAAAATTGAGCCAGATTTGTCTTGAGTAATTGACCAAACTCCTCTATATCCGTTAACACCAGCTGAAGGATTTGGATCTCGTGGTTGAGCCCCACCAAGACGCTGTATTAAAGTCGTTGCACCGCATTGAGGAGCGAAAGGAATAAAAACAATATGATGAATATTTGAAGGTGTAATCGGAGGTTCATCAAAAAGACCAATTAAGTGATTATCAATGACACCGGCAAGTCTGATTTGATCAGGAAGTCTGGGTCTCATTTAGACGTTTATAAAAAACTTGTCACTTTTCTCTATTAAATAGCATTTTTTATATTTTAAATTACATATATTTATACACCAATTTTATTTTTATTGGCATTTTTTGTAAACTTTTGTAAAAAAATCATTATTACAAGATTTCTTTGTTATTCCAATGGAGAATGAAATACATGAGTTCTTTAATACATTAATAAATGTAGAAGCGCAAGATATAGATAATGATTGGGTCAAACAGTTCCATGACAAAAAGGATTTTATCTTCCAAGCTTGGATTACATTAACGCACTATTTACAAGACGAAAACATTAATAATATCCAATATTTAATCATAATTCTTCATTCAATCACTTCAACATGCCAATTTACTGATATTTATCCAAGATTGATTCCTATTTTCCCTCAGCTCATTAATTATTACGAGCCAAGTTTATACACTATTGTTGCAATACTAAAAACCGCATATAATAACAATCCACTAGAACTTATCCCCATCATTCAGAAATTTCCTGACGAAAGTTTAGTCAGACTTCATATTGAAGGTGTATTTTTCAATACATACAAACAAAAAGATAAAAACAAATATTTTGCATCACACGTTGCTAAATTTTTAAATATCATAGAGAATTTAAGCACACAAGATATTGATATTTTAACAGAAAATTTCTGCTCTTATTTATATACTAATACCGATTTAGTAGAAAGTTTCTATGCCAATGTTGTTCGGCAATTCTTTTTCCAATCCAAAGAACGTCCACCGAGATATAAAGATTTTGTATGTTATTTTTGGTATCACATCTGTTCTAATGACAATTCAATAGTATTCTTTGAAGATCTTAATAACATTATTGATAACTCAGCAAACATTGATGAATTATGCATCATAAAGATGCTCTGTACAATAGACTATTGGTTACAATACGATTACGAGAAAATTGATGACTACGGTCAAGAATTTCATTTAAAACTACTTAGATTCTATTTTGATTCATATGATAGGATTCGTAATTCAATCGGTATTGATCAAGAAGAACAAATTACATTGACTGGAATCCTTAAAGCTATTGAATTTAATTGTTTTAATGATGACACATTCACAGCATTACAAAATGTCTCTGCACTTGGAAAAGAATATTATCATGAAAATACATTAAGTTCTGAAGCATTCATAGTTCTAATTATCTATCTTTTCATTCATTATTATCAATATGGCGGCATTTGGAACAAAATCGAATCTTTTTCTATGGAATCATTGTTTAATTTATTCTTTGGTAATTGTTTCAATACAATTATTGATGAAAATAATGTTAACATATTGCAGATATTCCGAGATCTTATTTTAGACACACATATATATTTCTATCAAGTACCAGAAGAACAAATTATTAACGCTGCTACAGTTGTTATAAGTGCATTGCAAAATGGATCTAATCCATTACTTTTAAATATCTTTCATTACATTTGCAAGTCTCATTTCCGAGGAATCTTGACACTTGTATATGAATCAATTGAAAATTTCACAGATGCTATATCATATTATGAAATCCTTTTAGAAGCAGTAAAATCAGTATACATAGAAGAAACAGGTTGTATTAAACTTGCTCACACATTTTACGATATTCTTAGTGAATCAGAATATGAAGAGGAATCTGTTGAATTTAAATTGAATTTATTTAATTGCTTATCAATTCTATATCTTAAATGTTTGAATGAAGATTTATTAGGATGTTGCAATGAATATATGAACGACTGTCTTTCATTATTTGATGACATGAGCGATGATGATTTCCAAACATTTGTTTCTATAATTAATGCTTTAATTTTCAATGATTGCCCAATTACAGATGAAATAATGAAACAAATTTTCCAAAAAATCGGGACATTATTCAATCAATATAATAAACACATAGAACTGTTTAAGTTCTATTACTTTGTTAAATGCAATGACGCGGAAAAAGCAAGCGAAATATTTAAATTTTTCGCCAGAGATGAAAATATTGATCCATGCAAATCCTGTTTCATTACAAGTGCTTTTATCGGAAAGGATTCAAATCCTTTTGATCAATATTCAAATTTTGGTGTTGAGAAAAATCCAATTATAATAATGAATTTTGCAAATTTATATTCACATTTTCTAAAGATGCAAGAGAAATTATGCATTGATGATACAGCGCTTATATTGGATAATCAAATCGATAGTACTTCGTACATTACTGAATGGATTGCAATGCTTATCTTAAAAGTTGGATTCCCTTATTTACAATTAATGAATGAATTTGGAAACAATGAAAACTTTTCAGAATTCATGGGTATAACCGAAAATAGATGTTTTTATCTTGATAATCTTGAAGAAACTATCACACAGATTTTATCTTCAGATATTCATTTACTCAATTATGGAGTTAATATTGGTTTCACAGTTGAAAATTGCAATCATTGCGGTGTTATTGCAAGAAATATCATTAATGGACAAAGAGAAATCAATATTGACGAAATAGAAATAACAGAAGATTCATTTGGATATTCATTGAAAGTTGTTTTATTTGCTGTTGGTAACAACTTAGTTAATCAAGAAGAATTCCTCACAATCATTGGCATGTTTCCATTCCCAAGATTTAACAACATCTTCATTGATGCACTCTATTTTGTTTTCTCCAACTGTGATAATGAGATCATCAAGAATTCAATTTACATTGTTGTTAATAGAGCTCGTATTTACTGCCGAACTCTCCTCAAAGATGACTTCGATTTAGAAAAGATTAATACATTATTCCCTCAATGAATAAATAAATATTTCATAAACATTTTTTATTTCACCTTCATCTTATTATCGACAAATTTTTCGAAACTAAGTAAGCAACAGTAACATTTCCATTATATTCTCTCAATTTTTCTCCCCTCATTGGCAGTAATTTCAAAGTAAATTAAAACCATTTGACGTTTCCAGTTTAACAACTAATATGAATATGTAAGCATCTCGTTTGGACAAATTTTGGCAAGGATCCTGAATTTTTTTTATACTTATCTGCAAAAAAAGATATAAATTATGTTTTTATTGCCAAAAAATTAGGAGTGTATAAGGTGGTCATAAGGTCAGCCTTAATGGATTTCAAATCACTAAAATTATTTTTTATTTGAATCATTTAATGAGCAATAATAAGTGAAATGTTTTTAAATAGAGCATGCAAGCTATTATCATTTAACAAACAGATAAAAATAAACATAATTAAATTTTATAAAATATTACTAACAAGAAGAAACAAATATAGTATAAAAATATCAACTTGAAATAAACAAAGAAAAATCAGATTAAATCTTTGATTAGCCAGACTTCAGGAATTAATTCCATATCTCCCCATGGTTTTACAGGATTTCTCGGCTCGTCAACAGGCTCTATATCCTCCCATTTAGGAAGAGGTGGTAATTTTCCGCATGGAAGCTTAAGAAGCCTTAAAGTATGAAGATCTGCAAAAATCTGAAAAGCTTCATTATCATCATAATCGCTATGAAGAGTTTCGGTATAAAATTGAATGAACCTCTTAAACGCATCTTTTGTAAGAACGTTTGCACCAAGAGAATTCGGAAGATTAAGAGTATACTTTCCTCTATTGCATGTTTCAAACATGTAACCGATTACTTGAGGCTTATTAGGAAGTTTGGGAAAGCTAGATGGAATGAAAAATGAAGTATTATGTCCGAAAAGAACATATGTTGTATTAATGAGATCAATAAGTGTTTCAATACCACCAGATGATATCCTAACTGATGAATAAAATTGATTTGATTCATCAATTCTATCCATTGAGATTAAATCAATATTTCGAAAATTAGATTTGAGAAGTGATTGCGTTGTTGATTTAATTTGATTAGAATTAGCTATCACTGTTATATCTCTAATAGGATTTGAACGCGATGATAAAGATTGGATATTTGGAGCAACAAATTTCGAAAAAATTAGAGTTAATCCAGCGCATAGCATTAGAAGAGTTACAATAAATATTTTTATCTTTCCTTGTTTGAAGAAAGAACGAACATAGTATTTGGCTGGAGGCATTTTTAAAAAATTTGACAAAAATTCTGCACTTTTGTCAAATTTGTGGTGATTTCATTTTGTAAATTTAACGCATATCTTACAATATAGGTACACAGTCGCGCAGAACGCAGATACAAGCTAACAAATATTTATTTTTATATGAGAGAATAAATCAATAAGGTATCATAAAATATTGCAAACTATCGGATTCAAACAGAAATCACAGTAGACAGGATATTTGTTCGATCTACCATCACACGAATGTTTACCACATTAAGTGTTTCAACCATACCACATTAACTTTATTTGAATAAACATCTAATTAATTCAATTTTAGTATATTTGCTCTCATATGTGCTCTCTTTCCTAAATTTCGTCAATTTTTGTTCCCCAGGAAAGAGAGCACACCAATTCATATTATTTGCGATATTATGGACAATTTTATGCTATCCCTTTTCCAAAATGCTCCAAAAATATTTTTATAAAATTAGATTACTTTACCCCAATAGATTTTAGGTATTTCTTAACATTACCTGTTGCAACTGAGAATGGAGTACATCCAAAATTATCCCTTGCCTCTTTATTAGCTCCAATAGAGACAAGATATTTCACAACATTAAGTTTACCACTACTTGATGCAATAATAAGAGGAGTATATCCATCATTATTCTTTACTTCTTTATCACAACCACAGTCGATGAGGGATTTAACAAGTCGGAGATTTCCTTCATCACATGCAACATGGAGAACATTAGATTTATTCAAACCATTTGTCTTTCTCCAAAGTCTTTCATCACAAGCCTTTGTTATCATTTCATGATCTTCTTTCTCGGAAAGTTCATCAAGGAGTTGATAAACACCCCTAAAATCACTTGATTTCTTAAGCTCTGCAATTTTTGTTAAATATGATTCCTCCTTTTGTATAATTGTCGTGTTATTGGAAGTATTTTGTATTTGAATATGAGGTTTCATTCTAAATTTCTCCTTTTGATTTAAAACATCAATGATTCCATCAAGTATATTGAACTTCATGTATTTTTTGACATTCATTAGAATTGAAACTGCATCTTCGATGGTTTGTATATGAATATTTGCTTTTCATGCGCACATATATAATTCTTTAGCATTAATTGTTGAGTTTCATTGTTTGAGAAGAGAAATGTACTGATTTACTGTCAAATTTGAATATTTCATGATTGTTTTGATGTAATCTATCTCAAATATATTAATAAATGTTTCATTTTCAATGTAATCACTGATGTGTGCAGCAATAAATTCGAAATTCAGCTGAATTCCTCGGCTCATTCTTTGAATAGTCGTCATTTTACAATAAATGTCAAGTAATTTCTTGATTCAAGTTGATAAATGGACAAAATTTACGTATTGGATGGAGTTATACTAACAAATTTAACTGAAATCACTTAATTTTAAATTATTTTTGTTGAATTGAGTAATCAATTAATGAACTTGATTTAAAATACAAGTTGTTATTCTAAATCAATGCATGAATTGCTAAGATATCAGTCATCCACCTAATTCGAAATTGTTTAGAAATATGAGTTATTATTGATTCGTCTGCTAAGAACATATAGCAAAATAGCATGGGCTCATCAATACTACGAAATGAAATCTGAGAATCCATAGAGACAAACAATAAATTTTATCAGAAATTAGTTCGCATTAATGAATAGCTGCACGTCAATGAATATACCAGGAAGGCATGCTATTTTCATCTGAATAAATTTATCATTCCAATGCTGAAATCAAAATCGAAAAAAACAAATATGAAAACATAGAATTATTTTTGTTTTTTATCAAAGTGCAAAACTCCTTTTATCCATACATAATATTTTTAAGCCAATCTCTAAAATCGACAATTTCACAATTTTTCTATTGTTGGGGCATTTTCTTAGGAGAGGGTAAATTTGAATACCATTCAAAAGTAAAAATTCACAATTTGTTCGATTTAGACATATAATCTATTATTATATATAATGTAATTAAGAAAAAAAATAAAATGACCTGCATATATTAATTATTTAGATTGCAAGATTCAAAAAAGCTATTAAAATTAGAGACTAAATAAATAGCGAATTGATTCATATGGATTTATGTAATTGTGAACATTAAAAGAGTTTATTTATTGATCTAATAAAAAAAGATAAAATATTAATGAGAAAATTGAAAGAATAGAGTGTCCCATTCACTCGTGTTGGTCGCAATGTATCATTCTGGGAGACATTGCCTCTGCATGTCTCCCACAATGGCACAATGTTCCTTGGAGAAAGACCTGGAAGGGGGTCCTTTCTCAAGGTCAGGACCCCCTTCTAGTCTTTCTGGTCCTGGAAGGAGCGCTTCTGACTGGTCTGTGCGCTGCTTCCAGGAAGATCAGGAGATTGCTCGAAGTTTGCGGCAAGTGCATTCCGACACCACAGATGCACTTGCCGCAACATATAATTGCGAGTGTCTGCTGCTTTGGTCAAAAGAAGCAGCAGACACTCGCAATGCGAACCGAATTGTCCCAGAAAGACCTGGAAGGGGGTCCTTTCTCAAGGTCAGGACCCCCTTCTAGTCTTTCTGGTCCTGGAAGGAGCGCTTCTGACTGGTCTGTGCGCTGCTTCCAGGAAGAACATGAGATTGCGCCAATAAGCTCCTATCAACAAATTTTGACTAAAAATATAAAGTATCCTTTTGTGATTTAACGAATAGCTCAATTTTAAAATAGATTTGATTCTAATAATAAATTGAATAAGTTTCGCTTACGTTTAGAATTTAATGATTTATATGATTTTTTCGTTCACAGAAGAGTCATTGATATCCAATATCAAAAAAACAGCAAAGACACACCATAATAAATGATATTGAAGCTAAATATTACATATTTCAACATATCTAAAAAATTATTATAAGATTAGATTCTCATGCAATGCCGAGCAGTTTCCTAAAGCATAATTACTTATATACAGCAAATTATATAATATTCACATTGCAAATTATATCACTTACGAAGAAAAATAGACTGTCCGAATTTGAATTCAAATAGAGATCTACTTCAAAAGGATTTCTTACAATATGTAATCTCGATGTTGATCACTGGAATACAAGGGATGCACGTAATTTACAAATTGTTGCAAAAATAGTAGTGCAACAAAAATTTTATTTTTAGCTTGTCACTTGATATATAACAATTGCAAAAACTCAATCAAAAATAGGATTTGAACAACTTTTTAAAATTGTGAGAAAAATTCTATCGGCACATTCTATTCAATTTTAAAGTATTTCTTTCATATTCCAATCGATTATTCAATATTTGCCAATCACAAATTTTAGTTCAAAATTCAAAAAATTCCTAATTTTAATTTCAGATGAAATCTCGCAAAAATAACATTGTTTTAGCCATATAAATATATATTTTATATATTGTATAGTGATTTTTAAATATTTTTATGAGTAAAATCGAGAGTGAGGAAATGTGGACTACAAAAAACGATAGAAATGAATAGTTTACATGGGAATTCAATACTTACAAGCATTTAATGTCACTTTTTGACTCTAGTCTCATAAATCATGATATTTGAATCGCAAAATTTATTCCACGTAGGTAATCCAATAACAAATTTTAGAGATGCCGATTTTTTTGTGTTTTATATTTTATCCGAAGTGAACTCACAAATTCAAAAAAATGATGTTGACAAGCGATATTATTAAGGAGAGCAAAGATGCCGTCAACAATTTTGACCTCGATAGCTCTCCTATTGCCGAGACAGTTGCAAGATCTGTCCCCGTTGTTAACATGCTTTCTCATCCATTTGATGATGATGCAGAAAAGGTCCCTGCTATCGCTTCAAATACATTAGCATCACAATCAATCATAATTATTCGTCAATTTGATAAGTATAGCAGAACAATGGATGAATTTACAAGTTATTTCTATCCATTAAGATCTGTTACAAGAGATTTAGAAAAGCGCGTTCAGGCTAGTGCTAAACAAAACCAACAGACAACCGAAGTTGCTCTTCCGATTCTGAAACAACTCGTTGATCCACTTATTGATTTCAAATCGAAAGTAGACACTTGCGTTACGTATATCAAAGCAGTTCTTTCCAACTCAGATGTCTGGAGCCAAGGTAAATATAGCGAGCAGCTTCTCGATTCGATCTTTCGCCTTATTTATAAAATGGAAAGACTTTCACAGATGAATCCAACAAGAAAGGCTGTCGCTGATGATATTTCAAAGGTTTCAAAGATTGTCGGTAAGACAGAAAATGAAATCTTCCCAATGCAACTTAGATTTTGGTTCAACTCACCAGGAAGTATTCGCCACGACCTTATTGAGTCATTGACTGAGGTCAACGATTCGGGTTCACCAATGGGAATGTCGCCCGAATTAATCCAGAAGGTTTCTTCCCTATTTTTCGACAGAATTTACAGCCAACTCACAAACGACACGTTTATTCTTGCCGAACTCGAGACAATCTACATCGTTGCATTGACATTTACCATCGATCTTGTTACACAAGGTAAGAAGATGGAAGACAAAATGAAGAAATCAAGGAAATCAGTCATTTCGGATATCCCCAACAATATCAAGGAGCTCTTATTGCAAGTGAGATCCAAGCACCCAGCCATTCTTCTTGTTTACGAGTTCCCTCTCGATTTCGACGAAATGTTGAATTATTCTTCACTTCTCAAGGACATTGCAGCCAAAACAGGCGGCAAAGGTGGCAAGGTAGCTAACCAGAGATTTAATGTCAACCTCAAAGGCATCCAAAAGGGACTTAGAAACGAAGTTGATAATATGATCGTCCACTTGACACGTTTGAACGAAGGCGTCACTCCAGAACTCACAGATTACTTCATGAAGAGGATCCCATCCAGTATTAAGATCCTTTCAAACGCTATTCGTACAATTGTCGAATTATTAGCCGATAAAATCCTTAACGCCAACTCCTACGAGATTGTTTCGAACAACAAGGCCAAGCCCGGTGAAGAACAAGCAGAAGTTCCAGCCCAAGACCCATCATTGATTTCTGCCTACGAAAGAGCTATGCGTTACGGCTTTTCCAACTTTGAAAGAGACTCAACAATGCAGATTCTTGCACTCGCAAGGACTCTCCGCGAAATTATCTCCCAGAATCTTCCGAAATTGAACGATATGTTCGCAAACGCCATTCAAAACTCCATCCAGGACTTCATCAAGAACAAATTAGAACCACTCGCCAAGAAATGCGCCGGAAAGAAGAACTACGACCACTCATCAATTGAGAATTTGTGTCTTCTCTTACAAGATTTCTCATCCAGCCGCAAGAAACATCGCTCCAGCAAAGCCACAGATGAAGAAAAGCAAGAGGAAACCAAGTCAATGCCTCATCTTTCTTTCATCGAGTTAATGAGGTCACAATTGGAGCAATTCCTCAACCAAGAGAACCCAGTTTGCGTACACGGCATTGCAAAGAGCAACGAAGAAGCCGACATCAAGATTTTCTTAAATGATTCTCGTTATTTCGCAGATCTCTGCAATCTCGATGAAGTTCTTGAAGTTGCCTCCGACCAATCCTCTCTCTTCTTCAAGGAATACTGGCTGGATGTCTACAGAAACCAGGTCTCTGAAAAAGTAAACGGCGCCGTTTATTTCCCAGTCACAACTTCCCTTCCATATATTCTTATTAACTACGCTATCAACCACGCTAGCAAGATGGAATTGGTCGGCGCCATCTTCTATCCGCTCTCCATTTACGATGATGCAGCAGCGACAGCCCTCAAGAAGCTTAATTCCCAATATTTGTTCGACGAAATCCGCGCCGAAGCCGAAATCTGCGTTCTCTCCATCACAAAGATGATTTGCGAGTTCGCATTCCACAACGTGAGAAACTACCACACACAGGCATTCAGCGACCAGTACAATCCAAACATGCTGAGTGAGCCAACGATCCTCAATCCGACAGCAAGAAGATTCCCAGCTGTTTTGCAGCAGAACCAGCTTTTCTTGCTCGGAAATTATTTGGACATCAAAGCTTTCTTCGCACAGCGTTTGGACGAACTGTTTGTCGACCAGATGCAGGACGCATTGTCACAAGTGAGAGCTAATGGTCTTTTGTCAATGATTGTTTTCACGAAGACATTGGATATTTTGAAGAACACTCATCAAATATTCGTGGAATACGACATTCCTGTTACTAAATGGGAAGAATTACAATCATTGGTATTCCAGAATTCAACACCGAACTCATTCAACTCATTAGTTCTTGAAGAACTCGAAGAACACCTCTTCGAAACAGTCATTCCTTCTTACATACTTCACACAAACCCAATGAGAATGATTCCTTCCGAATCCGATCGCCAGAAGAAGCCAAAGATCGCTGTTCTCACTCAAACAACAGCTTTCATCTCTGTTGAACACTTCAGAGAACTCGTCTACATCCTTGACGACGGCGGTGTTTACGCGTTGAGCCAGGCTTTGTGCGAATACGCTGTTTCCGCTTTCCAGGCGTTTTCCAAGGCGTACAAGTCGATGCACACTAATGTAAGAAGAATCACTGATGTACCAATAGGAACAGGCTGCCACGGAGTTTACGACATATTCGAAGGCGCGTACAGAGGTTTCGTCAATGATCCAAGTATCGAACAACTTTTGGAGCTGATGAAAGTACTCGGAAACACAATTGCTGTTGCTCAAATGCTCGATGTCGGTTACTCATTGAAGAGGAATGAGACACAGCAGATCTTGGCTTACTTGAATGGCACAGACATAAAGAATGTCGACAACAAGAATGACGATTTCTTCAATTTGTTTGATGACAGATTCAAACAGTTGAAGAAGTATTTCACTGGCGCAGAAGTTGTTCCAAGTGACCAGGAAATCACTCAGCCATTCATGCAGAAGATCGTTGAAGCACTCGCAAAAGAATACTTGGCACAGGGAGATTTGTTCAATGAAACATCACCAAATATCTTCGATTTCCCTTCAATGACAGGTTTCGCTGCAACATGGTCTGTTCTTCAGTTCGTTTTCTGCCTCAAGGAAATCCACTCTACAGAGGATGCAGAACTCAGTGCAAAGAAGGTGAGACACGGAGCTTTCGCTATGTACGGTGAAGGCGTCTTCCTTTCTGCTGGCGCTCTTTTGACATTGACAAGACAGAGATCTCTTTCAAAGGTGTTGTCAATTGGCGAAAGAATTAACCAACAGAATATGACTGATATCGCTGTAATCGAAGATGACATGATTTCTCACTTCTTGGCTATCAATAGACTGGTCGAAGCTTCTCTTCAGTTCGCTTTGATGGCTCTCGAAACTGCTGCTGAAACTGTCATTGGTCCACAGTAACTTTTTTTATAATCTGCTATTTTTTTTTATTCTTTAATTATTTTTCTTACGGTAAAAAAAAATCATTTTCAACCCTATAATTAATTATATTTTTTGAAATCTTGATACTTTCGAAGCTTTTTGTTAATGTTGGTGTATCAGTAATCCTTGAGATAAAATTCTTGAACAACGGATGGATAATAAGGTTGCGAGGATTGGGACCTGTCATTGACATTTTCCAGATCATCCTCTGATTTTCTTTTTCTATTCGGGAAGCATCCATACCTGATAGTTGTCATTTTTTGTTGATTCCAAGTGGCGCTACACGCCAATAATTTTATCATTTAATTTTCTTTCCTAATCAATTTCAAGGATTAGAAATGTAAACTATTCAAAAATTGTTAAGTATACCTTTTGAGAGAACTGGATTAACGATAGAAATTTTTTGAAAAAAAAACTTTTGGAGGTCTTATCCCTTGCTTGGCTTTGCATTTTGTGTCGCCGTATGCATCACTAGTATTTACACTCATCAATAAATTAATTGCAGTGAGAGGAGCATTAAATTTATAAATAATAATAAGATATGTTTTCATAGAACTAGTATTAACACATCGAATTATGAACGGTTCTTTTCTTATATGACCGGTAATAAAAAAACAAATTTTACGCTTAAAAAGATGTTTGAATTTGTACGGTTTTTTTTCCTACTTACAAAAAATTTTAAGCATTTGACTGAAGAAATCCGGATCAATTTCGTTTTTCTTTTTTCAACCAGAAGATTTGGATTCAATCGTCGGTTTGATTCAATTTTAAAATTTTCATGCTTGCTGCAGTAGACACTCGAATTACTTATAAAGTTTGGACTCCTTATCAAAAGGAAAATCATCAACATCTACTTGCGAGATGCAAGAAGTGCATTAGTGATCCATTGGAATTCGAACTGAAGATCATTTCACTCAGCAACAAGTTATATAAAATGTATCCTGATATTATTCCCACTAAATTGTATTCTTATTACATTGAAATGCAAAGGAAATATGAAGCTTATCTTCAGTATACAAATTTTTCTGAACTCTTACCTAGGGAAATAGATAAAATCTTGACATACCTTGCACATGTATCTGATCAAACATACGAGTATTTTGAGCAGATCTCCATGATCAATTCTTGGAAGTTTCGATTTTGTCGTTTTCTTTTACCTTACACAGATTCAATACCATGGCTTCACGAACGCTTAGAAATGATCATTGATGACATGTATTGTTTAATTAAAGTCAATTTGTGGGATTTTATTAGAGAAATGAAAAAGTTAAATGAATTTCTTATAAAAGAATCCAAGTCATCATGTTTGATCGATTATTTAAACAGATTGCCACCCTTAAAATTAGGTATTTTTTTCTTTTCCGAAGAAGAATGGAATAAATGCCTTGAATTTGCAGACTACGTCGAAGACTTAATTAAGCAAGGAAAATACAACATTCCCTTTTATCTCAAAAACCTAAGAAACCGATCAAAACGTGTAAATCCATATTATTATGAGGAATTAATAAAAATTCCCCACCGAATCACTACAATTGAAGGGCTGAAACAGCTATTAAAGATTGACTAAAAAATTAAATAATATCAATCTTAATATATCAAATAAGGACCTTGTTTTTCTTGTCTGAACTGAAATTTTATCTATTATTTGTAATGGAAATTGAACTAACAAATCAGATTGAATTTTGAGATGTTTTTTTTAATCCAACAGTTTAACTTTTCCCTCATAAGCCGAGATCATAACCAATTCACATTAAAAGTCTTCCATCTGGTGCACTCACTAAATTTGGATAGTGAATTTTATTATATTGTTGAGCTTATCGTGCTATTGTCATATATGATCTTTGTTGTCTCATCGATAGATCGAATATAAAATGAAAAGCTAATATAATATAATAGATTTTTTAAAATTGAGAAGATACAAAAGTTATATGGATCCCAAAAAATGAATTTATCAAACTAATAAAGCAATTGGTTATTGTTCGAGCTCTTATAACATTTTCATTATGTCATCAATTTGCGAATCTCCATAAAAATTATTTCGTATTATATCTGAGATAGAATTACTTTTGAACTCCTTGTTAAAATTGGCTATTCCATCATGTGAATATAGGAGAGATACCATTTCGCTTTTCTTCTTCAAAAAATCAAGAAAATCTTGTTGATTTTGATTCCCAAATTGACGAAACTCTTTGTTATACTCTTTCTTACCACGCATAATTGCGAAATCAAGTGGAGTATAATCATTTTCATTTAAAGCATTAATATCGGCACCATGTGAAATTAAAATTTCTCCGATTTCTCCATTAGAAGTTATTGCTGCTATATGAAGAGGTGTATTATCATGAGAATTTTGTTGATTGAGATTTACACCAGATGAAATTAGAAGCTCCATCAAGTCTTTGTTATCGCTTTCCATATCAAATGCTTTATAATCAAGCGCCACCAATGCGCTAAATTTGATAAGCATTTCTTTCATGATTTCTTTATTGTTATACAATAATGCATAAGCAATAGCATTATTTCTATATTTATCTGTCATGTTGACGTTTGCACCTCGGGAAATCAGAAGTTGAACAATTTCTTTAGAATTCATAAGTGATGCCAAAATATACGGAGTGATACCAAATTCGTTAGACCTCTGATTTACAAATGCACCATTACTAATTAGAATGTCAATAATTTCTTTATTTTTTAATATGGTTGCAAGATGAAGTAGTGAAAATCTATGTTTTTTACCTTGAACGTTGACATTAGCCCCATATGAAATAAGTAACTCCACCATAGCAGTATTGTTAAGAATTACGGCAACAGTAAGAGGACTTCCAATATTTTTATCTGATTTCTCAATATCAATTCCGAATGAAATTAAATCTTTAACAATATCTGTTTGATTTTCATAAACTGCAACACTAAGAGCTGTTATTCCAAGTGGACCTTGATGATTGATTTTTCCACCATTCTCATACAAATATTTGCAAAGATCTCGAATATGAAAACATGGAGACATTACTAAACACAAGTCAATTTCATCAGTTCCAACTAAATTTGCAATAAATAATTGAAGATTTAGATGTTTGCAACAGAATTCTATTGATGGTGGGTTGAGCTTGGAATATTCCGCCATGGTATTAGATAACAAATCATAGTAATTTTTCATATCATGAGATCTGATAGCAGCTTCAAATGTAGATGCGTCAGGTTTTTGTACCTTCAGACATTCTTGTATAATATATTTATTGTTCCCAATATATGAATCTCTAAGACATTTTTTGGTGATTTTCGCTTTAAAGTTTTTTCTTGATAATTTGAAACAATTTTCTGCTCCATTTAAACAACAATTTTCAAGTAATTCAATAAGATTAAGTTTTTAACTTTCCAAGAATTGTGATAATGCATTTTCATCATCATTTAATATTGCCTCTTTATAGGTATTTTTAATGATGCTGTCGTATTTTGAAAGAAATGAGACATTCAAACAGTTTTCGCAATGATATTCTGCAGCCAATTTCTCCATAATCGCTATATACGCATGACGATAACGTAAACGTGTTTCACTAACTTCTTTTATCTTTTTAATTAACTGTTGTGCTGTAAAATATCCAGGACTAATCAAATTATCCTCGATTTCTGAGAATAATCTATTTATTGAGATTTTTTCCTCTGAATCAATAGTGTATATTTTATCCCATGTTTTACAATATCCAATATACTTTAACAAAAGTGGGTCAGTACCGAGTTCTTTTTCGGAAGTAAACTTTTGAATAGTTAAGATGAAAAGCATAAATATGTACATTGAACAATAGATGTCAAAAAATTTAAAAATCCAAGTTTATCGTCAAATAAATATTGAAAACTTTGGAAAATACGATAATACCCAATTATTCAATGAAACATATCAAATCCGAGAATTCATATCACCACCTTCTTAGCAAAGTTTTCTTCAATTCTAAAGAATTCAAAATATATCGATGGAACTTTCAGGAAGTTCTTATTTTTCTCGTTTCAATCCGTTTTATCTTTTAAGTTCAATTGTTCAGACCTTCCAAGGGAATAAACATAATACAAGATATCGTGATGAGTGGCCCAATCACTAACAATTTAATTTTCAATGTTTATATATTCGTCGGGATCAATTAGTAAAAGATGTGATTCGCATGATTCCTCATCTATGAAGCGGAGACATTCTCAAAATGTTAGTTATTGACTTCAACAATGATGTTTCCCTGGAATAACAAATCTTTTAACCAGATTAATGGGAATTATTATTGATTCATCACATCATTTGACGATTCATATGTGTATCACCAGAAGATGATATGAAACCATATTCATTAGGGTAGTGAAAATATTTATCTAAAAATCACAAGTGTTGTGGTAATTGTAACCTTTTCAAATGCATAATTTACTACAAAAGTAAATGAATCGCTAATACTTACTCACTCTCTGGAATACAAATCCCCAGAGCTTTACATCAAAAATTCCTGGTTTCATTCTTCTCATTTGAGAGAAATCCGGAGAACTTAAGCAAAACGAAATACAAACAAGTTCTCTCATTCTCTTTTGACCCAAGATTATACGCGCATTACACTAAAACAACGTTCTTCTGAAGTCATAAATGAGAGGCATCAGAAGAGCTTTTGCTCTTTTCGAGTAAATTTACATTTTCCGTTCAATAGAGAGTCAGAAACTACAAACGTAAATCTTGGTGTAGATTATCTAATTGAATGAGATACCTCCGAGAAATTCTATTCTTTTCGACAAATTTTAGCTTATATTTATCCTTTTCAGACCAGAGAACAGTAGTAGGAATACTTTAGGAACAAGAGATTCCGAAGTCTCATTCAATGAGAAGCTTCGGAAGAACTTAGCCCTATTCGAGCAGTTACAGAGTCATATGCTCTTTGGGAACCTGGAAAAAGTAATCTAGTGTATTTGGCCAATAATGGATTAGTAGTATATCTCTAGAAGCGCAATGTCCACACATATTAGCCACTATATCCTGGCGGCAAGACTATGTGAACATTGCACGATTGGGTTGCTGAGTTCTTGGGCAAAAAACAGCCAATTTGGCGATCCTATGTCTGATATCTTAAATTTTTTTGTTATGCATATAGAAAAGAGTTCAATATTATTAAAAGAAATATTATTTTTTAAAACAAACAAATTTACATGGATAAAAAAAAGAATAAAATTAAATCATTTGGAAGCTGTGAATTTCTCCTTGTTTGTTTGCAAATGTCATGATTGGTGTCTTCTGATGCATGGCAGCAATGACAGAATTCTGCATTACAGGCATTCTATACATCATTTGTCCTTTTGTACTGAAAACAAATGGTTCTGAGTCAATTGGACAAGATGCCATAATTTTGTTCGATGGATGTAATGAAAAATCATTTAATGGACCTTTTCCTCCAGAAATTTCTTCAAATTTTCCAGATGTAACTCCAATTCTAAACATCTGGCCATTAGAATGTGCTGTGTAATACACATCACTCTCACCTATAGCTGTAGATATATTTATAACTTCAGATTCCATTTTAATTGAAGAAATTAATCCACTTCTGATATCAAACGTCGAAATCGTTCCATTTGAGCCCCCAACATACAGAATATTCTCAGAATTAAATGAATAATTGATTGCAGAAGATTTTTCATTAAATGAAAACTCATTTGTCAATTTCAATTTGATTAAGTCCCAAAAACAGATTTCTGTTCCTCTACATGTTGCTATGCTATTTCGCTTAAACTTATTATTCGAACAATAAAGAGGATCATCATTTAAATAGTTTCCAGAAGCTCTAAATTTGTAAAATGGTTTTTTCTTTGCATTTTCCGGCCAAACAGAAACAGATCCATCAGATGAACATACAACTAATGAATCATCAACACAAACCATATCAGTTATTAACGAATTATTCGTAGCAACAAAATTAGATTTAATTTCATGGTCATCACCAAGAATCTGGACAGAACCATCACTACAGCCAACACAGATATTGTCCTTGAAATAACAGAGCTTAACAGGAACTTTTCCTTGTAATGTTGAATGAGCAACTTGAACAAAGGTTCCTGTTGTTAAAATAAACACAGGATCGCTTTCTTTTTGTTCAATATCTGCTTCTGGTTCAATGATTTTCCACATTTTACCTGAAATTAACTGTTCAGTTGCAGATTTGAAAAGATTGAATGAATCTGAGGGAATCTTATACTTATCAATGTTCTTTTCCAACTCCACAATTGTAAAATCATCAACTTCCCCTTCTTTGATTCCAAATGGAATCGCAATTTTTTCTGTACCAGAAATAAACTGTTCTTTTGTTGTTTTTGCAAGACCAGAAACTCTTTTATCAGGATCCTTGCAGAAATATTCAATAATGAAAGGAATAAAATCTAATTGAATTTTTTTGTTTTCAATTTTCGAAGAAATTTCATAAACATCATCAATTTCATCCATTTTCAAGAAATATTTCTCGATATCCTTAAAATTATTAAATTCAATTTTTTGATCAAAATTAAAAGTTTTTTGTGGAAAAGAAGCAGTTGCTCTTATTGCGAGAAGCAAGTATTGCATTCTTACTAGATAAGAACAGTCAAACAAACAATAAATTGAAGAATAAATTGGTAATAAGTTCCTTTCATCACAAAACAAAGCCAAACAAGATACTGCAGCACTTCTTACTTCTTCAGATGCACTTTTTGTCAGTTCATTGACAATAAATTGAAATTTCGGATTTGATTTGTTCAAAGAAAGGAAAGAAAACGCTCTCTTTATCATCAGAAGGAGCCACAAAGTCATAATAGGTGAACTTGCCAATAAACAGCTTTCTATTTTCTGAATAATCTTTTTTTCTTTTACAACTTGCCTTGCGAACCTAAAATGGCTGAACAATGATGAAACCACGCAACAACAAAGAGATCTGGTCTGTTCTGGATACTTATTGTCAACAGTTAAATTAATTAAATTTGATAAGTCGTTTTTCCAGCCAATTCCTGTTAAAACATTAATAGAAGTATGCAAACAAGTTAAAATAATGAAAAGAAATGAATGAAATTCTTCAACCGAAATTTCGGATTTCGAAATTTTTTTTGGCATAATCAAAAAAGCTTCAAACCATTCTTGGAATGGTATTAACATGGAAACAGTTGTTCTATTCTCCTTATCCAAGCATAAATATTGACTTATCGTTACAAATGATTCACCTTTTTCAGTTTGACAAAGGGAAGCATCCAAAAGAGACTTTTCCACTTTGTTTGAACTCAAAGAATAATTTATCTTCGATTGTAACGATTTCGAAAATGATGCGAAAAAAGTGACAAATGAAAAAGGTGACACATTCAAAGTTTTTGATAACCACATATCTACTTGTGCTTCCCATGTTTGCCAAAGGTTATGGTTATACATAGCAGGCAAGTAAGGATAGGATACGGGTGTGACAGCGTAGTTAACTAATAAGAACTGCGCGATGATAAAACGACGAAACATTGTTCTTACGAAAATTTCTCTTCTAAACAAAGTCGAAAACATACTTTGTGGAAGGAAATCGGCACTTACTGCTTCAGCAACATTCTCTATTATGTTCTGTAGATCATTATCCTTCTCTTTGACAAGTTTTTGGATGAAATCTAATGGAGATTGTTTAAAAGTTGTGTTGTAATGCTTCAAAATATGGCTTAATATAGCAATAGGAACAGGAGAAAGAAGAACAGTTGATAAAAAGTCTTGAGGAATGAAAGAATCAAATGGAATCTTCTCATTTTTTGAAGTTGCGCATAAACAAAACCAATTTGAAGCGCTATGAACGGTTCCTTTGAGCTTATCTTCAACGTTCTTGAAGCAATCAATTACTAATCCTGCATTTTCACAGTCGAAGATGAAAAATGAAGGAGTTTTCAGTTGAGAAAAAAGATCATAAAATGATATCAATTTTTTGGTCTCTCCGAGCTCTGATCTGATGAATAAACCTTCATTACTTATTGGAGGAAAGCCACAACCGACATAATGAAAGACAGCTCGTCCTGTAGGATAATCATGGCGAAATTGTTGTAAATAGGAGACTGAATTTGCTGTAGGATTGAGCATTGAATAAAATGTTGGTTTGTAGTTTCTTATTTTGTAGCCGGCTTTGAAAAATTTCTGAATTATTCCTGGAAATTCTGTATCACTCATATTCTTGATATTAGACCATGCCATAATTAATTTTTTGTTGTGTAGAGATTCTGTTTGCTGTACTATTTGATTTCTACTAGATATCATGTAAACAATTGTTCCAAGAGTTTCCAATTGAGGAATTGATACATTAGCATACTTTTCATTATACCACTCATCTCTTATATGTGGTAAATTAAGCAATTCTTCTTTATAATTTGATTTAAATTTAATATTTAGAGAGATTTCGGATTTATTTTGAGATTTTCCTTCACTGTTTAAATTTGGATCTAGAATACTACTGTCTTCTGTATCAGAATGCTCATCTATTTCGGAAGATGTTGAGGATTCATCACATGAACTCATTGAATGACAGAAAATTTCGAAAGAATTATTATTCATATGCTATTAAGTAACATTATTTTGAATTTTCACAAAAAATTTTAAATTCCAAACGTTCATTGTTAATTTTTTTTTGAAAATGAATCAAGAACAAGGGGAATACTATTCTTATTATTCTACATCGAATGAAGGATACTCATCTGCATATGATGAAGAAGAGATTAATGATGGAATTGAATTACCAACAGTTATCTTTGATTCAGAAGATGAAAATCAAAATACACGTTCAGAAAATCCAACAGCAACATCATCACACAATACACGTGATTCAACAGAAGCTTTTACAATTCCAGTATTCAGATTTTCCAATAAATCTTCAAGAAGATCACGAAGATCTCGTTCAAACACAAATCCTGGATCAAACCAAAGCGGAAAACACATAAAAGCACCACAATTAGTTACAACGGTCCAACCAGAATTATCAGATTCTGAAAGTTCAAATCAATTATCACCAGCTCCAAAATTTATTGAGCTTGACACACTGTCAGAGATAGATTACAGAGATGTTATGTCTCCACGCAATCGTAGGACTAAAATCAAGTCAATTTTCAATAATGAAGATCCAATCATTGATGAAATTGAAGATGAAGAAGTTGCAAAGCAGAGCGTTAAGTCAAATCTCAGAAAAGCATCAAGAGAATACATAAAAGCAGTTGAAGAACAAAGAAAAAGAGATGAAAGAGAAAGAAATCTTGCAAAGAAACTTCCAGTACCACAGAATCAGAGGAGAACTAGAACAAGACAAGAACCACAATCAATTGATGAATACAATACTTCTGCTTCTTATTATACAACAAATAATCCTTATTCTCAATACTCTGATTACGAAGAATCAGAATCATATGACGATGACGATCAATACTCTGATTACGGAAGACCTTCTCCTCTTGGATCTCCTCATTCTTCAACTGTACAATCTGCAACGAATATCCAGCCGTCAACACCGCCACCACCATTATATCAGGCCAGTAAAGATAATTTGCAGCCAATTAATGAAAATTCCGAAAAACAAAATCAACAATCTCAAAATACTCAAAACCAGCCTCAAATTAACACTCAACAAAATCAGACTGGTACAAACAATAACAATCAGCTTCAATCTTCTAATCCGAACGAGATTGATCCGACAAGAAAAGCATTATTAGGAGTTACTAATAATGAAGCAGTTGCAAAGTTAATGGAAGACGATAATGATATCGATGATTCATTCTTCCATGATCTTTCTTCACAAGAAGTTGATATTAAATCAATTTCTCAAGCTCCAGCGGAATTACAGCCAGATAAAGGTTCAAAACATGCATATGCTGATGAAGCAGAGATATTAACTGACCTACCAACGCTTTCTCAAGGAGTTACAACTTCATTATCATATGAATCACAATTACCACAGCCAATACCAACAAAAACAACCAATCCAGTGCAAGCAGATGATATTGAAGACATTTATGCTGATTCAGACCAACAAATTGATACAGAACCAGAAAATAATTACGGAAAAGTTTCTGGAAGTGCTGTTTTAGATATTGCTAATGAAGCTAAAGGCGGAAAACTTGTACAAGCACTTAAACCTCTTAATGAAATCGAGAGGGAAGTTATAGAAACAGAAAAACAAAAAGTTCAGCAAAATAGGGAAAGAATTTTGGCAAATATCAAGAATAGCACTCAGCCTGAGCTTGTTTCTCTTGATACACAAGGAAATTCACGTACTTATACATCCCGAACTTACGGATCAAGAAGAAGACAACAAAAACCAGTCCAAAACGTCGAATTAGAGTCCACTATGTCCGTTGACTCAACAACATATGAATATTCTCGTGCTGTCACTACAAATACTCAGCAATCCGAAAGGAAATCCTCTCTAATTCAAGATAATCCACCATTTGTAAACCAAAATATAAACCAAAAAGTGACACCGGCTTCAAACCAATCACCATCTCCTGTTCAACAAAATGTAAATGCTAACATGCAAAATATTCCAATACAACAAAATCAGCCTCAAAATCAAAAACCTGTTCAAAATCAAGTTTCAGAAACAAGAGTGAGAAGGCGTCCAACAAGAGGAACAGCTACTTCCACAATGACAGCAACATACGAGACACAAACTACTGAATATACAACGCAAACAACAGCAACAACAGAATCTAATGTCAGAAGAAGAGTTCGTCCAACAAGATCCGTACGAGGAAGCAATGCAAACAACACAGAGCAGAATAATAATGCTAATAAACCTCAGCAGCAACAAGTTTCTCAAATTAATAATAAAAATGACGACGAAAGGATCAAAAAACTTGCAGAAGAGGCCGATGCACAACGTAAAATCCTTCAGCTCGAGAATAGAGTCAGACCAGGAGGAAATGAAAGAATGATTTTGGCTCTTCCTTCAACAACAACGACAACCCACGAACATCAGACAGAAGAAACATCAGATGCTAATAATATGATGATGGTTGCGCAGATTGATGCAACAAAAACAACAGTTTCTGAAGCACCTGTTCAAATTGTCGAAAAGATTCCAATTGGACCATCAGCAGCAAGACCAAGAGCTGCTCCACAACAACCTAAACAAGAAAATGTGGAGATCCTTGATCCAGATACTGCAATTCCAGCAACTTTATCGACAATCACAGTAACAAGAGATCCTTCTTCATCCAAAGCCGATGCATTTGCAGATGGACCATATAGGCCAACAATTCCAACAGTTAAAAAGAACGAAATCATGAAAGATTCAGAACAACTGGAGAGAGCTTCTGGTGATCCATTGTCTCCTATTAAAGGATGGCCTGCATTCCAAGTTCCTCTTATTTCTATTATTGATTTGACTGCAGAACGCAAAAATGCATCGATTGAATATGATTTCATGAAATTACTCGATGAAATTAGGCAACAATAAGACTTTTATTATTTATATGTTTTAATAAATTATTTGTTTGAATTTTCTATATAATACCTCTTCATTCTTTGACTAGCTTGGAAATCTACTTTAGAAGCTATTCGACTCTTACGGGCATGAATATGAATAAACTATTTGTACATAGATTCTTAGATTCATATTAGGAGCTTAAGTTATCTATCTTTTGTGCTAAATCAAGGCACAAAATATCATTTTTCATTGTTAACTATATGAAGCCTTGATAGGGGGAGTGTTTTGCGATCAATCATCAATGAATTAGATACCAAATTGAAAGAAATTGGAATCTATCAGAATTTTGTTCAAAATTCGAAGTTTGTTATTAAAAGTAATCATTTTGATTTGATTGTTTACGATATACAATGATTTAATAAAAATCATTAATGAATTAGTTCATATTTTATATCAAGTAGTAAATAATTAATGCACATACATAATCAAACATTTATAAATTCAACAAAATACAATAATAATTAATAATTTAATTTATTTTTCTATTGGAACACCAATAACATTCATTAGGGCATCAACAGTATTTGACTTAGGCCTGAGCCCTGTTTTATGCTGTATCAAATCACAGAATCTTTCAGTCACAGAGACTTTATCTTCGCTTTGCAAACGAATTGCTTTGTTAAAGTAGTCTATCAATTGGATAGGAGTCTTAAAAATAGAGTATATTGCAGCAGATAGTTGAGGGCCACAGCCAGGAAACAATTTCAGTGTCTTCTGCCATACTTCGCCAACTGTTGGAGCAAATTTATTTGTTTCACATAGAGCAGTGACGTCTTTGAGGCTGCCCATAATTGTACCACGCTTATCCATTATATAACATAGCTTATCCAAGTAATTCGCGACTTGTGCAGGCGTATCGATGTAAATTAACGAAATTCCGAAATCAGACATCGCTTGAAGCTTTTTACTGACACATGTTACGTTTTCCTTGCTTGTAACAATTACTATTTTGTGCTTAAAAGGAGTTCCAGAAGTATGTTTGAGGATTTGATTATTTGTTGATTGTAATTTTCCTCCCGAAAACTGGACAATTGTATCGTAAACCTCATTATTTCTTAAAAACCATATTGATACAACAGGAATTGATGACTTCTTCCATTGTCTGTTCGTTCTATTAATGGCATCAATTACATCAAGGGTTGTACGACATTCTATATCGCTTGTACTAACAAGCATGCTACAATTTCTTGGAGAAGCTGCTGAATCTCGGATTTCTTCTTGATTCTGAGGTTTTTGAGAGTTTGTAAAAATTTCTTCTGCGAGATTTTTGCCTTCGTCAGTAAGTTTAAACTGATCTTTGTTAGTAGTTCGAAATCGTTGAACATATCCATTCTTTTCTAGTGTCTTCATTGAACTGAATGGTGTAAGACACTAGCTTTATTCGGTCTGAATGTTCCTTGTGGAGGAGGAACAAATCATATTTCTCGTAATATATCTGATTTCGTTAATGATTTATCGCCTGCTTGATATAAAATCAAAAATATTTTTCTAGCAGAAGATCCTTCTGCAGGAATGTATCTTTTTTGCTTTTTATGAGTTCCAAAATAGAACTCATGTAGTTTTTCTTCTATATATTGATTTACTCCGATTAAATCTTTTGCATCATCAAAATTTAGAGGAATAGGACACAAACCTAAACTATCAAGCACTTCTAGTATATGATCTTTGTTATCTCCAACCTCATTTTTTGATAACTTTGTGAGGTACTCGCGCAATTCGCGATTTTCCTCCAAAATTTATTCATCATTTCATTTTTGTTTATTTTTTAGATAGACATGTTTATACATACGTTGAATCTTCCTTAAAAATTTTGACAATCTATTGAATTAATGAATTTATTTTTTTATCCATTCTGAAATGAAGTCGATTGCATTCATTGGAACAGGAAATATGGGTGGAGCAATGGCAAAGGCATGTTCTAAAGTATTAGATCCATCTGAAATTATTATTACAAACAGAACAAGGGCTAAAGCGGAAGAAATTGCTGAAGAAATACACTGCACTGTTGTTAATACAAACGTTGAAGCAGTTAAATCAGCTACATACATCGTCCTTGGTGTTAAACCACAAATGATGGAAGCTGTACTTAAAGAAATTGCTAATACAGTCAAATCAGAACGTAAGAAACGCGAATTAGTTATTTTAACTATTGCAGCTGGCAAGACAATCAGCTTTTACCAATCAATTCTTGGAGATATTCCAATTATCAGATTAATGCCAAATACACCTTGCTTAGTTTCAGAAGGAATGACACTTCTTGTCAGAAGTCCAAAGGCTACAGATGAACACGTCGAAAAAGTTAAAAACTTCTTCTCTAAATCAGGTTTAATCCAAGAAATCCCAGAAAGCCAAATGGATGCTGCTGGATCAGTTGCTGGATGTGGCACAGGATTTTTTTGCATGTTTATCGAAGCTTTGGCCGATGGAGCTGTCATGGAAGGCATTCCAAGACCAGATGCATACAAATACGCTGCACAAGCACTTAAAGGAACAGCAGAACTTGTTCTCCAGTCTGGAAAGCACCCAGGCGCCCTCAAAGACGAGATCTGCTCCCCAGGAGGATCAACAATTGCAGGTGTCAAAGCTCTCGAAGACGGAAAATTCAGAGCAACAGTTATGGAAGCTGTTCTTCAATCAACAAAGCGTAACCAAGAACTTGGAAAGTAAAAAAAAAATATTGATATTGTTAATAAACAAGAAATGAATAAATACTAAATAAACAAGAAAAATTATGGGTAGAAAGTACGTTAATAAGCGAAAAATTAATAAATTTCTTGTGAATTAATATTAGAAAGTATAATATTAATCCTAGATGATATAATTTGGTGAGTATGCTTGATTAATGAGATCAATAAATAGGCTAGGACGTGGAAATGGCCCACTGTGCGTAATCTGGTTATTCAAAATGATCATTGAGCTATGAAAATGGAATATGCACTCTTTTTGATCTCAAAACATTATTCCGGGACAATTGTATATGCAAATACACCGGAAAGGCACACTGTTCCGCAATCTTATTCTGATTGCGAAACTTTGACCGACAAGAGGGGAACATACACTCTTGTTGCTCTTTTAGTTCCATTTTGCAGACATTGCCTTTGCAAATTCCATGGAATGGCACGCTATTTAGTTTGTCACTTTTTTAAAATGAACGAATCCATCTATACCATAAAAACTCAAATTTCTTCATCCCAAAAAGATGAAAAGTTAGCTCAATTTCGCAACATTTTCGGCGACTACACAGAGTATCAAATGAAAGTCTCAATGTACAAACATTCAAGAATGATTATCCAAGTTAACGAAGAATTAGATGGACAGCAAGGAGTATCCAATGTTATCACTCTTGGAAGCTATTTCAAGACAAAAGATCCAGAAAAATCCGTTTACCTTCAACATATGGTTAATAGTAAAATTACAGGTAACATTCACGAATTTTTGCAGTCAATCGGCGAAAATTTGGAACGCCGGTGGATTGAAAAAGGATATGCATTTAAACAAGATAAAATGAATATTCGAATTTTCTCAATATTCGATGAAAATAGCCGTGAAAAATATTCCGATACAATTGGTATTGTTTTTGAGTCTTCGAGCAACTATTCAGACAATCAAGAGACTATTTGTGCTGCTCTTGATCGCGCATATACTTCTGTCTTAGAAGGAGTTCCGAGATACAACCCAGAAGCTAGATAAGCTCTTTCAGTTTCTGATAATATTGTTAGATTTAATTACATTGATTTCTATTGATACTAAAATAAAAATAACAACACGACTAGTGCAATGAGTTTTTAACGCAATCCTTGATTATTTGAACATAGATAATTTGTATTCTAACAAAATGAATAATTGACAAATGTAATAATCATTGAACCAGTTTCTATTTCCTGGCAAATAATTTGCACGATTTCGTCTTTTGATTTGTTTGGGAGGAAATTGCGAAGAGCAAATACAGTCTAATCATATGTTTTAATAAGTTCATCTGCAAGTTTTAGGTCATCATTAAAATCATCAGCAGTTTCCGCAATTTCTTTTGACATCAATATATATCCCTAAATTTTTAGCTATCGAAAGATTCTGTCATTTTTAGAATTTAGTTCGAATTAAACTTTCTTTGGTATCATATTAAGGTCGATGAAAAAATGAGCGTTTTTAAGGATGGGCACTCATAGGCTCCTGACAGCATAAAAATGTTATTATCTCACAATATAAAAGGAATCATAGGAATCTACAACTATATCTATATTGTTGGAAGACTTCTTAATGTATCATGCATATAAGTTATATCAATAACTCCATTATGTTATATGATTGTAATCATATTTTCGTTTCATGTTCAAAAACATTAAAATCATACTAACTATATGAGTATTATATTTAGGAAGCTGATATATAGATATGATAAAATGCTAGGTTTTGTGATTAAGAATATATACTTATCTTTTAGAAAATAATACTTTTATAAAAAATTATATCTTATATAATCTAAAAATTTTGGACAATTAAAAAACATTAATTAAAAATAGAATGTGAAAGTGTTTATTCAAAGAAGGTGCAAGATTATGATGTTTTGAGGGTGAAATAAATTTAATAATTATTTATGTGATTTAAGAGTAATACGATCATCGGTAGCTTGAAGACCTCTCTTTATAGCTCTTAATGCCGCAAACTTTTTTTGAACTTGCTTTGAATTTTTGAATGCTTTGATTAAATCTTTTGTTGTATCATACATTCTGAAATATCTGTTCATCATTTCTGGCATTGTTGGTAAATTTAACCTGTATCTTATTGCTACAATCGTTTCAAACATACTTTCATTGAAATGCAATATTGTGACTGCCATCCTAATTGGCCAAGAAGCATGCCAATTAATATTTTTATTAGCAAGCATTGCTTTGATATGGTTTATCGATTCAACTACTTGAGTTGAATGAATCTTTTTTACCATATCAAAGATTTTTACGGTATCTTCGAGGAATTTTTTAAGTGTTTTTATAGCAGTTTTATTTTTTGCATATTTCCATGGTTTAATCATCTTGCATTTTTCAGGATCTGGACAAAATTTATGATTTCCGGCATAATGTTTAGCGGAATTCAACCATAAAAACTTCTTTGTTTTAATTGACATATGTGTGTCATTGAGAAGTTGCCTAAGCCAACGCAATAAATTCTTTGAAATGCTAGATAAGATTCTGAATTCTGGCAGTTTGAGCTTTTTCTGTATATTGTTAAGAAAATGTCCAGGATCTCTGTATTCTCTGATACCTTTGAACGTATTTTTGATTGTAGAAACAATTTTGACATCGCCATCATGCACAAAAAAATTTACACGTTTTTCATTATTCCAACGCTTCAGCATTCTTTTTAAGCCTTCAAATTCCATTTCATTTGATTTTCCGTTGAAATTACCTTTGAAATTTTTAAAAGATTTAGATATCACTTCCCAATCTACAATTTTTTTGAGTTTCTCTTCTACAAATTGTACATAGCAAAACATTGCATTTCTTCTCTGACTCCAAGAACCGGCAAACAAAAGTCCCGAACATTTTCTCATTCGAGATTTCCAATAATTAACAGATTCTCTGGCAACTTCTATGATAACACGACCAACCTTTTCTTGGACTCGATGAAATGTAGCTTCTGACGGAACTTTGATGTTATTCAGCATGAATTGAAATTCTGATTGGCAAAATGTAGCGCCGCTCAATAATACAGATAGCACAAATTCAACAGTGTTGACGACATATGGCTCTACCCTATTTTTCGCGCTTTGAACTAAGTTCTTTATACGCTTTGCAACTGCTTTTGTTCGCCGCGGCATGAAAAATGAAGAATGACTTGACGATTTCTTGAACAAATGGTCGCACATTCAAATATTGTGATGTACGATCAGGATAAAAGAATGTTGTTGCCGTGAATTTAGAAAATAGCAAAATTTCAATTTACGCAATCGAGATATAACTTGATCGTTTGAGCGATAACCAGGGCACCCATAGTATTAATGAAAGTACTCATACTTACAATTATTTTCTCCCATAGGAATATTGTTCAATATACTTGACCTATAGAGGAAATCTCGAAATAAAATCGAATTTTTTCAAAAATTACAAAAATCAATTTTTTACAAAGATGTTCGAAAAATAACATTATATACGCATCAAATCAAAGCATTATATGGAGCATTATAATTCTATATATGATTGTCCATCTTGCTGTTGTGCTATTTTTTTTTAACAATAATTTCATTGTTGAAATTAAATTTGCAATTTCAGTAAAAATTGCGACCCATCATTTTGAATATAATTGAATTAATACATTTATTGTAAGAATATTATATACCAAATATTAGACTTCCACATGAATCCTGGTATGATATTATAAGTATTGCAAAATTAGAAAAAAATATGCTCATGATATACTAAAATTCATGTTTCAAGGTTAACTTATAAATAAAATAAGTTCGAGAAATGCATCACTAAATATTTGAGCTTGTGCACTATAATGCTATATAACAGTCTTCACTGTTTTTAATATATATTGACTTTGCTAGACTTGATTTTTTTCATCACCCTAATGAGTGCCCATCCTTAAAAAACCGCCGTTTGAGAGGAAAATTGAGAGCCCCGATGTATACTTTTTGACATTGTCAAAAACTTTGAAAGGACCAAAAAAATTTTAGTGTCAGAAAGTTTACAAATGTATACTTTCTGACAAACAGACTCTCAGAAAGTACTCAAACTGCGGTTTTTAATTTCCGCACTTTTTTGGCGACCTTAAACTATTGCAAATCACGAACACAAGCCGAAAGATTCCTTAGGGATGTCAATAGAGAATCTCCGACTTCAAATATTGGAGATACTGATTAATAACGTTACCTTTATTGATTGATACGAGGAAGAAGAGTTCGTCCAATAGGATTCGTACGAGGGAGCAATCAAAGCACAGAATATTTAATTTTGTGGCTTGATAGGTGGAGTAATTTGTGATCAATCCGCATTGAACGTCGAATTTACCCTGAAATATTTCATCGTTGAAATTGAGCTTCTACCTCTGAAGCTTCAGGATGACCTCATGATAGATAAGACGTGGATGATAGTTTCATGAATGAATGTGGTGGTCCAAAAATTCAACCCTTTCATACTATCATTTGAGAATGAGACGTTGCTCTAAAAGTGCATAATTTCGCAAAACAGCAACAACAATGAGAATCAAGGAAGTACCAACATCAAAAGTTTTTTATTATTACCCAGATTTTCCTTACTTTTACCACCCCTCTAAAGCTGGGGACACCGCCTATCGTTGGGAGTAGCTATTAAATAGAACCACCAAGGGTATTTTTCGAACTGCCGGTGTAGTGTAGTGCAAACATCCGACATAATGATTCATTATGCCAAGGTTTGATTTCCATTTAGCCAATTTTTTTCTTTTTTGGATCATGAATTTTTTTTGGGTCACTATAAGATTTGTTTCATGTTCTAAATCTGCTGCATATGTAATCTATTTTTATTTACCTATTTTTTAAAAATCTATTGGATTGCCAAATTTGAATATATTTAAAATCATAAAAATCTAAAAAAAACTATAAATATATGTTTTATGCATAGTGCCGATACTCAAATATCAGATTACTTAGATCCATGAATAATATCCGAATTTTTTTTCTTAAAATTAAACTTCAAAACTTCTTGCAATCTTATTCTTAATCAATTGTAAATTTTTAAAACCATTTTTTAAAATAATTTTGCGTAAATTTTATTCTCATGTTGTTTTAATCGAAAATTGATACATTTTCAAAAAAATAATATTGACTTATGAAATTCATTTTTAAGGTGAAATAGTATTGTTTTTATTAAAGTATATGAATAATATATAAAAAATTAATGAATAATATAAGCAGATTTTTAGTTTACAAAACAAATATGAGCAATGCAATTTCAAACTTTTGCTGGCAATTTCGATATTGCTCAAGTTTGTAGTATTTGTGATACCTATAACATCGGCTTAATCAAAATTCGATTTTTCTTATGAGTTATTGAGAAAATTTGATTGCAATGAGAAGGATTTCGACGTTTTTGATAAACTAAGAGCTGAGCTTTAGGGGTTCAGTTCATTTATGGCTGTAGTTTGATGCGTAGATCTCTTTTTTATTGTAAATTCTTTCAGCATGGAGATCGAGAATGAATCTTTTGAGAACTTTATGAGTTTTTACACCCGTAAAGAGGTCCTTCGAGGAAAGATAGTCCAGATTACATGAAGATGTGGGTTAACCAAAAAAATCCGATGGTTTCCCCATATTCATGTAGATCTTCGAAAAAATGAGCACCAAAAAAGCCAAAAAAATAGGCTTTTTATTGGATTTGTACACTAGATCAATAACCTATTTAGGATCTGACACTCTTTTTAGCCAGAGATATGAGGTCCTTTCTAGGAAAACGATCTATTCATCCATAAAAAAAAATGAATTATCGTTTTCCCCAGAAATTACATGGGGAGTGGTAAAAGTAAGGAAAATCTGGGTAATTTATTTTATGTTATGTTATTTTATTTTTAAATTTTTAAAATACCTAATGAATCCTAGGGAAAGAGAACCACATGATAAAAATTTTATATTTAAGAAATGTTGGTAAATTTTTTCATAATTTTTTTTAATGGTTCATATAACGAAATTTCGCAACGAATTAAAGCGTATTGGCATTCTGACAGAGTGTGGACGATTTAATATCAATATTAATGGTCGAATAATCAAAACAAAGAAGTCTTCTGCAGTTTGTTTTTCAGATTTAATCCAAGAAAAATGCGTTCTTAATAAATCGATGTCATCATATCAAACAAATCTAGATCTTAAATGTGAAGATTCAATTGACATACTTTCAGAGTTTCTTGAAACAGGAAAATTTGACTTTGAAGAAGATGAATCACATTATCATGATATATTTGAAATTGGAAAACATTTTGGAAATCAATTATTCATACAATTATATGCAAAGCATGTTAAATTAGACAAATCTATTACAAAAGAAAACGTTTTTCAAAAGTATGAAATTTCAGTTTTTGAAAATGATATTATAATAGAAAACGAATGCATTAGATTCATTTCATCACATTTGTATTGTTTAGATGACAAAGATATCATTGAACACTTCGCAAAAAATGGCTATGAATTTTGTGAAAAAATCATTACCTCAGACGAATTAAAGATCGACAACGAAGATCATTTATCTCTTTTACTTTTATCAATTTGCAAACAGAATGATACATTGTTTGACTTATTTAGATACATCAAACTTACATTTTGTTCACGAGAAACATATGATATAATTTATAATTTTTGTATTGAACATTCATTCGAAAGAGTTCTTCTTTCTATATATAACGAAACATTAAAGAATTATCATTCAAATCTTCGAGAAAATATTGAAATCTCAAATGAACCTATTTCAACATTCGAAAGACCTATTATTAAAAATCAATTTACAATATCAAATAACTCTTTTGATGTTAATGGAACTAAGTTAGTAGGTTATAACGAAATTAAAATGGAATTTACAGCTTCATCTGTTGCAAATGGAAGTTTATCAGATATAAATTCTTATAGAAATGATGTTGATTTCTGTACTGATAATTTTCCAAATTCATGGATAAAAGCTGATCTAAAAGGATATAAATTAAAGCCAAAATCTTATGTTTTACAATCTACAATTATGTATGATAGTTGTTTATTGAGGAGATGGAAGTTAGAAGGAATCAAAGAAGATGGAACAACTGTTGTATTAGATAATGATAAATATTATAGATTTAAACAAAAAGAAATCAAAGAATTTCCACTTCAAACAAACGAATATTTTGTATCTTTCAAATTAACTCAAATAGGAAAGAATTCAAGCAATGATGATTATTTGCAAATTCTTATCTTTGATTTCAAAGGTGAGTTAATAAAAATATAAAAATAGACTTTATCACAGGATGAATAATGAATGTTCTTTCACTATTCATTCATACGAGTATATTTTTCTCATGACTAAATATACATAATTTAAAAATTGATATTCTCTCTTTTTATAAATCAATATCCATTGTAATAAACTCATTTACAATCATATAATTAATATATTTTTTAGTATTATATAAAATAAAGGATCCAAATATAAAATTATGTATCATTTATGATAAATACCGTCTTGGCTGCGAAAATTGAAGTTGCAAGACTACTCAATGAATTCTGAAGATCTATATTTGGCTTTTAGGCAGGAGCCTTTGCAATTTCAGTTTCAGCAGCTTCATAAACAAACGCTTTTGGAGCTGATGAAGCTTCACTCGAAGCATTAAGGTTAACAGAAGAAAGTTTGGGAGTCTTCTTAGCTTTTCTCAAATTCTTTGATAGATGTTTGAATCTCTGCAGATAATTTAGCTGTATGTGATGGATGTCAACGCTTAATAAAAAGATATAACTTATATACTGATATTGAAATTATCATTACACAATTGAGAAAAAAAAATACTCTCGATTTGAATTGTCACTTTTGTTACACAAAAAAAATTAATTTTCTAATGACTGAGAAACAATTTATTATTAACGACAAATACACTAAAGTTCTAAAAGATTTTCAGTCGCTAGATATATCAAAGGAGCCTATTGATCAATGTTTTGATGTTTTGCATGCTACAGCTGCTTTATCAGATTTTATTGACTCAACAAAAGTTCCAAACAAAAATTCTCAGAATCCTCCTGTTGGATATACCATATTTGATCTGTTTGAGTCATTTACTAACTTCTTTACTTTAGATATTTTCCTTCCTGACCAACAACAAGCGCTATTCATAGCTTTTCTGCCCCTATATCAGTCAGTTCTTTGCAGATATATCGATTCGAGTATTTATAATGCGAGTGAATACGATGCTTCTTGGAAATATTTCCAAAAAGAGTTTATTCAGTGCGCGCAATCGATAATGCCTTTCCAATTCAGGCCTACTATTTCAGAGCTTCTCACCCAATGCGAAGGGGTAAAGCCAATTTCAATGAAAATCGTCGAATACGTTCAAAATATGCATATCAAGTTAAGTGACTTTGTTCAACACGTTGATTACGATGCAAAATCCGAGCATTACTTGAAGGCGTACAAAGAAGTCGTCAAAACAAGACAAAATATTTTCTCCGTAATTAAATCAGACAAAGGAAAGGATTGGCAGCTTTGTATCCCTCCTCCCTTTGTTGCAGCATTTAAGATTGTCGAGGATGTCATACTGAATTCATATAAATTCACGAAATTGAAGGAAATTGTTCAAGCATTAAATTCTGTACCAAAATACATGCATTTCCCACAAGAGAAGCAATCTACAATACGTGATGTTTTAATTACATCATCTAAGATGCTTCTTATCATCCTCAGAAATCTTATTACGTTCCAAATTTCGGAATCTGAGTTTACAACCTTAGAAACGATCTTTAATTCCGTCAATCAGATTGAAATATCCCTGAAAATGCATAACGATATCGGAATTGGCGAAAAATGGGAAAAATTATTACATTCTCTCGATTTTTCGTTCTTTAACAACAACGTGACAAAAGAACAAGAAGCTCTTGCCAATATTAAGTCATTGGCATCATTATTCTGCATAAATTACCCAAGAATGGCTACAGATGTGGCCGAGATCGAATCTCTTTACAACAACATCTGTAGTTCGGCCAGGAACATCTATTCCTTAATGATATTGTATTTGTTACTCTCCAGCGCTGCTGTTTCCTCTACAAACAACGATTTTTCGGTCGCAATTTTACAATTTCGTAAATTAATCATTTTCAGGATTTACTACACGAACATCATCTCTATTACAGAAGGCTGCATCCCGTTGGCCATGAAATTCGCGTCTTTCGGCGGAAAAACAGAAATATCAAAATATGTTTCAGTTTTAACGTCAGCTTTCGAAGAAATACAGCAAGCAGGACTAATAGTTGATGGTGACTACCAATACGCGTACACCAGATACAAAGCTTACCTCAAATTTATAAATTATTTGGCCAAATCGAACGAACACGAGGAAGATATCAAAAACCTGCTGAGATTCCATCCGTCAGTTGAATACATAAGCAAATTCTACAAATTCGGCGACGAAATGACGAATCTTCTTAATGATATCAAATTAAGACAAGATAACGCTTCAATATTCACTCAGTTCAACAGATTGAAGTCGTTTAAGATCGGATCTCTTCAATGGATTGAATCCGCTTCACTTTTCTTCCAATTTTCGCTCGGAAGAATTTTGGATGCAAAAGAAATCGTAAAAAGCTATTCTTCGCTTTTCGAATATCTCAAAATCGTACATGAAATAACTACAATGTATTGGAGTGAAGATTTGTCGAAGAAAATGATGAGAATGTCATCAGATGGAGTTCCGAAGCAGAATATTATTGTAGATACTGCTATTAGTATTATTTCGGACTACGAGAAACTGGATAACAGTAAATTGGCCGTTTCTGCTTCTAAAATGAACTTATATCTGATGTATTCGGATTTATTCAACGAACAAGATGCAGCAAAGCTTATGTCTGATATCCAAGACTCAGTGGTTATCCAATCTGACTCTGAAATCATCATCAAAGCATTCCAAATGCTCGATAAGTTTGATTATCTCAGATTTGCTCATCCTGTTGAAGTAGATCCTCTTTATAACGATCTCATTGCACTTTATAATGCTATTCTCTTTGAAAAATTCCCAGAAACAGACGTAATCGAGTCTAGAACTACAAAATTAATTAACGCAATAAGGAATTTCGACCAAAAAGTGACAGAGGGAATTTCCTCGGAAAAAAGTGAACTTTTAGAGTATATTCAACAGTACATTTTATTGGCAAGACTGATGATTACTGTTAAGGAATGTGACCAAGCATCAATATTGAGGATGTGCTTCAATTTCTCCATTTTATCCACTTTAATTAAAGAATCTGAAAATTTAATTCAGTCAGGAATGATCATTGACGATAAGATTAGCCAGATCAAGGAGCTCCAAGATGAATCATCTAAGGCTTTAACGTTAAATGCCTTCCAATTCTTCTCTGAATACGAAAATTCCGGAAGATCTTCTGAATTAATAATGAAGTGGAAGTCTTTAGGACCATTTGTTAACTATACGAGACTCTATGGCTGTTTCCAGCAGAATAGAACCATTTTGAACACTGTTTCTGGTAATACAATGAAACAATTTTTCGAAATTGTGGAAGAACTCTTCAAAGAGTTTGTAATTGTACCAGCAATGCTTACATTATTCAATATTAAGAATACCTTCCACCAACTACTTCTGAATTGTCAAACAATTTCTCTTGAAAATCTCGAAATTGTTATTTTCAAGAGAAAATTGCTGAAATTCTTTGAAAAAGTGAAAAGTGTCCTGTTTATGATGGATATTTGTGAATTGCCTGTGATTCCTTCAAGCGATAAAAGTTTCATCAAATTAATAACAGATTTACAATGCGCCGGCATCAGAGGAGAGGCCTACGACCAGGGCATGAGTAATTTGACACAATCCCATACGATTTACCTCTTAAGTTTGGCAGAAAACTTAAATCCTCTGGATATCTCAAAAGCTCATTACGAAAAAAGCCTTGTAGTAAGCGAAAACGCCAAGTTAGACATCGAACTAACTAAAGAGAAGATCGCGAAGTACCCAGAATTGAGTAAAATGAAGATAAAAGAAGGTCAAGACGAATTAGATCGATTTAACAAGCATATGAAGGAAATCAAAGAGAAGGAAAGCCACGCCAGGCAATTAGTAGAAGAACTGAAGATGAGAACAGACGAATTAAAGCAGGAAAAGGAGAAATATAAACTAAATGAAGGCGAAAATAATGATCTAAGCGTACCGCATTTCGATAATGAGATGTCTTCCGTCATCTCTTTATTGCTAAGAGATGAAGAATTCGCTCAGCCGAGAACTCAAGCTGATTTCATCGCAGAACAGTTACAAGAAGCCTTAAGGACAAATCTAAGGCTCAAGAAGTCTATAGCTGTTCACTCGTTCCCACATGAAAAGGCTGTTTTCACACCAACAGAGTTCGCCGCTGTAATCGAAAAATTTTCAGGTCCAACCGCCAAAGTGTCACCTTTTACAACTCAACGAGCTAACGAAAGTGCCGCATTAAGACAGCAATTGAGGGACTTGCATACTGAGAGAGGCCAAGCGTTTAGAGCCATAATTAAGGAGACACAAAAAGCCGGTTTCGCTCCGAAAAGAAAATTCAATTCTGAAACTTATTACGACAAGATGAAAGGTCTGAATACACGTGGTATCTTTGATGGAAGCTCCAGAAAGAACCAGAAGGAACAATTCCTCGAATTTACTGAAATTTCGGATCAATTTTTACTCGAAGTTTCTGCTGAGATCGAAGACCTCGAACAAGAGATCAGAGACCTAGAAGCAGGAAAAGCTCCGGAAACTCTTGACATGGATGCAAAAACTCAAGTATTGAGAACTAAATTAAGTTCTCAATTGAGTTCTTCAATGCAAGAAACTAACGAATAAGAACTTTTGATCTCTTGTTTGATCTAATTTTTTATTATTTTATTATTTATTTTTTTTATCTTTTTGTTAATTGTAATAATCTTGATAAATTTATTTTTATAAAACATTTTCATATATGTTTTTCATATACACAACTTAAAACTTCATCAATAAAATTGTCAAATATAATTTTCAAACAACAATCATATGATTTCAAAAAGCATACCAACAGATTTGATCTTTTTAGTGAAAATTCTGATTTGGTTTTCTTTGAAAAATCATTTTTTATGATGTCTGATTCATCTAATATTATACCAAATTTAGTATCTTTTTGCGCATTTGATGGAATCCCTCCACAAAAAGAAGGTGAAGATCCTATAGTATTTTGGTACTATCCAAAAGAAACTCCAATCAATGATCAATTAAATATGGTAGGTCTTTATTTAACATTTCTTGGATATACACGTGATTTCAGATCATCTAAGGATTGTGAATACTTTATAACAGATAAAACTGTCTGTTGCTTTGCTCATTTGGGCGCTCAGTTATGGATTGCGGCTACATTCTCAGTTACAGATAAAATGACACCACAAATTTACGTTCAACAGCTTAATATCTTCAAATCAATATTCGGAATTATCTTTCCTCCACCTTCACGCGATCCAGAAACAAATCTTTTAGAAAAGAATAGTGATTTCGCAGATACATTCATGGATTTACTCCATATCTTCGCACAAAGACCTACATTAAAACGTCTCAAGCCTTCTCTTGAACTCTGGAACGCTTGTGAAGAAGCATTAGCCATTTCAAAGTACTCCATGCCAAATATTAGAAGTGCATCATTTATCTACAAGGATAGACTTGTACATACAAGCATGCATCCAAACGATGCTCTTGCTTTTTATGTTGCATTTCGTTCAAATGTACAAAGACTATTCTGTTTCAAGCCAGAATTCGAACAAGATACATTCCAATGGCTTACAGGTCTCGTAAAGATGCAAAGCCAGACTCATTTCTTCATGCCTCCTGTTACAATCTACGAAGGTCTCGTTCTTCCAGCTATTGTTAGATATAACGAGCTTGTCGTGTTTATAGCTCTTCTTATGCCAAAGGAAATGACAAAAGAATCACTAAAACCGCTTGAAGATTCATTAAAAGAATTATTGCCAAATATTTGCAAGTTATGCAAGAAGACAATTGATACAGAACAAAGAGATAACGTTATTGCATACAGAAACGACGGAACAGTTGAAATTACTTCACCTATGACACCAACTTCGGGAATTATCGCTGACGATAAGGCCACCGACCATTTGGTCGAACTTATCGGCAAGAACGAATCTGATTTTTCAAGATTCGTTGCTCATATTGAAAATGATCGTTGGCTCTTCATGGAAAAGGATGGACCATCAACAACAATCATTGATGAAAAGCAGCCAACACTTCCTGATGCTGTTTCTAATGCAATTACTTATATTAGATTAAATAATTTGAGCTGATTGTCTATTCTTTAGTAAAATATAATTCTATGTTTGTTATATAATAAACTATTTTACTTTATTCTATTAAATAACCTAAATTGAATCTTTATTAAAAAATTATCATCTCATTTCGCTTTCTTTTTAAAAGTTTTGAAAATTTAATAAGTTGGAGTGCTTAATTAAGACGTTTCTATTTGATTTAATTTATCCACGAATTCAATAACGTATTTTTCAAGATAAATGAGGAAAGGAATTCCTCCACAGGCAAAGAAGGGAAAGGCAGATAATACAGCAGTTGAAGAAGAGCATCTTCCAGAAACAGGAAATAATATATTTAATCTAGCAAATGGCGCTAAATACGAAGGAGATTGGAAAAGATTCGAAGGCGTATTAAAACGTCACGGAAAAGGCGTTTTCACTTGCGAAGAATTTACATATGAAGGTGATTTCGAGGAAGACGTTTTCCACGGAAAAGGTTTAATCAAATTTAAAGATGGCTCTAACTATATTGGCGATTTCCGTCATGGTGCCATCACTGGTAAAGGAAAGTATCAATTTGTTGATGGTTCTACATACGAAGGAGAGTTCCGTGATGGAAAGATGCACGGAATAGCCTTATTCTCTACAGTATATGGTGACCATTGGAGAGGAGCATGGAATAATGGCCTTTCAGCATGCCCAATATATCCACAGGCACCTCCAGAGCCTGTTTACGAAGAAGAGGAAGAAGAAGAATTCTTCGAAGAGGAAGAAATGATGCAGGATCAAGGCGAAATGGAAGGTGAAATGGAAGATGGCGGCCAGTATTAAGCTTTACATTTTTGTTTGTTTATTAACTAATTATATTTTTCCTTCATCTTTCTCTGTTGATGTTCTATCAATAAATTACTTGTTTTGACAAAATTTGTTATATAATGGTATAAAAAACGAAATACTTTGACAAATAATAATATTATTAGATTTAACAAAGAAATTCAATAGTTCCAAATGAATATCTTATATCACATACAAGAATCCTTTCTTTCAGCGAGTTAACCATCCTAATTGTTGAAAATCGTATCAAACTATATATTCTTAAGGTTTTCATTGATATATGAACAAATTAAATATAGGACTCATTGATATATGAACAAATTTGGGAAAAAAGCCCTTGTTCTGTATATCTTTCCTGATATTTCGTCTTATCAGTTCAATCTTTTAAATTAATAAACAAACCCTTAGATATTTTTCAAATTGAGTCCCAATATGATAGATACACGTCGGGTTCAATCTTCCGGTTAATTTCTCTTATTTTCTGATACACATTTATTTTGTTGCATTAATATACTAGTATTCGGCCGTACTATATGAGCATTGAGCAATCATTGAGCTAGAGCGTTAATTTAAAGATATTATATCACTCTTATTAAAAAGTTTAACATTTCAATGATCCAACGCGTAACCTTTGCATAGAACTAGTTCCATATAACCAGAATCACAGATAGTAGGTTAAACGAATAATTCACAGCAGAGTGACCCACTTTGTAAACTGAACAAAAAAAATTTCAATGGAATCGATCTCAGCTGATACTATTATTGCCAAGATCGAAAGGAATGAAATTCCTTCAATAGAAGACATCAAATACATCAATGAGACAGCTACACAAATGTTCAGAACGATGCCAAACGTTATTCCTGTTCAAGCTCCAGTTGTCATCTGTGGAGATATCCATGGCCAGTTCGAAGATCTCATGGAATTGTTCAAGATCGGTGGCAAAATACCATTTACAAACTATCTTTTCATGGGTGACTACGTAGATCGTGGAGCCAAATCTGTCGAAACAGTTTCTTACCTTTTTTGCTTAATGATTAAGTATCCAAAGAACATCACCCTCTTAAGAGGCAACCACGAGAGCGCCGGTATCTCACAGGTTTTCGGCTTCCGTGATGAAGTTGTCAACAGATATGGCGATGATACAGTTTGGAAGATTTACACCGAAACATTCTGCAATATTCCAATTGCAGCCCTTATCAATGATAAGATATTATGCGTCCATGGCGGTTTATCACCATCTCTTCGTACAATCAAAGATATTCAATCTCTTGACAGATTCACAGAGATTCCTCACAAAGGACCTCTTTGCGATCTTGTCTGGAGTGATCCTACACCACAACCAGGCTTCCGTCCATCAGAACGTGATGCAGGCTACCAATTTGGCCCAGATATTACAAAGCGCTGGAACGAAGAGAACGGATTAGAACTTACAGCAAGAGGACACCAGCTTGTCATCTCTGGTCTCGAATATAATCATAACAATCAAATTGTTACTGTTTTTAGCGCTCCAGACTACTGTGGCAGATGCGGAAACTTAGGTGGTATACTTGAGCTAGACGAGAACCTCAAGAAGAAAGATATTCGCTTCCCAACAGCTACATCTGTTGAAACTTCCCATGAAGATATTCCAAAGTACTACTCTTTCACTGATATCGATTATGATTGGTAATCATAACCATTTTTATAAATTTTGTGGATTAAAGAGCTCGGGTCTTTGCTTTTCAAAATTTTAATTCTTATTTTTTAATAATAAATCATTATTGTATTCGCGTGTTGAACATATAATAAGAATCTTGCTGCAAAATTGAATCTAATTCTTGAAATAAGGAGCATACTTTCATAATGAGAAATTGAATGAGTAATTTTTGCCAAAAATGGAAATATAGTATATGCATACGATTCAAATTAATCTTGATTTAGGTTCAATTCAATTTTGCACAAGATTTAGAAAAAAATAAAATTATACAATTGTTTATAATTATGTATTTACAAAATCTTTTTGTTTCTCAATATATTGAAGAAAATTCTTGTGGTTGAGAATCTCGTTCTAATGTGTGATAATTTCCGTGATCTGGACGAGTTCTTTGTACAACAACTGGATTTGCTTTCTTTGATTGAGACTGTTCCGTTTCAAGAGGAACGTCATTTTCAGGAATAGTCTGTTCCAATTCATGAGGTTCTTCTTGGATTGGAAGAGGCTGGTCAGTATTCGATCTGAAGATTGAAGTTATAGAATACAAAGCACTTAAGCATAACATTCCAGCAGATGGACGTGCATAGAAACCATCCATTGTAAATGAACGAAGTTTCTCGTTGTTTTTATTGTTTGGATCGATTGATAATATAGTACAAGTATTATAGAAATCATAATATAAGTTTGCTTCATTGAAAGTATAAAATATTTTATCATTGACACAAATTGATTCTTTTAGATGATTAAATAATACACCCAATTCACTAGGGATTGTAGTAATTGCATATGTGTAACTGACATAATCAACTCTTTGTGGATTTTTCTGAATGATCTTTATTTTGAATTTGTTTATACAATCTGGAATATTGTTTGTTGAGAAAATGTCAATCATTTGATTAAATGAATATACATTGTGAACTTTAAGATGAATGTAAACGTGTCCTACTATTATATAATCGTCTTTCGAGGTGAAAACGATTAAAACGACAGCATTAGTAGTTGAATGTAAAGACCGTGATATGAAAAAAGGAATAACTTTAAATATTTCGGAATTACCAGAATTAAATCTGTCGGATTTAAATTTTTTTTACGTAATTTGGTATTTCGTCTTTTATTGAATCTATAAGGTATTGTTTGATCTTTGTGTTTGTCAATAATCGACCATCTGTCCACAAACCTGAACGAAAAATATCTGATTTCATTAAAATTTTGTTAGTTTTTATAAGTACTCAATAAAAACGATAGGGAAAAAAAGAATCATTAGTGCTGTATTTTCAGATCTGTCGGGAAAAAAATCATCTTCTTTTAATCACATTGGAATATCTGCTTGAGCTTGTTAATTAACATTCTTTTTATTAATGGTGCTATTTTAAAGTATACATAAAAAAAAAAAAAAAAAAAAAAAAAAAAAAGGTAGCGGGGCTTCCAGGCACTTCGTGCCTTCTAGCCCTGAGGATGAATGAGTATAATGAAGTTTTTTTTTCTTGGGGTGACCTTCCAGGCACTTCGTGCCTTCTAGCCCACATAAATGAAGTTTTTATTCGGAGGTCTTCCAGGAGCTTTTCACAAATTATATATGTTTTCATGTTTTGTCAAGACTTCTTCGTAAATGTTTTGTCAAGACTTCTTCGTAAATGTTTTGTCAAGACTTCTTCGTAAATGTTTTGTCAAGACTTCTTCGTAATGAGTGTAAAGGACCCAAAAATAATGTTTAGGTGAAGAGGTGAGATTTCACCTGTTTTTTCACCTCTTTTTTCACCTCGTGAATTTGTCATGATTTCATCGTAAAGACTTTGTCATGATTTCATCGTAAAGACTTTGTCAAGACTTCATCGTAAAGACTTTGTCAAGACTTCATCGTAAAGACTTTGTCAAGACTTCATCGTAAATGTTTTGTCAAGACTTCTTCGTAAATGTTTTGTCAAGACTTCTTCGTAAATGTTTTGTCAAACATGAACGTAAATGTTTTGTCAAGACTTCTTCTTCGGTGAGTGTAAATGAACCAAAAATAATGTTTAGGTGAAGAGGTGAGATTTCACCTGTTTTTTCACCTAATTTTTCACCCGTTGAATTTTCATGAAATTTACACCAAAAATATACTACTAGGGTCATTTACGAAGAAATCTCAACAAAGTCTTTACGATGAAATCTTGACAAAACATAGACAAGAAAGTTCATGAGAAATTAGATGAAGAAGTCTTAACAAAGTCTTTACGAAGAAATTCATGAAAATTCAAGAGGTGAGAAATGAGGTGAAAAAAGAGGTGAAATCTCACCTCTTCACCTAAAATATATTTTTGGGTCATTTACACTCATTTACGAAGAAATCTCAACAAAGTCTTTACGAAGAAGTCACAATAAACATCTGTCAAAAACGCTTTTTAACTTCACTTAAAATGCCACGTAAGCTACGTAAGAATATACGTAAGAGGAAAGAGAGCATTGAAACATCCAATAGTAAAACTGACACCACAACAACAGTTGCAACAACAAATTATGAATGACCCCACTATGTTGCAACAAATGTCAAGCAACCCTATGCTTTTAAACCGAGTTGTTGGTGCACAGAGTGGAGGTTTAAGAGCGGCACTTTTAGCGAAAATGGCAGGCTATGGTGGAGCTGCAGACGGAACAGCATATAACCCTCAAAGTCAAATGAATTTGAGTTCACTCAAAAATCAAATATCAGATGTCAAAAAGTCAAACATAGACATACAGAAGCAAATAAGTGAAAACGAAAAGAAACTAGAATATGACAGACACACAAAGAAACTCAATGAGTTAAACGTAGAGAAAAAGAAGAAAGAAGAACAACTGAAAGAACTAAGTACAGAGGAATATGCGAAAAAAGTGTCAGAAAAAGCAGCAGAAGTAGCAAAAATGGAACAAGATGTCATAAATTTGAAAAACCATACTACTCAATATAAAGTACTGAAAGATGAAGAGATAAAACAAAAAGCCCTGAAGACATATATGGATAGCGATGAGTATAAAAAAAGTTGAAGCAAATGTAAAGGCAGAAAAACTTTTACAGTTGCAAAACCAAACCGTACAGTATGAAAACTTAGCACAAGAAAGTAAAAATAACGACGCAGCCATGCAAAAGGCAATGAAAAGCGCAGAATATATAAAAGCTAACAATGACTGGTTAGATGCCCAAGCCAACGCCAAAGCAGCCCAACTTATAGGGTCAATAAGGACAAAAATACAAGCGGATGAAGACAGTTCAAATGAAGCTTTAACAAATGCTGACTTTAAGAACGCTTTCGAAGCTCTTCATAGTAAGGTGAAACAAGTGAACGACTTCTCATCTGGAAAGAAACTGAAGTCTGAAGGTTTCGACAAAGAGTTAAAAGAAGTAGCACAAAATATGACGAAAATAACAGATGCAGCAACGAGACAGGCAGTTCAAAGTGCCTATGACGCCGTTAGAGCAACTGTTGTGAAAAGTCAAGAAAAAGAGTTACAACAGACCAAAACAGACCTAGTAAATGCTTTCTTAAAAACGAAAAGTCAGGTAGGACATTATGCTGCAGATGGAACATATGTGCCAGCTGGTGGAACTTATATACCACCAAACCCTCCAAGAGAAGCACCTGCACCAGGACTACCTAGAACATTTACATCGTCACATGGACACAGACACAGGCATGCACCAAAACCAACACAACACCAACAGTTCAAAACCCTGCACAACAACAACAACAACAACAACCAACACAACAACCAACAGTTCAAAATCCAGCACAACCAACAGTTCAAAACCCTGCACAACAACAACCACAAAACAGAGCAAGGACATAAAGAAGTAGAGAACAAGGAAACCAAGAATTCTTAAAAATGCTTAAAGAAGAGTGTGGTTTCCCAGATACTGTTGACTTTAGTGACAGATATAAAGAAGCTATTGGAAAGTTCAAGGATGGAAATACTGACCCGAACTTATTTAGCTTTATGGCTCAGCACCAAAACGGATATAATCTCAAACCTGGAAAATACAAGCTCGCTAAGGGATATGATTTAATAGCATATCATCCAAATGACATGGATGAATTTACTCCGAGATATTTGATGTCAGAGCTAAATGACAATTCAACTTTCGTCATGAAACGCGTAAAAAATAGAGACGGAACGAAAGAACAAAAGCTTATGAATGCGGATGACGTAGATAGGGAAATTGTTGAAAACGGTCTCGGAATATATGAAATGCCAGCAGATGAGGTACAAGAAACTCCACAGGAAAACTAGTTCAGATACAACCAGACATGGAAGAAATAGTTCAGCAACAACAGCTAGAAGAGCCTGAAGGAAACGAACAAGTCACTCCTTTGGAAACTAACTTCACAGAACTAGATGAAGATTTGGAACAGCCGAAAAATCTTGACCCTCAACAAGAGTATGCGGAGAATATGGAATATTTCCAAGAGTCTAAAAAAAATTCGGCTGACATAGTAGAAGAATATCGAAAAATGTTTGCCGACATACAAAAGACTCCAACACCAGATGAAAATATTCAGCATAGAATGGAAGCACTGAAAGAAAATGTACACAAATACAACAACCCTTTTTACTTACGAGCATTTAACGTTCAATCTTCGGATGAACTCGGTGAAAATAAAAGGTTAAATTTCAAGAAAACATATAGAAATGAAACATTGTTTAAAGTTCATTCAGAACCTAACCAATATGGAAACAAACCTACTTTTGTTTCTGCAGACGATGGAACTACAATGAGATGGGGTCATAAAGCTAACCCGGATAGGTGGTTCATAAACTTACAACCACAATTCCAAGAAGTTGTAGACGCAATGGAAGTCAATGGTGAACCAGATATAGCTGGTATTTTCAGCGCGGCTTTAATGCCATTGAAAGATATGAAACATGCAGATATTTTGGACCAGTATGAAATGAACATGGCTGATGGAAATATAACACCTGACGTTCTAAAACATTTATCTCAAAGAACTACACAGAACCATAGAGATGGTATATTTGGTGAAGAGTTTAGAAAGAAAGTTAGGGAGGGCGAAGGAAGAGAACCTATTGTACATGACCTTGCAAACGAAAGTTTACAAAATGTCATAAAAAACTTACTTTGCAGACAATGAATGAGAAGGGATGAATATTTAAGAAAACTCAAATGGACAGTACCAAATGAAATGTTAGTATTGAAAAACATGTTCCTTGACAAAATAAAACCAACTACAGAAATAAACGACGCAAGACTGAAAGATTGGGTAAAAGCTTTCCCATTCACAAAAGATATATTGGTAACATGGAAAGAAAACCAGAATGGCTACAAAACATATATTTGGAAACGAGCATATTCCATATGGACAGGCACTGTTTGAAGAGCTTGAACCGGAAACTCAGGAAAGAGTCATGCAAACAATACGCGAAGACTCAAATACAGACTATGACAAACTCTTTCTAGGATATAGGTTACCTGAGATGGGCGACCAGAGCAAAAGGCAAAAAGGACATGGGAAATTTGCAACATACTAGATGAACATAATGCAAAGATGCAACAACTTCAAGCAGAGGGCAATGAAGGAAAAAGAAGAGTTAAAAACTCAGTCAGGAAGAAAGTAAAGCTTGGTCACGTGGGTTCTATTATGACATATAAATCCAACTATTCTATATTTTACTCATATGAAATGTACGCCGCTCAGAATATAACGCCAACAGTTTTGGATGCTATGAATGGAAATGTTTCCGAATGGTATAACGAATGCGACAATGCCATTAGAAGGTCAGAAATAGTTCCTGGAACTTACGAATATACAACTGCTGTTTCTTATGGAAACGTAGGTGAGTTTGGAGAAGGTTCTTCAACAACAGTAGATATTGCTTGCGACAGGTTTCATATAATTTCTATTGACAACTCTTTCTTATACGTGGAACAAGACATTGAAATAAAACCTTCTGCCAAGTTGTCTGACAAGAAAGGTTGCAATGGAATTTTCTATGTCGGATACCAATATGCTCCAGAAGTTTTCATGGGATATAAGATATATTCTAACTCTGACTTAGTTCAAACAGTAACATGGGCAAACTATGAATGGTTCGCTTTGAGAAACTCAGTACAACCACAAGCTAGAGAACAAACAGACCAGTATGCCACCATTGAGAAAATAAGAAGACTTGACCCTAACGTTCCAGGAGTTTATGTTAACCTTTCTGGACAAACTGCAGCAGCAGTAACCAAAGTAAAACTGAAACTTAGAGTTCCTTTGTCATCTTTCCTCATCTTCAGGTTTTTTAAGATACTTGCCAAACTGGGCAGGAAAAATTTCTATCGAACTTACTCCAAGCAAAAATAACTTAGTCATTGCACCAACGCAAGACCCATTCACTCTTACAGACGTAGTGGGAACAAATAAAACGTCATTCGCCGACTTTTGCAAAAACAAAGTTGACTTAGACTTTGGTTTCTCAAACCTCAACACTGAAGTAAACTATTATTTCAATGCTGCTGGAGATGCTTGGGACCCAGTTAAGTTCACATGCGAAAATTTGAATGCAAGAGAATAGAAGCAGACTTGCAGTCTATATGTTGGACCCAGATATTTCAAATGCTTTAGCTGCCAAATATATTGCAGTTCCACTTATGTTCCCTATACACCAAATATCTGTCAAAGACTTTGCAGGTGAAGTTGGAAACCAAAGTGCTGACCCAGGTGCAAGAACAGATATTGCTTTAACAACTGCAATGAAACATGCAGATACTATGTTTGTACTGTTCAGACGAACTATAAATGACTATTCTTGCTTCTACAACCCTGGTATTAAATACCATATAAACATAGATGGCAAATACTATCCAAGAGAAGAATATTCTACAGTTGAGGATATGAGGTCATACAACTTGACATTAGATGCTATGAACTTTAACAACAACTTCACAACAACCATTAACCCTGAAATGCAAAGTTCTATTATGCCATATGTGAAAGTATGGACTCATACAGGAGGTCAAAAAACTCAATATACAAATGGAGACCGTTCAAACTTTTGGCTTGGCATTCCATTTGCTGACTCAGAAGACTTTATGGGTGGTATTTCAACTGTTGGTACTGTACAAATACAATATACTGGTGACAGAGACGGTCCAGATGAACTGAGAGCAAAGAAGTTTACAAACCAATAGCACTTTTCACGGAAGATGCTCTTTTGAAGATTCGTTCGATGAAACCTGCTGGGGCTCCTCAGATTGGCATAACGACAGCTTCCATCGAGCAGATTTTGGCAGCAGGTCAGTAAGTTGTTCTTGAACTGACTTCTCTCCGTCAAATATTGACAGTACGCCAGTTTTGACATAAAATTTGTAAGATAAACTTTCCTTTAGAAATATCGGTCAGTTTTGTTGTATATTTTTGTCTGCTTCAAGAACTTTCACCATCTCGGTTATACCAACTTTCTTTGCTTTATGAAAATATTTTGGTTCAGCAAAGACTGCTATTCTATAACATTTTCCATTGTTTGTGTAAAGAACTACTCTGTCAATGAACTTGTATTGTTTGTGTGTGTAAACTTTGTTTTGCTTCAATTCGAAGAGATACTCAAATACGTCCATCTTTTTATTCTAAGTAAAATGTCATTTCCGAAAAATAGAAGCGTGAGTGTTTCAAAAGGTTTAATGGCGGTGGCAGATGTGAAGTTAAATTCACCAACTCAAACAAACAGTCAAAGTGTTGTTGTCAATGTCAAAGAAAGAGATGTTGAAGTGGGGAAACCATACGAAGATGAAGATGGTATAACAATTGTTCCTGTAAAAGAACCAACATACCCTGAAGTTAGCAGAGACTTAAGTTCTGTTGCAGATATTCGAAATGACTACAAGCAACTTAAAGACAAACTTAAAACTCAGGAGAAGATTTGTCAAGCTTTAGGTATAATGTTAAACTTGGTCGAACACAACCCTGTAAAAGTGAACTCATATGTCATTGCACCTCGTGAAGTTTTGAAAGAACTATTGAAACTTTTGACAGAGGCAGACGATATAAACATCAAAGAAATAGAACCCGACATTGCTTGCTGTGGTGTTTCATATAATGTCATTGACAAGATATACGTTATGAAAGGAGGTGAAACGTTGAACTTAAAATATAGTTTCCCAGACGTCATAAAAATATTTGACGACCACAACATTTCATTAAAATTTATTTGCTAAGTAAATGGCAGAAGATATATGGTTTATACTATTACGACTAAAAACCCTGAGTCATATAATTCTATAACAACAAACTTACAAAGTCCTCAAGGACGATATTGTAAACTAACCTTAAACACAATGACGACTAAAGCTTGTTTTGCTCTTTTGACACCAGAAGATTTTATTGTTGTGAATGGTAAAAAATACTCCTTTGAAGATACTTACTCAGATATACCACCAACAGGTTTTGTTGACTTATTTAATACTTTAAGGACGGATGTAACATGTGCTGCAACTAGAGCAGGTTTCATTATGTTTGGATGTCCGACTGAGTTTACTATAAACGATATGAGCTATAATACAAAACTTATTTCTGGTTTTTACTACCAACAGTTTCCTATAACAGGAAAAGGTGTCATACAAGGAATGTCTATTCCATTGACATTAAGCACACCAATCTTATATATTGTTTCAAACTTAGGTTCAAAGTGTTATTCGAATGTCGACAGAAACTATTATGACCAAAAGATACTTATGCGTATAAACAATACTTTCTCTGCTGGTTTGCCTATTGTTCATTCGAATGCAGAATTTTCAACCTTAGTGAACTCAAACACTTTGGCAAGTATAACTTGACATTAGTTGACGCAAACTTTGTTCCTGTAAAACTTTTATGTCCTATGTATTTGTCAATGACGGCAGAAAGTTTCGAATTGGAAGATGCAACTGGTGAAAGTATTGTATTACAAGAACAACTTCAACAACAAATAGCTCAAGAACAACAAATGCAACAAATGCAACAACAAAGTCAAGAATAAAAAAAAATAATTTTTTTATTTTTATAAAAATGTACAGAATAGATGTTTCAGATTTTTATGACTTCCAAGCATTCAGAAATATGTGTCCATTTCGAGACTATAACAAAGCAGTCGAGAATTTGAAACGTTTAGTCATTTATGTTGACTCTGCCCCAGAATGTTATGTTATGAAAGAATGGGATGTTGTCTTTAACAAACCAAGAGCAACAATAGTTTCAGAACAAGAATGTAGACAGAAACTTAAGAAAATAAAAGTCGTACAAGTTGGCATGAAGATGTTAGATGCTTGGGATATCTTATTGTCAAAACTTGAAGATTTTTCAGTTCGTGGTATAAAGTTTTATACACCTTCTCCAAACTTCTATTCTATCTTCACTGGATATAAATATGAACAAGTAGAATGGAAAGAAAATATTATAGAAGCTTGGTTAGACCATGTCAAAGAAATTATATGCAATGGAAACGAAAAGGTTTATGAGTATATCTTATGTTGGTTTGCAAACATCTTACAACATCCAAGTGCTAAAAATGAAACTGCTCTCATTATAATTGGAAAACAAGGAACAGGTAAGAACACATTCTTTACAGATATTTTGTGCAAACTGTTAGAAGGTTATTCGAACCCTAATATGACAAACTTAGAAAACATCTGTGGCAAGTTTAACTCCTCAATAGAGAATATGAAACTTATAGTTTGCAATGAACTTCAAAGTATAGATACAACAAAAGTTTTAAACTCAGATGCTTTGAAGAGTCTTATAACAGACAAAGTTGGAGTTGTTGAAAGAAAGTATAAAGACCAAAGAGTTTGTGAGAATGTTGCAAACTTCATTATGGTTTCAAACAATGCTGTTCCGATGAAGTTAGAAAGTTCTGACAGAAGATATGTAGTTGTCAGAACGTCAGATTCTCATATGCAAGATACAGAATATTTTGACGACTTAGCAGAAACTTTGACATCTGACTTTTACAACCACTTGTTCTCATATTTCATGACATTAGATATTTCTAAGTTCAATCCAAGACAAATTCCACATACCGAAGAAAGACAAACATTGTTAGAAGCAAACAAGAGTGTATATGAACTGTTCATAGATGAAACTGACTTTGAGTGTTTAGATGAAAGGTCATTGTACGATTCGTATAAACAATATTGTCAAGAATATGGTTATATGGCAGCGTCTAAACGAACATTCTTGGCAAATGTCAAAAGTCTTTTAGATGTTCAGAACGGCGTATATACAAAGAAAAATTTTTCTGAGTAAATTTTAAAAAAAATATTTTTTTTTTATCCGATAGAAAAGATGACGAAATTCATCTCAGTAAATAAGTACATGACAGAAGTCAAAGATAAGTTAGCTCCATTCGCATATTTGAATGTTTACTTCTACCATTTTGAAAAGTCTTCATTCAGCAAAGTTTGGAACATCGAACCAGTTAAGTTTGCTATTGTGACTAAAAATGGTGCGAAATTTGAAGACTTAGACATAGAAGGTTTGTTAGCAGTCAAAGAAAATTTTGACAGAAAGTTCTCAAACCTTAAAGAAGGCAAAGCATACAAACTTGTTATACCTTATGAACCAAAGAAAGCAGACGACTATGAATATTATGAGTCTAAGATAGTTGAAGTTCAAGGTAAATTGGGTAAAAAGATTTTAGAGTCTAAGCCAGTGTTTGCTCCTAAAGAGGAAGAGAACATTGACATTGACCCAGAAATGTTCTAAAAATAAAATTTTATTTTTACATGTCATATCTCACCTTCTCTGGAACTGGTTCAGGTTCTTTCTTCTCTTCTACTTTCTTTTCTTCTACTTTTTTTCTTTCTTTTCTCTCTTCTTCTTCTTCTCTGGTGGAGTTATGTCAAATTTGGCGCAACCATATTTATGTAAAAGTTCTTTGTCCTTTAATAGCTCATCTATTCTGTTTTCTATTTCATCTTCAAGAACGGCGCATGTGTCTTCTTTGCATTCTAAGAACTTTTGTTGGACTTCATCTTCCAATCGGTGTCATCTCTGTCAACAAGTCTGTCATTGACAAATTTTTAAGACTGCTCTGCTTAATGTTTTATGGTTCTTGTCATATTCCCAGAAACAGAACTTTAGAACAAATTCACCTTTCTTGTTTACACTATGTAAGATTTTATGGTCGACAGATGTTTTGCTGTCGAAAAGCTTGTCTCGAATATAGATTAGCGAAATCGCTAGACATTTTCAAAAAGATAAAAATTTTAATTTTTCTAAAAATATGTTAGAAAAAAGTTTGCTGACATTGACAAAAATTTGAGAATGTTTTAAACAAACAAGAGGAAGTTTAGAAAATGCTCAGATAAGCCTATACATGACAAGTTTCTTATTTGCTCAGAATGGTATAACAGGTCTAATTGCACCACCTGGGTCGGGTAAGACTTTCACTTATCTTAAAATGGCTGCACAACAACAAGAACTAGATGAGAAGAACCCATTCTATGAGTTAGTTGTTATTGTAGTACTTCTGGTCAATTTGACCAAACCGTAAATTCGTTCAAAGATATTATAAAGAAGTCTAAGTTAGTATCTATAAAAGACTCTGAGTTGTTAGATTGGATAAAGAAGTACCAAAGAAGAGTTTTGAAGTACAATGCTATAAATGAGTATATAAATTCTAAGTTTAAAGACCCAAATGAGGAAATGCAAAGAATATTAGAGAAGAAACACTTCAGAAACAAACAGAAAGAGATAGAATACATTTCGAAGAAATTGCAATCTTACGATTGGAAGACTTACCCTCATAGGTGTCTTCTTATCTTAGATGACTTTGCTTCTCATCCTTTGCTTAAGAATAGAGAACAAGATATGTGTCGAATTCTTAAGAAGCTCAGACACTTTAACATCTCAGTCGTAATATGTGTACAGACAGCAAAGAGTTTAAGTAAGGATGTTAAAAGAATACTTACTGATATCATACTTTTCCCCGGATTGTCCGAAGACGATTTCATGGAACTTATGAAAGAGTCCATGGCAGGTAAGTTTGACAGATATGAACTATGGGAGAAGTACAAAGTCATACAAGACCCTCATACTTCTTTCAGAATTCACATCTACGCGAACAAAGTTCAAATTGTAAAAAGTCAAGCGTAAAAAATAAAGAGTTTAGTCTTAGTCTGTTGTGGTGCTGGGGCTGTCGGTTCTTCTGGCTTTGGAAGACATTCAGGAAGAGGTACGTCAGTCATCCGTTTGTGTCCTGTCGGAAGGAAGGACTCGGAATGTCGGAAGGAAGGACTCGGAATGTCGGAAGGAAGGACTCGGAATGTCGGAAGGAAAAACTTTTCCAGTTGTCGGGAAATTTTTTTCCTGTCTGAAGGAAAAACTTTTTCTGAAGTTCGACCAAAAAGTTCTCAATTTTCGAAAATTTGAATGGTTTACGGACGAACAACAGGAAATTTTTTTCCAGTTGTCGGGAAATTTTTTTCCAGTTGTCGGGAAATTTTTTTCTTGTCGGAAGGAAGGACTCGGAATGCCAGAAGGAAGGACTCGGAATGCCAGAAGGATTTGACAAGCCAATTTACCATCTAGAGCTACCTGAGCCATCTGAAGTCAAGACCAAAAATAAATGGCTCATCTACTCTGCTTGTTTGAAGTTGTCAAAATACTCTGTTATTTTTTCCTTTAACAATGGCAAGTCTTCTTTGAAGGTAAGTATTGTACAACCTTTAATATCATAGTGTGTTTGAGGTAACGTATCTTGAACTATTTGTTTCACATCTTCATTCGGTGTCATTGAAATCGGTAAGTTTTCGCGATAGAACCAATTTCTGTCAGATTTGTAAATCTTAGCAAGGTCGTAAAAGCTTTTGTTGTTTCTTCTGACTAAATGCAACATAACCATATCTCTGTCTTCTTCATTTTCCATCTCTTCAGTATAAATCATATACTTATAGTTCTTTTCCTTTCCTTTTGGTACCGAACGTGGTATTCTTTTCTGTATGTTTTTGTCTTTTGCTTCAAGCTTGTTCTCTAGCTCTTCACGTTCTTGTCTATGAATTTCGTCAAGAAGTTTACAAACATACCAAGCATAACGAGGTGAAGCCCACATTGCAACAGCATTTACAAGAAGTCTATGTACATACCAACCTCTCAAACCATTTGGCAAATTTTCACGATTTTCATGAGTTTTAGGCGAGTAAGATTTTTTACTTACTCGCTGTTCTTCACGATTTTCAGAAAAAAGTATGTCTCGCTGTGCTTCGCTCAAAAATTCTTGTGTGCTTTGGTTCCTAAACCAGTCTTGTGGTTTCTTAGTATCTGGAGCAAAACATGCTGTCAAAATACTTTTGCATGGTACATATCGTCTTTGACCGAACGAATGAGACGTAACTGTTTGTTAAACTGAACCCACTCGTATTCTTCATTTATAGCTTCATGGACTATAACTGTTGTTGTGTTCTCTGATGTTGACATATCTGTCCTTATATTCCGGATAAAAAAAATATTTTATAAAAAATTAGCGTTATTTTCTGACTTTCACAAAAGACCAAAAATAAACGCTTTACATGTATTTTTCAGCAACTTCGTCAAATAATTTTATAGCTTTACCTATCTCATCTACTTCAAACGTTTCTTTACCTTTCGTGGGAGCACCATACATTTTCTCAAACTTTTCAAGTAGTTTGTTTCAGCAGCTCTCATATCGTTAACAAACACAACCTTGACTCTATTGACTATACTGTCATATCTTTGAGTTATATTATATGTTCTTCCTATCTTATATCTTTTTGTATTGAAGTCCTTCGGTTTCTGAACGATGTAAAGTAAGCCTTCACTGCAACGTTCCGTATCGAATGAACCATAAGTTATGAAGTTATATCCAACAACTGGGTCTAACCATAAAAAACTATTGTATAAGACTTTTGTCTATAAGATATGTTTTGTTCCATAGAATCTTACCGATATCATAAGCTCAGGATTTTTTGTCAAATTTTCTGAGTAGAAGCATTTCTAACCCAGTCGTGGGATGTTTTCTTTTCAGATAGTGTTAAAATGTCTGACAAAGAATATTTGTTGTATTTCTTTGAGTATCTTACGTTTAAATCACCAATTCTAACCACTTTGGTCTCATTGTCTATCTTTTTAACTGTTTCAAACTCAGTGTTTGTCATTTCCTGTTCTTACATACAAAATAAAAAAAATATTTTAAAAAAACTAGCGTTATTTTTTCTGTCTTAAGGAAATTCATGAATTTCATACGGAATCCCTTCTCTCGGTTTTCCGAGGGAAGCAAGCATATGCCATTTTACTCAGATTTTTGTTGCTGAATTCAATAAAAATATATTTTAGGTGAAGAGGTGAGATTTCACCTGTTTTTTCACCTAATTTTTCACCTCATGAATTTTCATGATTTCATCGTACATGTTTTGTCAAGACTTCTTCGTACATGAATTTTCATGATTTCATCGTAAATGTTTTGTCAAGACTTCTTCGTAATGAGCGTAAATGACCCAAAAATATATTTTAGGTGAAGAGGTGACATCTCACCCGTTTTCTCACCTCTTTTCTCACCTCAGTTATTTTATAAGCGTTTTACATGAATTGTACGATGTATATTTGAAATTCTAAACAATTTCGTAGCTTCTATTTCTTCTTTTAGTATGTCAAATGTTTTAACGATACCGAAAGTTTCTTTATACTTCTTCTTGACATCAGATAGAAGGAAATCGTCTGCTGTTGGATAGTTTTTGTTCAGAAATGCTAACATATCCATTTTATTTTCTGCTGGCTTTTCTGCTTCTTTCTTTAAATCTGCATAGTCGTTTCTCATTCTTTCTATCTCTTTGACGGAGTAGTTATATTTCTTCATTGCTGCTTTACATTTTGAACATTGCGGGTTCATTTTTGCATTGTACATTGAAATAAAACCTGCAAGTATGACTAAGGCGTCAATGGTTTTCTTTAACTCAAAAGTTGCTGGTTTTATCTGTTCGTTCCATACTTTACCTCTTTTATCTTTATCTCTTATCTGCCATACACATTTTGCAACTAACGAAACAAAGTTGTCGTAGGTCTTAAACTCCTCCGATTTATATATGTCAGAGATGTTCTTATATACCATATCGCAGTCTTTGTCCATGACTTTGTGGTTGCAATGAAAACCAAGGAATTCATAATTTACCTTACGTATGAACTTCTTTATTTCTACCGAGTCAGTTGGTTTCACTTCTATTTCATCGAATTCAGGAATAGTAAGCTTTTGTTGTTGTATTTCAGGAAGTTTAGGTAAATGGTCAATAATATCCTGCATTTCATAAAGATATTCTTCATTTGTTTCATCTTTCGCACTACAGTCTAAATCTCCTTGGAGAAGTTCTTGCTTTATCTTCTGGATTTCTGTTTCGAAAGTATATGAAGAAGGAATGAAGCTTTTCATCTCTACTAACATTGACGTAGGATTCATGACTAACGAGTTTGGTGCTGTTGTTGCTAACATGTTCTTACAATAAAAATAAAAAAAAATATTTTATAAAAAACTAAAATATATTTTTTATCTTAAGGAAATTCATGAAAATCCAACGGGTGAGAAAACAGGTGAGAAAACGGGTGACATCTCACCTCTTCACCTAAAATATATTTTTGTCGAAAAAAATGGTTCATTTACTCACAATATTTTTGTACAAAACGACCCCAAACTTTTAACTTCTTTTCTGCAGCTTCAAATGCTATCTTAGCGAGTTCATATTCTCTAAATTCTCTCTTTAAATCTTCTTGTTCCCATTGGTCTAGTTCGTATGGAGAGTCTCTATAACCAGAACATATCTCACGTTCATGTTCTATTTGTTTTTCATGCATTTTTCTAACTTCTTCTTCGAACAAAGGTTTTGCATTCTCTGCTGTATCTTCAAGTTCTTCTTCATCTAATTTCTCATGAACTTTCTTGTCTATGGAGTCCAGAATTTTTCCAACTGCTATACAATATTTTGGAGAAGCCCACATTGCTATATAGTTTACAAGTCTTGGGTCTACATACGTTCCTCTAACCTGTTTGATTTCATCAGGAATTCCTGCATGAACTTTGTATAAAAAGCAACCCGCTGTTTTCCGCGGGTTGGTATATTCTTCACAAAATGCCTCAAAATACTCTTCCCAGGACTTATTTTCCAACAACCTTCTAAAGTCTTTCCTAAACTGCTGACACATATTTGTTGCGTTAATATAACCATCCTTGTCTCTACGTAAGACTTCAATACCGTTGTAAGTGCCTTTTGTGAATGTTTCGCCATTAGATTTGTTCGTGAACGTTTTTGCTTCGACTGTCATACTGTTCTTACAATAAAATAAAAAAATTATTTTTGGTGGGACGTCGGACATTCGTTTGTGGCTTAACCGTCGGACCACAACGATAAAAATCTCGACAAAACATATACGATGAAGAAGTCTTGACAAAACATTTACGATGAAGTCTTAACAAAAAATATACGATGAATCTATTTCCTGTGTTGTTGTCAAAATGTCATGTTGTCACACTTTTTCAGAGAAGTTAAAATGACCGAGTGACCGAGTGACCGAGTGACCGAGTGACCTGGTCGCCTAAAATATATTTTTTTCTATCTTAAGGAAATTCATGACAAATTCAACGGGTGAACTTTGTATAAAAAGCAACCCGCTGTTTTCCGCGGGTTGGTATATTCTTCACAAAATGCTTGTTTTGAGGTCGAGCCACTTTTGGCTCCACCTCTTTTTTCAACCAAAAACTCATTTTTGTCGAATTCAGCACAAAATTCATGAAAATTCAACGGGTGAGAAAACAGGTGAGAAAAGAGGTGAGAAAACGGGTGAGATGTCACCTCTTCACCTAAACATTATTTTTGGTCATTTACACTCATTTACGAAGAAGTCATGACAAAGCATTTACGATGAAATCTTGACAAAGCATTTACGATGAAGAAGTTTCGACAAAACATTTACGATGAAATCATGAAAATTCATGAGGTGAGAAAACATTTACGAAGAAGTCTTGACAAAACATATACGATGAAGTCTTGACAAAACATTTACGTTCATGTTTGACAAAACATTTACGAAGAAATTCATGAAAATTCATGAGGTGAGAAAACAGGTGAGAAAACGGGTGAGATGTCACCACTTCACCTAAAATATATTTTTACTGAATTTAGCAACAAAATGAACGAGGTCAGGATGTATGTTGCTGAATTCATTCATAACACCCTTTGTAAGCTCATAAAATGCTTGTTTTGAGGTCGAGCTACTTTTGTTCTTTGTTTTTCAACCTGAAGCATTTAATATATGTAAAAATATACTGTTTTAAAATGGTATGCCATATAGCTTCTTGAATTTGTTAAGAAATATTCGAACGTGTTTTCCATCTGTATCTCTAGCGTTTACATAAGCATAGTCTTCCTTAGTAAAACATACTTGTAATTTCCTATAGTTTACGCCGGTATAAAAGTAGAAAGAGTCTTGTTCTTCGCTATAGTAGTAAAATTCAAACGTATGCTTGCCATAGTCTGTAATTTCAATTGTTTCATCTTCTAGTTCGTCGACAAATTCGAATACAATATCTCCAAATTTGCCTTTGTTCTTATTGTTTTCAGAACAAGTGACCCAACGCAAGTTTTCAAGTCTATTGTCGTTTCTTATACGGTTTATATGGTCTACAAAAGGTAAATTGTTAGGGTTCGGTATAAAATGAGTTGCAATGACAACATGTTTAAAATAGTTTTTTCCACCCATCCTCATCATAGCATATCCGTCATTTCCCTCCCATTCGCTTAAAACTCTTTTTGTCTTTTTGTTTCTGACTTCAAATGACTCACAACAGTGAATTTCATATTTCTCATCTAACAAACAAGTTTCCCAACGGTCTTCTCCAACAAACTCAGCGTACATTTCAAATAAAATAAAAAAATGTTTTTTTGAAAAAATATATTGTTTTAAAATAGTATGCCATTTCATATTTCTCATCTAACAAACAAGTTTCCCAACGGTCTTCTCCAACAAACTCAGCGTACATTTCAAATAAAAATAAAAAATGTTTTTTCTTTACTTAACATAGCCACCTGCTGCCAAAAGTCTTTGACGCCAACCCATACCAGCTAATGAAGGTTGACTTGGTTTAGTTTGGAAACTAAACTTTGGTTTTGGTTTATCTTCAGTTTTTGGTTTCTCTTCTTCTATCTGTTTTTCGTCACTTTTCGGTTCCTCTGACTTTACTTCACTTGCAGGAACAGTTGTGTCGTCAACATCTTCATAAATATCATATGCCATTTGTTTTTGTTTTCCTTTCAACTTTTTGTGTTTGTTGTAAAGTTTAGAATATTTCGACTCTAAGTCAATGAGATGTTCTATAATGAACTGTTGGTCAGTGAAGTAAACTTTTCCATTGTTGTCTCGAAAGCTCCTTCAGACTTCAATATTTTATTTGTGAGAGTCTGTTTCTTTTTTGAGATACTAGCCGTTCCATTTCTATGAAAAGTGACTTTGTAGTTAGGGTTTGTATTTCCAGACCTGGCACTTTCTATTATTGAATTTTTCTCTTCATCTGTAAGTTCTTTGACAGGTTTTGACAATGGTTCTGAACTTTTGTTTGTGGTGTCAAATCTACCGTTTCAACTTCTTCGGTCATTTCATCTCAGTAAAAATTTTAGTTTGTTTGTTTTCAACTGGTTGTTTAGGTTTTTTAAGTCGGTCTAAAACTTCCTGAGGTATAGGGAGGACTTGACAAACACGTGGTTGTGTAACTGCTGGAAGCCGACAAATCCATCTTGAACCATTTGTCTCAATGCTGTATTGTTCATTTCATCTCAGTAAAAAACTTTACATTCCCCACGTTTGAGGCGGTTGAGGTTGGTTATTGTTTACCCATTGTTGTGCATGGTTATATCCTCTGTTAAAGAATCTTTCACCTTGGTCCATATAGTGTCCTGCTTGGTTATAGTAGTCATTTGCTTTGTTATAATAGTTTCCTGCTTGTCTTCCTACATTGTCCATCCATCCTTGAACTTTTCCTCTTGTTTCAGGATTTGGAATAAGATTTGCTGCATCTCGTGCTACCTCCCAACCTTTCTGTACAGTTTGTATAATAGGTTGTGCTTTCTCTTTAAGTATACCTAATGTACTCAAAATCTTCCTTCCAACTCCAAATACACCTCTGGCTATTGTTCCCACTGCGGGTAAAAATCTGGATGCAACTCCTGCTAATGCGCCAAATAAACCCATTTCTTATGGGTTAAAAAATGACGAATCCAAACAAGGACCCCTATGTTTCTAAAGCGACAAAGAAAGCACTCATGGTAAAAATCTTTAGTTCAACACCAAATGCTTGGTTTATGGATATCTTGGAAAACATTCCGAGGTATAGAGAAGATGGACCACCATACTGGCTAATATTTGTCGGTCAAAACACAAGATACTGTGAAGCCATACCATTACAGTCCAAAAATATTTTAGATGTGAAAACTGCTTTGACAATATTCGTTGACAAATACCATCCAACAAAACTGACATCTGACTGTGAAAGTTCTTTCAAATCAGATGATGTAAAAAACTATCTGCGTTCAAAAAATGTAAACCAATATTTCATTGTCGACCAAAACCATTCTGCTCTTGGTGTCATTGACAGTTGTATAAAAATCTTAAGAGACTTAAATCAACCACAAGGTGGTGAGGTAGATGAAATGTCATATGACGACAAATATAGACACTTCTCCATGGCAAAGATGAGACAAGTTTTAAATATTTACAATAGCCGTAAACAAAAAGGTTTGGGAAACCACTCCCCCGAAGAAATGAAAAACAACCCTGACTTAGAGAAAGACTATATATTTAATAGTTTAGTCAAAAGAGACAAACAAGAAAGAATGCCAGGCTTCAAACTTAAGAAAGGTGACAAAGTAAAAATAGAAATACCTAAACGCGACCCATATGAAAATACTATTGACTATGACAACAATGGGAACTCGACAGGTACTCATATTCGTGTTCGTAAAAATAGAAGAAAGTATACAAGAGAATATTATGAAGTTTTAGGCAAACATGGCAAAATGTACACACTGCAAGCAGAAGATAAAACTACTATTGTCAGACCTCGTTTCAAACTTGTCAAAGTTCAAGGTGGTATACTTTCAAAGACAGTTCCTAACAAATATAAGACAACTCCTGACGAATATGCTAAAGAAGTTGAAAATGACGACTAAGCAATTCTATACCATGCGTAAACTGTCATGTAAGGTGGCATGTATTCTTTACTTTGTCCCGTTGTTTGCGTATATCCTGAAACGAAATGTGTATGGTTTCCTTCTCCCTGAGTGTCACTCCAGTAACAATTTATAGCAAACTTAACGTCGTCTTTAACATCATATCCTTTACCTTTTGTCATTCCTGACCAATCCCAATATCTATGCTTATGCCAACCTGCTTGAGATGTACTTAAATCTATGTAGTGACTGTGTGCAGGTAAATTTTCACCTGAAA